TGTCATTTATTTTGATAAATTAATCATCTAAAGACTAGGGCCATCTCAAAATGTGAAATTGACTAATATTTGATTCTGTCTTTTTCATGTAGGAAACTCTGATTACATTTCTCTTATGATTATGGATCTAACTCAAAATGTGAATGTGACCCTCTAAAAATGTGCTTTTGAAAAAATAATTGAATTCATTTCGGATATATCATACAAAAAGAAATGTATACATTGTATAGGTAATGTCTTTTATCAGGATAATAGGGGACAGTTATGATCATGTTATGTTAGTATTACATGTATGGTACAAAAATTTGGTAAATCTTTTAATGTTTTCATAAAATGGTGGTTTATTGAGTTGTTTTTCATGGAACAATACATTTTTTCTTTATAAATATGGTACAATATTATTTCACAATGTTTAAAACATGCAACTGTGTCATTGAAACTTATTTGGTATGAAAATATGAGTGGGGGATAACGCTGGCTTTGAAAAAGATACAGAAATGCAACAGTTTTTAATCAGTGTAAGGAAATGTATGCAAAGTTATCCACATATGAAATATATATATGTATTATATTTGAAACAGTTCTGTTAAAGACAATACTTATCAGTCTTTACCCCTTATGAAGTGAATACCAGCAAACCACTCTAACCTTGTTTTGTCACTATACATTGTCTGCTGACTGAAGCAGTTAATATACTCAGACATAATCTTAGCATCCTGTTAAGGTTACAGCATCAAAGCAGCTGAGTTTATAAATATTTATGTATTGTTACTAAAAAAACTTAAACATCAAGAATACTAAGAAAATATGAGTGTTTATTGGTGTAAAATCCTTAAAAGAATTTTTGTGGGACCAGGGTTTGGTTTCTCATCATTTTCTGTGCATTAAAATTAAAGTCTTATTAAAACAGTGACATAGAACTCCTGTAATAGTTTTGAACATGAATTAAAATTAACTGTTACTTCAACTACCAGATTCGATAGATCAGAATGACTATGTCCTGAAGCTGGCATACAAGGGGTAGCTTGTCTTCGTGGTTCAAGATATTGATTTGATATTTGGTATATATTTCATCGTGACAAGTTACAAATCAAGTTGGAATTTTTTTCCTTTCTGATGATTTTGTCCAGAGTTATGGTCCATCCGTCCGTACGCCCCAAAATTGGTTTCCATTCTCTAACTTTAGTTTGCCTCAACCAAATGTTATGAAACTTAAACACAATGCATATTACCACAAAATACAGATCAAGTTTGAATTTTGGTGGTGTCACTTATACCATTCTAGAGTTATGCCCCTTTACAAATGGAAAAATTGCTGAATTTTTCGTTTCCGTTCTCTAACTTAAGTTTGCCTCCACCAAATGTTATGAAACTTATACACAATGCTTATTACCACAAAACTCAGATCAAGTTCTAATTTGGGTGGCTTCACTTTTACAGTTCTTGAGTATGTCCCTTTATAACATTATATGCAAGCTGGGGCATCATCTGTGTCCCATGGACACATCCTCCATTTATTGTCGAGCCTTCGACTTTTGTCGAAAAAGCGAGACATAGCGATCCTACATTCCGTCGGCGTCGTCGTCGTCGGCGGCGTCCACAAATATTCACTCTGTGGTTAAAGTTTTTGAAATTTTAATAACTTTCTTAAACTATCCTGGATTTCTACCAAACTTGGACAGAAGCTTGTTTATGATCATAAGATAATATTCAAAAGTAAATTTTGTAAAAAAAAAATTCCATTTTTGTCGAGCCTTCGACTTTTGTCGAAAAAGCGAGACATAGCGATCCTACATTCCGTCGGCGTCGTCGTCGTCGGCGGCGTCCACAAATATTCACTCTGTGGTTAAAGTTTTTGAAATTTTAATAACTTTCTTAAACTGTCCTGGATTTCTACCAAACTTGGACAGAAGCTTGTTTATGATCATAAGATAATATTCAAAAGTAAATTTTGTAAAAAAAAAATTCCATTTTTTCCGTATTTTACTTATAAATGGACTTAGTTTTTCTGCCAGGAAACATTACATTCACTCTGTGGTTAAAGTTTTTGAAATTTTAATAACTTTCTTAAACTATCCTGGATTTCTACCAAACTTGGAAAGAAGCTTGTTTATGATCATAAGATAGTATCCAGAAGTAAATTTTGTAAAAAAAAAATTCCATTTTTTCCGTATTTTACTTATAAATGGACTTAGTTTTTCTGCCAGTTAACATTACATTCACTCTGTGGTTAAAAGTTTTTAAAATTTTAACAACTTTCTTAAACTATCCTGGATTTGTACCAAACTTAAGACAGAAGCTTGTTTATGATTAAAAGTTAGTATCTAGAAGGAAATTTTGTTCCATTTTTTCCGTATTTTACTTATAAATGGACTTAGTTTTTCTTCCAGTTAACATTACATACAGTCTGCAGTTTAAGTTTTTAAAACATTTATTAGATTCATAAACTATCCTAGATTTTTACCAAACTTGGACAGAAGCTACTTACAATCAAAAGATAGTATAGAGAGGAATATTTTTATTAATTTTTTTCCTCATTTTTGCTGAGCCTGTGATTAACAGCAAAAAGTAGGCGAGACACTGGGTTCCGCGGAACCCTTACGAATTTTTTCCGTATTTTACTTATAAATGGACTTAGTTTTTCTGCCAGGAAACATTACATTCACTCTGTGGTTAAAGTTTTTGAAATTTTAATAACTTTCTTAAACTATCCTGGATTTCTACCAAACTTAGAAAGAAGCTTGTTTATGATCATAAGATAGTATCCAGAAGTAAATTTTGTAAAAAAAAAATTCCATTTTTTCCGTATTTTACTTATAAATGGACTTAGTTTTTCTGCCAGTTAACATTACATTCACTCTGTGGTTAAAGTTTTTAAAATTTTAACAACTTTCTTAAACTATCCTGGATTTGTACCAAACTTGGACAGAAGCTTGTTTATGATTAAAAGCTAGTATCCAGAAGTAAATTTTGTAAAAAAAAAATTCCATTTTTTCCGTATTTTACTTATAAATGGACTTAGTTTTTCTGCCAGTTAACATAACATTCACTCTGTGGTTAAAGTTTTTAAAATTTTAACAACTTTCTTAAACTATCCTGGATTTGAACCAAACTTAGACAGAAGCTTGTTTATGATTAAAAGCTAGTATCTAGAAGGAAATTTTGTTCCATTTTTTCCGTATTTTACTTATAAATGGACTTAGTTTTTCTTCCAGTTAACATTACATACAGTCTGCAGTTTAAGTTTTTAAAACATTTATTAGATTCATAAACTATCCTGGATTTTTACCAAACTTGGACAGAAGCTACTTACAATCAAAAGATAGTATAGAGAGGAATATTTTTATTAATTTTTTTCCTCATTTTTGCTGAGCCTGTGATTAACAGCAAAAAGTAGGCGAGACACTGGGTTCCGCGGAACCCTTACGAATTTTTTGGTTTTGTTAGGGGAGGGCATTTTCTTTTGCTCCTGTCTTCTATTTATTTCATTTCTTCCAACTTGAGAAAGCAGCAATCTGTCCTAAGTCAGCAATGATATGTTACCTACATTAATTGTAATATATTGACTGTGATGTGGGAAGATTAAATACAAATATAATGAATTTGTACTCATATATTTAATTCCTGTTGAATTACCATATATGTCAAGTAGACTTGATATTTTAAGCTTTACAAATTAATTTTGTGTTCATATGAATTTCATGATTTGACATTCTAAGACATTTGTTGATTTTTATATATTGCACACATCTGTTACCTTCCCTATGATCTGTTCTGTGACCAAAAAATTTGACAGGACCTGATATTTAGCAAATTGATGAAACAACCATTTCCTGTAGGCATTGGGAATTGATTCCACTATTGATAGATTTTTTTTCTGTATTGTGGGAGGCATTTTATTACCCTTGAGTCTTGGTAATAACATTTTGAAGTATAAGACAAAAACAAATTGACCTTTTCCCAATTCATTTTGACATTTTCCCATGTATTACATGTATAATACACAGGAAACAAGTAATTTTATGGTCAGTGGTGGTTTCTTTGTGTACCTAGCTGTCACAAGGGTTTGTTTTAGGACTTTTGTCATAGGAATTTTATTCAAGATGAGTTTGGTTACATGTTGTTGTGTTGCTTCTGAGAATGGAGGAAAATCTGTCCCAAAAGTGAGTGATAATTTCTATTGTTATTTGGATGATTGTTTCAGTAGGAATATGGATGATATTTAGTCAGGTTTGGATATTATATTGAATACTGCTGGTACATTGTTTGAAAATATATACAATATGAGCTTCCAAAAATAATGACAAATAACTGAAATACCTAAATAATCAAGTACAAATGAATAAAATGTATGTCCAAATTCACGATCTTGTTTTTATCCCCAAGGCATACTTTACAGAAATACTTGACATTTTGATAGCAGTTCAAATACAAGAATTAAAGTATGGAAAGGTTGATAATAATTCATTTTTACAATATAATTCAATTTTATCAATTTTAATAGTAACAGGCAAATATAAACTATACAGAAAATTTTGTCACATGCTGCAATATATCAAGGGGGGTGTTAGTTCCATCCGTCCATCTGTCCCATGTGAGCATGCTAAACTGTGTGATGCATTTTCACATCCATTACAAATCAATTTGCTGTTTTTTATCAAATACATGTAGCGAAGGTATCATTAGTCTACTTATTTTTGTGAATACTTTTTCACATTTAGCCCTTTCTAGCCAATTTTGGAGGATTTTCTTTCACAAATTACTAACTGCCATCTGTTAATGTAATCATATAAGACGAGATCCAAGTTGGACATAATTCTGATGATTTATACTTGCATTATGAATTATTTGAAGTGAATTGCTGTCAAAAGTTAATTGGTTGACAGTACGCCTTATTTTACACTAAATATTCTATGAATGGAAAAGGTAAATGAGTTCTGTTATTGCAGTGGGAGTAAAAAAAATATTTCGCTGTATTAATAAATCTTTCATAATTTCAGGGTAATGCCAGCCAACGAGAAATGATGTCTGGTCAACATAACTGGTATGCCTGTTCACATGCTCGCCCAACATATTGTAATGTCTGTCGTGAAGCCCTTTCTGGTGTTACGTCCCATGGTCTTTCATGTGAAGGTAAGAATATAATGATGTAAGTTTACCGGAAAAAGCCTCAAATAGAAGAATGAATTTTGAATCCTACTTGCAGACTTGATGGTATACTGTATCCACCTTGTCCATATGTATGAACAGGAAACTTTTATTTTCATTTTACAGAAAAACCTGTGTAAATTGAACTATTGTGTGAAGACAGACTTGGATTTGTTCTTACTAATTTATTAGAACATCTTCAAACTGACCAGGTTTCCTTGATATTATTAGAGTTTCATTTTTTATTTGGCCAGGAGGCTGATAGTGTTTATTTCAACTTACAAGAGGATTTTCAGACTTAGTTTGCAGCCTTTTCCTGTAGGTCAGAGTTTTAAAATAGTAGTAAATCCACTGAACATGGACTTTTAATAAAGTTTTCTTAGTTAGTTATAAAAACGATTGAGTTTATAATCTTTGTATTGGTATTGGTTAATTGATGATAGTGAGGCTGTATCTTGAAGTTCAATTTGTAGACATATTTGTAAGTTGTGTGCACATTAGCTGATGAAAGTTACTTCTGTTTTATTGTTTGGCTTGACAAGGGGAAAATGTGAATGATTGGTTAATGACTATTGCATACTGTGGATTCCTTTGTATTCATGAGGTACTAATTTTCATAGATTTTGTGGGTAAACCAAGAATTAAAATATTCAACACAAAAATCGGTTCCAAGAAAAATAAATGTATCCACAGTATGTTTGATAACTATGGTATATATTTGACAGATAATGTCACAACAATGAAACTATTTATGAAACTTAAGTAGCAGAAGAAAAAAAAGGAAATATCCTGGCTCTTACTACATCCATTAAATACTTTCTTTTGATATATCTTGTCTGAAGTATATTAGTACATGCATGTATTTATTATCATATGCATTAGTTTTCAAGTTTGTTAATTGAACAGCCATGTTCTGTGAACTTAATCTTAGTACAGGATTTGGGATACAAGGTCAATAGATAGCATGGGAGTGTTTCAGGCTGGTGTTTTTAGCAGAACATTGTTTGAAATTCACATCTTATATTCATATGACTATTCAGGTAAAATAAAATTGAGGTCTGAGTTGTGGGACTATGAGGGTCATAAAATGGAGGTCTGGGGTTTGAGACTTTTTAAAATCATTCTCATTCTGTTAAGAATGCAAGTTATTAGGCCTGTTGTAGTATTTTTTGTTTTTTTTTTAATTTGAAAATTAAAATTACAGTATTAACTCATTCGACCCCAAGAGATTTCTGGAAAATCAGGCATTTTCGAAAATTTGCAAACTTATGCAAATTAGTAGACTCTTGATGATGTAACTGATGCTGATCTATTAAACTATGTATTGAGATTTAGGGGCGGATTGCATGGGTCGGGGGTGGGGTGGGGTGGGAGGTGTTATATTTTCTGGTGGGTTTGAACAAACCTCTACTGAAAAATGGTCATTTTCAGTCTATATTTCGCTTTTAATACGACCTTGAGAGGTGAACATTGACTAAACTGTGTTTCTTTGTCACTCAAGTATTACCGTACAGTTACAGCAGTCTATCCATACTGTCTGGAAGTAAATGTGTCTTCAGAATCTTGCTGGGGAATTATTATTGGCTAGCCAAGTATGCCTAAATGTTCGTTTTTACAGATTTCTGACAAAACGGTGACCTAGATTTTACAGACCACATTTCTTTTGGCCATATTATACCTCCTTGTGTTCCTGTACCACCTATGCATGTATTTATGATAACAGTTGATACCTACAGCCCATACCAGTAATGTAGTGGCCATAAAAAGACTCCCACCCCCACCTGATTTTGGCTACTTTTCACATTTTTCCAATTTTGAACTCTAAAAAGGCCATTAAAGTTGCCATATTTTCATAATCACACATCTGAGAATAGTTTATGGACCACGAATTGCATGGTTGAAGTCCCTGATGTAAAGACAGTTGAGCTGGGGCAGTTCTAAAAAAGTATGGAGGGTCATACAGGCCATCAAAGAATGGTGGTTGCCATCACGACTACAGGCGGGATTGGGGGCGAAGGGGTTAAAATAATTTATTTAAAATTAATTTAGATTTACATTGAAAATTATCTTGACTTATCAAGAACAATAGACCACTTTTATATACTAAGTATTATTTTGAGCTTTACATATTGTATAGACACCTGTCTATTGTTGAAGACTGTATGTTGCCCTAAAAATGTCTTTTGGGTTATTTTAGTCATTGGGTTGCTGTCTTAATGAGGATTACCCCACATTTCGCATTATTTACACTTATAACAATCAAATAGTAGTTAACTGAAAAAGTATTGAATTCCTGATCTTGCCCTGACCACAATTTTGGTGTCCTAAAAAGATTTTGTATATGGTACATCAGTCTTTTAACACAGCATGCTGTAAATAAAAAATCCATTCAAACCACAACTCAGTGAACTGTCCAAAGTTCTACATGCTAAAGTTGCCTACAGGAAGGATATATTTCCATCTGATTTGTCAGTGGAGAAGTAGATAATGTAGTCATTCATGTGTGGGTTACATGATATTAATTACTTCTTATACTAATGAAGCAGGTGAACTTGTTGTAGCTAGGATAGATATCAAGAACTTACTTAATTGATTGATTCCTCATAAAGATAATTCCCTAAGTTGTTGATTGCTGTGTAAAACATGGGTATGAGATTGTTAGTAAGTGAGAGCAATTAAGAAAAGTGAAGGGTTCTCTCCTATTCATATAAGTGGGATGATTGTGCCTTTTCTTTCGTCATTTCAGTTGATTTTTCCTAAGGGTGTAAAGAGCACACGTTTAGAATAATTCTTGTATTAAATAATATACTACCTGCAGATTCAGATCCATATCATATGCTTTTGGAAGTACGATTGGTTGATATACCTCTTTTAGTTTTTTTATGCTGCCGCCGTAGCGTAGGGGGTATTAAGTGTTTCCACTGTCTGTATGTCAGTACGTCCCAAAACAAGTTTCCATTCTCTTACTTTAGTTTGCCTCAACCAAAGGTTATAAAACTTATACACAATGCTTATTACCACAAAACACAGATCTAGTTTGAATTTGGCTGGTGTCACTTTTACCGTTCTAGAGTTATGTCCCTTTTCAGATGGAAAATTGCTGAATTTTTCATTTCCGTTCTCTAACTGAAGTTTGCCTCAACCTAATGTTATGAAACTTATACAGGAATAATACCACTAATTCATAGACCTTGCTTCTGTGTTAAATTCTACAATTTCAAGCATGCATAGCTATTTTGCCCTAAGATTAAATAAAGTGATAATCATTTCATGTCAAAACTATACCTTATCCTGACTTGTGCTAAAAAAAATCAACATACATTTAATAATAAATTGCATATATGAGTGCACTGGTTCCCGGAAGTTGGGTAGTACAAAAACATGTACTGATCTGAGCAAAAAAATGAAAACAACACATAATAAATTTCATGCGTCCGAAGCGCTTTTCTGGATTTACCTTCATCAGGAACGCTTAAAGCCGAATATTTGTTCTATCTGACCAGGCCGAATTGGTGGTTCTATACCTATAATACACAATGCTTATTACCACAAAACTCAGATCAAGTTGGAATTTTATAACGTTATATGCAAGCAGGGGCACATTCTCCATTTATTTTATTTAAAGTAAAGGAGGTATGACAAGTTATATGATTTCATTGACATAGACAGTAGCAACCTTTACCCCCAACAATCAGTTGTGTTGACCAAACTTTTGCATGGCAGATGGTTATTATTCGGTTACCTTAGTAAGTTCTTGTCACATAAACTAGACCTTATTTCACGCTCCTGTAGCTATGTTAAATGTCTGATACTCTTAACTATGCATGACAGGTCTGTGAATTCTTTGAAAGGAGTATATGACTATATCAAATGGCCATGACACCATAAGACAATTCAATGTTTAAGATAAGTTTTCTGTGATAGATCTTTTGCTCAGTAACTACATAACAGGGTCAACAATTTTACAGATGTCTCAGTATTCTGGATAAAAACTCTTTAAAACACAAAAAAACCAAGGCATTTAGAGGGCCTTCTTTCATATAAAATGAATACTAATCATTTGTCTGGACATGCCAATTCATTCAGAGTCTGAATTTTATAACTGAAATATAGTTAAATGTGTGGGTGATAAAAAATGCCCTTCATATCTGAAAAGTATTAATCATTTTCTTCTATAGCAAAAGTCAATAATTCAACTGATCTTTCCTACTAACCTTTCACAGGAGTTTACATAAATATTTAAAGAACTAAATGTCAAAAAGATATAATAGTAACAAATAGAAAGATTCTAATTTTAGAAACAATGCCATTTTGTCTATTTTGAAGTGGATAAATTGTTTAAACATGGTAAACATTTGTAAGAGATACCTCCTAAGAAGTGTTTCTTGTTTCTAACAAAGTCTGATGTTTTACAGTCAGTTTACAAGAAAACTTGTTCACATGTTTAGGTTTTTAAGTTTGTTTAACAAGTGTTGCACTTCATAAAAGTAAATAATACAGAACGTTAAGTACATTGACTGCAAGTCTGCCTTGAAATAGAAAAAGTTTTCTTTTTATTGTTTAGCTTTCCGATTCTATGAACTGATTGAAACTATCAGTTGTAGAATTAATGGTATTATAAAAGGATTCTTTAATATTGTATTCTTAGTAGAGATAAAAGGAAACTAATTTGTTATATGTACAAATGCAAAATCTGCTTGGTATTTTGTTGAACAGATATCTTTAAATTGATTTCATTCATTCATTAGAGCAGACAAAAAACCATAAGCATTCAAGGCCTTGAAAGTTATTTTTCCTGTTGAGTCCCCTTAATGCACTACAAAATATTCCCATCTTTTCTGTTAATCTTGATTTTATTTACAGTCAAATCAGCAAGAAATTATCTTAATAGTCTAGAGAGTAATTGAGAAAATGCAATTTGAATAAGATTGTAGTCTTTGAAATTAAACGCTGACAAAATATTGACAGTGCCATTGTAATTTGTGATGAAGATTTCCATTAAATCTGTGTCAATTCCATTATAAGATGTTATTTAAGGAAGAGAAAAACAGTGAGGTAGTGACATTGTCCATTTCCTTGTCAGGAAATCAATCAACTTACTAATGGCAATGATAGATGGTGTCTGGTGGTGAACATTGTACCCACAATTTGGCTTCAGATTAGCTCTATTGAGAAGACTGAATCTGTGAAGGGGACAATAACAGACTAATTGTATCTATTGTACTCTGTTACAGACTTGGTTATATGTTACTATTTTTGGCCATCAAATGCCACTGTTTACCATATAGTATACAATTATATGAAAAGCTTGCATCTTAAAAGTGCCTTATAATTTGAATCTATATAATTAATTACAAATCAAAAATGAGCTTAAAAAATTATGTAATTTTTAACTTGGAAAATATATTTATAGAAAGCACTTACAGACAGAATATATATTTTTATGCCCCCGCCGTAGTGGAGGGGGCATTAAGTTTTACCCTTGTCCGTCCATACGTACGTCCGTCTGTTGGTACGTCCCAAAATTGGTTTACGTTCTCTGACTTTAGTTTGCCTCAACCAAATGTTATGAAACTTATACACAATGCTTATTACCACAAAACACAGATCAAGTTTGAATTTTGGAGTTGTCACTTTAACCGTTCTAGAGTTATGCCCCTTTACGAATGGAAAAATTGCTTAATTTTTCGTTTCTGTTCTCTAACTTTAGTTTGCCTCATCCAACTGTTATGAAACTTATACACAATGCTTATTACCCCTTTATAACTTTATATGATATGCAAGCGGGGGCATCATCTGTGTCCCATGGACACATTCCCCATTTGTTTATGGTAATTTTGCTTTTATATACATGTATATAGTACCTTCACTTGTTTAATTTTGAAGAATTTATGTGGACCTCAATCATATCCTTCTCTATTTAATTGTATTTTTAGATTTCTGGCTCATTGAAATATTCTCCATATCTGGCTTTATTTATAGACAATTATTAGGGATTTACATTTTGTAATGAACACGATTTAGGAAATTCTTGTATACTTGTATTACCTTTTTATTAGAACTTGTTTTAGTACTACTTATTCACAGTAGAATATCTAGTAATTTAAAGAAATCCTTTTTTTTTAATTTTCAGTGTGCAAATTTAAAGCTCACAAACGATGTGCTGTGAAAGCTCAGAGTACATGTAAGTGGACCACTTTAGCAGCTATAGGTAAAGACATTATAGAAGATGAAGATGGGGTAAGTGTTCTTAACAATGTCTTTCATCAGGTGCTGTCTAGTAGATTAGAGTTAGGCCACACTAGTCACTTGATAAAAGGTTAATAGTAGCAATTTATAGAATATGATGTGAAAAATTAACTTAAAAAATATGCTATTCGGAAGTAAAAACAAATTGTCAGGATGAAGTTAACTAAACTTTTAATTATATCTATACTCTAGGAGTAGGCGCTATATTGCATTCACCTTGTACGTCCCTTTGTCCAACAAATATTTCTGTCACACTTTCTTAAGTACTGCTGAACAGAATTACTTCATATTTGGTAAGCAGCTTTACAGGGATGAGTTGTTATGTGTGACCACTTTCTGAATCTGACAGACTGACACCAACTTCCTGTTTTCCGATACTTTGAATTACAAATGAGGGTATGCTTATCTGGACAACATATGCATTCTCACTTTATCTCTGTGTAATTACTTGTGAAAATTTTGTGCTTTGCCTGCTGCACAAAATTGAATATTTTTCTCTGTGAAACTTCATTTGCTTTAAACTGGTGCTAATAAAAGAACAAAATTCTGCATAGTTGTGGCTTAACTTTAATTGTATAGTTTATAACATAACTTTAATTGTATAGTTTATAACATAACTTGAATTGTATAGTTTATAATATAACTTTAATTGTATAGTTTATAACAATAAAAGAAATAAATGGCAGTTTTATGTGAAGATTTGTATGATTTCTATATTTATTTTTATTTTGCATGCATATCTCATTTACTTGATCAGCTTTCCAATATTAATTTAAATTTCTCCATTATCTGGCTTGCACTATTGAAAATTGTAGCTAGAAAGTACACTTTCTTGAGGAAGAAGTAGTTAGGATCTGTTTTAAATGCAAGTTGACATGAGTAAACACTTTTTTTGGTAGTGAAAACTAGTAGCTTTTTGAATGCAAAGCTGATTTGTAAAGTAAATTTTGGTTGGACAACTGAATTTTTTTAGTCTTTAAATGCCAGTGATGTTATTTGCCAGTCAGAATTTACTTCATTCTTGTGGGATTCACCATTGTATAACTTCATAATAATTGTGATTATACCATTTTTATTACAGATTTCCATGCCACATCAATGGTTAGAAGGAAATCTCCCGGTCAGTGCTAAATGTACAGTCTGCGACAAAACTTGTGGTAGTGTACTTAAACTGCAGGACTGGAGATGTCTCTGGTGTAAAGTCATGGTAGGTTTTAACAAATTCAAAAGAGACTTAAGGGGTACAGAACACCTAAGGGAGTTAACCCTTTAAAAATCAGGTAAACGCTTTAATCACAAAGTATTTGTAAAGAGAATTAAGCTTCTCAATGATCAAAAATAGTGTTTGTCAAACTGCTATATATCCCATGAAATTATTCCTGTAAATTGTGTGGTTCAAATTTTTACAAATTTCAATATTTTTTTCAACAGGTCAAAGTAAATATTCTGTCAGAATTTTATGAACATAAAACGAGCCAAATCTATTTTAGTCAAAGTGTTGGGTACCCTCTTAAAAAAATATTAAAATTTCAGTATATAGTGTTTGTTATTGTCTTGCAATTGATTGATTGTTGCTGGCTTAGTGCTGTGTAGTGGTAAATATTCTATGCAATTTCAGGAAGAGAACTTTTAACAATTAAAACAATAGGTAGGTTCTAAGTGGGTCGACAAGAATGAAGTGCCTGTAAAGTTCAGTTGAAAATGAGGGTGTGTTGGATAGGCAGGTATGTCTAAGGTGCAGAATATTGCCTTGCAACAGGCCACTTGTAGACCCCTCAGTGAGTTATTACATATTTCTCCTACAAAAATTATTTAAAAGACTTGTGCAAAGACGAAACAGATGTCGTAGAGAATTGTGCATGCCTTTCAGCATTTCATGAAACATTATTACTTGTATATTGAACTTAACATTAGAATTGCACTAAATGTAAATGAAAAGAATGATGAAACAGAAAGATGTATACTCTCTGCTTGTTTTAGCTTTCACTTTATTTCATTTATTAAATATTTATTATGTTTGCTTCAGGTACACTCAAATTGTAAAGAAGAACTGTCAAGAAAATGTCCACTTGGTCAGTGTAGAGTGTCTATACTGCCACCTACAGCTATTAATAATATAGACTCCGATGGATACTGGGAAGCTACACGACCAAATCGTACTAGTCCCTTACTTGTATTTGTTAATACAAAATCTGGTGATAATCAGGTATATAACAATTTATCTTAGTTCACACAAAAAAAAAAGGTTTTTTGGCTGACTTTTTAATTTTTGATAAGGCAGTGTGCAGCATCTGTTTGGTTAACTAGCATGACACCACAGAGATGCCACCTTTGTGGACACATTTTTCTCAAACTGATTAACCACATTTGAAATCAAGTTTGAAGTGCTTATTACCTAAAAAAAACATTCTTTTGTGAAAGACTTTGAGTTGTAAAATAAAACCAATGGCTGAACCAAAAACAAAATTTCTGAATTTTACTTATGTGAAAAGAAAAACAAACAGTTTATGACAGTAATAAACGACACAGGTGCTTGAGATGCTATTATTTGTTCATCTGTATATAACATTTATGCAGTGATCAGAAATATCTTATAGATAAAGGTAAAGGCTTTATCATATCCATCTGATACCATTGTTATTATTATTAAGTCTCCCAAACGAAGTTTGGGAAGACTTATTGGTTTTGCTCAGTTCTTATTATTATTATTATTCTTCTTCTTCTTCTTCTTCTTCTTCTTCTTCTTCTTCCGCCGCTTTTAAATTTGAACTTGTCCGCACCCGTTCTCCAAAACCACTTGTCAGATTAACTTAGGGTTTCACAATATGTTAGACAAACATGTCTAGTGGTGCAATCAGGGTTTTGTTTGTGCAATGGGGTTTATAAAGGGGTACTTTGAGGGGCAAAAAGAAAGGAGGGTTTTACTATAGAACCCTATGGGATTTTATTTTTAAAAATTTTCAAATGATTATAAATTGAAAACCGTTTGTGATAGACACAATCTTTTTAATTGAAAATGTTCTAAATGATAAAGCCCATTAAATGAAATACAGAATTAGTCCCCAGGGGCCACCCCTACCCCCTGCCATTTAAGAAAGTTCTAATACCTTGTAAGTGATCGAGATCCCCACCCCGAAACCATATATATTTTGGTTTGTTATGCTAAGATGGTTTGAATGATATACAGGGTTAGTCCCCAGGGGTCATCCCAACCCCCTGCCATTTGAGAAAGTTCAAATACCTTGTAAATGGTCGAGATCCCCACCCCTAAACCATATATATTCTGGTTTGTCATAATAAAGCACATCAAACGAAATACAGGGTTAGTCACCAGGGGTCACCCCCACCCCCTGCCATTTAAGAAAGTTCTAATATCTTGTAAGTGGTCAAGATCCCCACCCCTAAACCCAATATATTCTGGTTTGTCATGCTAAGATGGTTTGAATGATATACAGGGTTAGTCCCAAGGGGTCATCCCGACCCCCTGCCATTTGAGAAAGTTCTAATATCTTGTAAATGGTTGAGATCCCAACCCCTTAACCATATATATTCTGGTTTGTCATGATAAAGCACATCAAATGAAATACAGGGTAAGTCCCCAGGGGTCACCCCGACCCCTGCCATTTAAGAAAGTTCTAATATCTTGTAAGTGGTCAAGATCCACACCCCTAAACCATATATATTCTGGTTTGTCATGCTAAGATGGTTTGAATGATAGACAGGGTTAGTCCCCAGGGGTCATCCCGACCCCCTGCCATTTGAGAAAGATCTAATATCTTGTAAATGGTCGAGATCCCCACCCCTAAACCATATATATTCTGGTTTGTCATGATAAAGCACATCAAATGAAATACAGGGTTAGTCCCCAGGGGTCACCCCCAGCCCCTGCCATTTAAGAAAGTTCTAATATCTTTGTAAGTGGTCAAGATCCCCACCCCTAAACCATATATATTCTGGTTTGTCATGCTAAGATGGTTTGAATGATATACAGGGTTAGTCCCCAGGGGCCTCCCCGACCCCCTGCCATTTGAGAAAGTTCTAAATCTTGTAAATGGTCGAGATCCCCACCCCTAAACCATATATATTCTGGTTTGTCATGATAAAGCACATCAAATGAAATACAGGGTTAGTCCCCAGGGGTCACCCCCACCCCCTGCCATTTAAGAAAGTTCTAATATCTTGTAAGTGGTCAAGATCCCCACCCCTAAACCCTATATATTCTGGTTTGTCATGCTAAGATGGTTTGAATGATATACAGGGTTAGTCCCCAGGGGTTCCTCCCCGACCCCCTGCCATTTGAGAAAGTTCTCAATCTTGTAAATGGTAGAGATCCCCACCCCTAAACCATATATATTCTGGTTTGTCATGATAAAGCACATCAAATGAAATACAGGGTTAGTCCCCAGGGGTCACCCCCACCCCCTGCCATTTAAGAAAGTTCTAATATCTTGTAAGTGGTCAAGATCCCCACCCCTAAACCATATATATTCTGGTTTGTCATGCTAAGATGGTTTGAATGATAGACAGGGTTAGTCCCCAGGGGTCATCCCGACCCCCTGCCATTTGAGAAAGTTCTAATATCTTGTAAATGGTCGAGATCCCCACCCCTAAACCATATATATTCTGGTTTGTCATGATAAAGCACATCAAATGAAATACAGGGTTAGTCCCCAGGGGTCACCCCCAACCCCTGCCATTTAAGAAAGTTCTAATATCTTGTAAGTGGTCAAGATCCCCACCCCTAAACCATATATATTCTGGTTTGTCATGCGAAGATGGTTTGAATGATATACAGGGTTAGTCCCCAGGGGTCATCCCGACCCCCTGCCATTTGAGAAAGTTCTAATATCTTGTAAATGGTTGAGATCCCCACCCCTAAACCATATATATTCCTATTTGTCATGTCTCGAACATTTGAATGACGTATACAGTCAGTCCCCAGGGGTTCCCCCCACCCCCAATGTTCTAATATCTTGTAAGTGGTCAAGATCCCCACCCCTAAACCATATATATTCTGGTTTGTCATGCGAAGATGGTTTGAATGATATACAGGGTTAGTCCCCAGGGGTCATCCCGACCCCCTGCCATTTGAGAAAGTTCTAATATCTTGTAAATGGTTGAGATCCCCACCCCTAAACCATATATATTCCTATTTGTCATGTCTCGAACATTTGAATGATGTATACAGTCAGTCCCCAGGGGTTCCCCCCACCCCCAATGTTCTAATATCTTGTAAATGGTTGAGATCCCCACCCCTAAACCATATATATTCCTGTTCGTCATGTAATGGACATTTGAATGAAGTATAGGGTCAGTCCCCAGGGGTTCCTCCCCACCCCCAATGTTCTAGTATCTTGTAAATGGTTGAGATCCCCACCCCTAAACCATATATATTCTGGTTTGTCATGCCAAGATGATTTGAATGATATACAAGGTTAGTCCCCAGGCATCACTAATGCATATAACTTTACTGGACCAAACCAATTTTCACTGGATGTTGCCCAATGTCAGGCGACCCTGGGAATTACGAATTATGGGAGCTTCGTTTGGGAGACTTCGTAACAGCATCCTGTTACAATCATTTCTTGTTATTATATGATACTCCAACTCAAACATTGTCTGTCTGTTTGTCCAAAAAGGTTTTTGTCACACTTTTTTCTCAGGAACTACTGTACAGAAGGACTTCATATTTGGTCAGCAGCTTGACAGTGATGATGTGTAATGCATGGATCTGTCAGACACCTACATCTTGTTTGCTTATACTTAACTTTTCATTACGTTGAATAGACTATGTTCTGAAGAATATTTGTTTTTAATGGTACATGTAATACATTAAAACATAATAACAAAAAAAAAAAGGTTCAGTATATATCTTCATGTAGATGTTAACAGTTAGTTCATTAGTAATGGTATGTTTATACATAACTTGGTTTTTATAAGCATAAAACTTCTGTTTTATAGGGTGTAAAGTTTTTACGACGATTTAAACAGCTTTTAAATCCAGCTCAGGTTTTTGATCTCATGAATGGTGGACCTCATCCAGGGTAAGTAGCTGGAAATCTTTGTATTATTCAAACTGTTCTGTTGTTTAATATAAATTTTGTATAGGTGTGTTCCCATTGTGTAATTGATTAATGGATGTCAGAACAAATGATTGATTGATTGTTGGTTGCTTAATGTCCAGTGGCAAATATTTCATGCATATTCAGGACAAGAAAAAGTTAACAATAAATACAATAGGTAGGTTCTGTAATAGAGGCGTCCGGGATTAAGGTCGGAGAAATTTAGACTGCCAAATTCAGCCTTGCAACAGGTCACCTAGGGACCCCTCAAAGAGTTGTTGAAAGGGTTCTTAACGTACAAAGAGCGTGGCACTCTCTTTACACGAGGCATCAGATTTAACGTCCCCATTCTGACCGGACATGGCTGCAAATTTGTACATCCCACACAGCCAAATGGATGCCCCACTTTGGCAATGGGTTTTACTGCCGGTCGGAGGAAGACCAATGGTGACCATACTTCTAAGATCTGGTTATTTACTTCCTCCCCGACCACTGTATCACAAAATATATACAACTAAAGTGATGTTATTTATTTATAAGATCAGCTACGTTTTCTTTTTTTAAAAAACATTCATTTCTTGAAAAATAGAAAAATAAAAATTTTAATATTTCATGTTTAAAAGTATAAAAACTTGCATTTAAACCAGTAAAAATCTGGTATGCATTTGTCTTGCTATGAAATGAGTATAGTATATTGGTAGAATATATAAAAATCTCTGAGATATATTATTCCCAATATTTTTAATTTTGATATATATGTTTTCAGACTAAGATTATTCCAGAAGTTTGATCAGTTTAGAATATTAGTATGTGGTGGTGATGGTAGTGTTGGATGGGTCTTATCAGAAATTGATAAATTAGAACTGCATAAACAGGTAATTTGCATGACACTCCTTTGAAAGGTCTATATCTTGAGAAAACACTAGAAGACTTTCTTGTTATAAATTTTTCAGCAATATTGCATTAATTCTAGAATGTACAGAAAAATATGTGCATGAAACAAAATAACAAATTTAAAATCTATTCTACTATTTCACAGCCATCCTTCTTTGTAACACTATGATTTATTTTTTGCAGTGTCAGATAGGTGTTTTACCCTTTGGTACTGGTAATGATTTAGCCAGAGTACTAGGATGGGGTTCAACATTTGATGCTGAAACACAACTGCCTGTGATATTAGAAAAACTAGAACATTCACAAATAAAAATGTTAGATAGGTCAGTACTGTAAAGTTTTACATTTGATTATAAGACTGTTCTCTATACATAGTTCACAAATTACAGACAAACATAGGACAGTTCTTTTTAGTCATATCTCTCAAGTGTACATTCACATATGCATGGTCTCTCGTCATTTACAAGTGCTAGCTGTCAAAATGGAAAAAAAAACTTTTAGAAAAATTTAGATACATGTACTGTAGACTTGGTGCAACTGAAAACAGTAAAATACCAAATAATTTACAAAATATATCTATATGCTTTTGGATTATCTTTGTTACAAAATAAAATGACTAAAACTTAACTATCTTAGTATGGTTCACAGCCATTAAGAGGTTTTGATTCAATCCATAATGAATAAATTATGTGATCATTCTTTTTGTTTAGTTTCCTTTTTTACATCAGCTATTCTGTAAAACAGTATCCAAAAAGAGGTTATATTAAGAGATCATATGCAATGGGTTTTAAACATGTATTTAATTGTTTATGATTTCAGAGCAATTTGTAAAGTTCAAATTAAACAAATATCTCAATTAAAACTATATCTTATGTATTATTAGTGAAAATTACTATTAAGTCAACCATAAAAATCAATGTTAACACCACCCTTATTTGTTATGGTATTTTTTATTTCAGATGGAGTATATGGACATATGAGGGTACCATGCCTCCACCTCGTAAACTGTCTCAGCAGGTATAATCATAATGGAAAAATTGAATATAAATAGTTAACAGAAATCTCAGAGTATTGTTTTTTAATGCCTCTACATCACATGATAACAAAAAATAAAATTTCACACACTTTTTAAACAAGAATATATAAAAAATCTAGCTATAATTTTGATTCACTAAAAAAATACATGAGGAATATGTGTATGATCACATGACTGAAAGCTCATATTCACAATGGTAGATAATGTAAACATACAAAACCTTCTTTTTACTCTATATCATATAGCTTTAAAGCTGTTTACACAAGTTATTTATGTTTCAGTTTGATCTAATATCTGTATATGAAGATTCTGTTGCTAATCATCTTTCCAAAATATTACATTCCGAGGATCATTCTGTTGTTATATCATCTGCAAAGTAAGTAGTAATTGATATCTCCAGGTTTTAATTAATATCAATATTTCTGTATATTGATAAACATATATTGCTGAATATCATTAAGGAGTCATATTTTTAATGTACATACGAAAACAAACCCAGATGTACTGAGTATTTTATTACTAGGATGATTGTTTTTTGATTACATTTTATTTTTATTTATTTTTTTTTTTTTTTTTTTCATATTGCTGGAATGGGATAAATTGTTGTCTTGAAAGAGGAAGTATGATTTGGACCATTATTTGGCCCCTGAAATGGCAAAACAATTGTAGAATTTTCGAAATCGTTTCAAATTTGTTAATTTTTAGATATATGAATATGAAGATGGTATACGCTGGTCTTGTCATTTATGGTGTCCTCATGGTATTATAAACACATCATAATTGACTTATTTAATCAGAAAGTACAGTATTACACATATTTTTCCCTTGTTCAGAATGTGAGCTTCAAATAAACATGGACTTCTTCAAATATTAAAGATACTTATTCCACCTAACACAATTTTTCTTTCTAAGCAGAAGTAAAGATAAAAAATTATTTTATTTTTCAGAGTTTTATGTGAAACAGTAAAAGATTTTGTTGCCAAAGTAGGAGAATCTTACAAGACTGAAGGCAAAGAATCTGATATATCTGATAAAGTATGCAATGATTTTATTGTAAACTTATATATAAACTGCTAGAATTCTAATATTGCAAGTCCTGAAAAAGGAATCACTCAGTTAGAACTAAATTTCTAGGCATCTTATTTTATATGATATCAGGCATATCTAATTGTATGTTAATTTTTAGTATGGTTCATATTCTGTTCTTTACAAAGTTTTTCTACATGATCTGAAAATCAGGAAAATTGGTGGTCAGATAATTTACTTTTATAAGTTATATGGTTTGCTACTGACCCCATACAGATCCATAGACTAGGTTTAGTTATATCCATAAGGGTGAGGCCGAAGAACGAATCCTTTATGCATTTTACTAACCCTCTATGGATCTGTAGGGGGTAAGTAGTGAACCTTATAACGAATTTATCGCACACAGGACTTTTTCTGTCAAGTTTTGTATAAAAATAAACAATGAAATACATTAACATTAACAGATAATGTCACCATTAAAAGTAGACTTGATGTCACACTACCACATGACGGCATTAAACCAATCATGTCACAAATTTACCCAGACGCAATAAAGTATGTTATGGGGGTATAATTATTTAATAAACTGCACTCAAAGTAATTTATAAAATTAAATGGTAAAATTCAATGAGACTGCATTCTAACAAGGCAACCAACCTATAAAAAAAAAAGCACAAACTAAAACAGACATTGTATGAGTTAAACAAAATACTTTAACTTTCATTTCAGTGTAATGTATTAAATGAAAAATTAGAAAGTTTGCTCACAACGTTAGAAGAAGAAGCTCAAGCCTCTACTCAGGTTAGTTGATATCAAAGGATTTTTTTCTAATCTGTATGAAAAAAATCTGTATACTGAGAGATGGAGTATGTACCAGAAGTAAATACTGTTTAATTGTTCATAGTTTTCAAAAGTAAAATCAATTTTATAAAGAAAAACTGGTTTTTTTTTCAAAACTGACAGCAATAAAATTCCTTGAGCATTTTAGAGATACTGGTTGATTTGTCTGTATGAAATTAACAAAATTCATGAATTTGCAGGTACCAAAGAAGACAGAGCCTGAAGCTTGTATAGGTTCTCCTGACAGAGATATAGTCCCAAATGAAATCACTACAAATATAACAAATACCAAATCTGTAAGTATAGAGATGGTTTGATAAAGCCTTTACAACAGTAATTGATATTGATGACGTGACGTCATACAGATTAGGGGTTTGAAAAGCTTTTGTAACCGTGACTGATATCGATGTCATCACGGATGGTTGATACAGCACGATTGGCATTGATTGTATTACACATACAATATACCTGTATTTACCACTTAGTATATAATAAAAAAAAATATTATCCAGCTGCTAAAATCTGATCTGGTCGACTGGGATGAGATTATGAAACCTATAAATTTTGAACTACACCTTTTAAAGTATTTTTTATCATAGAAAGAATGATATTAAATGTATAGAAAAGATTTTGAGGTTTATAGGGGAAATAACTCTACTTTATAATTGATAGTCCTTCATTATGGTTTTCATTTTCACAAATTTTGTCAAAAATCCTATTTTGGAATTTCATAATTAGAAAATATATAAAACTCTTATTTGGAAATACATTGGATTAAAATTCTATAAAACCAAGTTATGTTTTTAAATGATGGTTGTTGTTAATTTTGCAGTTCCAAAATTAATATTATACCTTGCTTAAGTGAAATATTGGAAATTATTAGGTCAAATCGATGATCATATACACTATGCCTTAAACTAATGAGTAAGGAAAATAATGAGCCTGGGTAGTCACAGGCTCCCTAGTTAATCTAGGAAGAATTTGTGCAAGGGTACAGGTTATCCCCATGGTGACCCACTTACTTTGTGGGATGCCTGGGTTGTTGTGATCTGCCTGAACCCTATATTCAATTAAAAAGTAGAAAAATTGTTTGGAAGCTTTTTCTGTATTTTTTGGTTATAAAAATGCCATACATTTTAATGAATGTCAATTATTTTTCAGGCAATATTTAAACCAAGAGATGCTTTAATGTCCAGAGCCAATAGTTTAAAGAAAGCTGTCCGACAAATCATTGAACATACAGAGCGAGGTAGGTATATTCGTATATTTTGTTCAAATGCACTAAGAAGGTCTATCATTGATTTTACTTTTACCAATTAGTATACACCAGTATATTTAAATAATGCAATGCTGGAATTCAATACTTACATACATTGAATGTAGTAAATCTTTGAAAGCCTTAATTCCATAACACTGAAAAGATACTGATTATATATCACATGTACAAAAGACATATTTACTACTTTACATTGTATTGAATATCACACAAAGAAGAATTTCCAATTAAAATATTTTATTAAATTATGCTGTATCAGTCACATTACCTAAGTTTGATAAAAAAAAAAAGTATTTTATTTTAACATATTTTTTTGAAGCTGTTGATGAACAAAATGCCCAAACACAACAGTTTCTTGAGAATGAGTCCAGGTCTGTGGGAAGTACAGAAGAATTGGACAATAATCATACTGGGTCCTTGTTAGCTGATAACCATACCTCAAGGTCAGCTCCATCATTCTCAGTGTTTACTTCAGAGGAAATGCCACCACGATTCCAGTTAAAGGCCAGTAAAATAGGTAGGTTGTATGCTAATACACATGGAATAAGAACTTTATTAAATGCAATTAAAAAAGAGTTGAAAACAAAAAGATATGTTAGAAACACATGTGTGCACTGCTATTCTCAGAAATTATCCATTTTGTTGTACACATCCAATTTTAGGCACATCACTGTATTATGTATAAACACTACCATGATTTTAGTCTCACATCAGTATATCACCATGATTATTTATTTCAGACACATCACCAAAGATATTGCCTATATCGTCACGTAGAATTAGTAGTATGAGTACCTTATCCAGTATAGGTTCCAATATGTCTAATAAAAGTTCCTCTAAAGATAACATTCCAATGTCATTATTAGGGTTACCTATAGTGGATTATGGTGCATTACCTAGTAAGTACTCAGTCATTTAGATTTAAGTCAGAATATTAAAGATATTTAAATTCTGATGCTCTTGTCATTGAGGGTCCTAATTAGAAAGTATCTTATGACTGAGACAATTTGCTGTAATAAAACCACTTTAGTTTATGTATTGATTATCATGGTATTCATTATTAGAGAGTTTGAAGTAGTTGGTAGAAATATACTTTTGAGATCCCTTCTACATTTTACCATTACAGTAGAGGATTGAGACATGCTCTGGTCATTTACTTGCTGCATTTCACAGTAAACTTACTTTTATTGAAACTGTATTGAATGTATGAGAGTGGTATTAAACACTATATAACAAAAAAAGTAATACAACATTCCTCATTTCACTGCACTTAACTCCAAGCACATTATATTTTATAATTATGCTAATTTGTTGTGAAGCAGTACTAACCAGTTTAAATGTACTTAGTTCTTGCACATGAATGACATACACTTTGAAACTGTCAAGAGAAGTTCACCAGTTGGTCAGTTGTATTATGAAAGGTTTCCTTACGACTAAAAGTTTATGTTTATTTTTCATATTAACTAAGAAATATATTTAAATATGCTGTGGACTCATTATTAGTATTCCTGGGAAACTAATTTTCGTGGATTTAGTGGTTATAGGTAAACCATGAATTTAAATGTTCAACAAAGTACAAACGACCTATATGCTTGTATGCGGACTTTGGCAAAACCATGAAATTAAACATTCACGAATATACAAATTTTCTTCAATCCACGAAAATTGGTATCCATGAATATAAATGAATCCACAGTAGTTGGCTCTTTTTAATCCCACAATCCATAAAAGCATTATTCGGTTATTTGCCTAACTTTCACCAGCACAGAATCATTTCCTATTTATCTCTAATGTAAAAAAGAAAGTTTGTTTGCATGACATGTTGCCTTTTGGTTAATTGCATATAGAAAAAAAAATGACATTTAGATAATTAAAATAAAAATTTATTGATACAGCAATATCAAGGTTACTCCTTTTATGTAAGAGGACATGTCATTGTTCTTACATGCATTCGTTCATATCTTTTATACATTAAATTTTTTCTTTTGTTATTGATAAAAAACGCAATTTAGGACATATTCATTTTCCTCGAGTAAAATTGCATAATTTTTTATGGAAAGTGAGCTATGTAAATAACTGAAATCCTCTGTATACTGAATTTGCTATATTTGAAGCATTTATCTTGATTTCCCTACAATAGGAAAACTGGAGCAAAAAATATAGAAAGCCAAATATATGTAAATGCATAGGAAGCTGTTCAAATTGTACATTGTAGGATGCTAATATATATAAGTGATCGTGCATGTTTCTGACTTACATTTTTGTTCTTAAATGTGAACTTTTAGAGTATTTGACGTTAAATTTATATTATTTTTGTTTCAGGTCTTAGTAGTAGTATAGCAGCTAAATTAGCTGGTGGTAGTTTTATAAGTAAAGTTCTATTAGCTAATGCTGATGCTTTGTGTGCTGCAGCCTCTCCTTTGATGGAGGAAGAGATTCCATCGTAAGTAATCTGTTAAACAGAAGAACATAAAGTTACTTTCTATTATAAACCTAAATTTTGCCAAAGACAAAAAAAACAAAAACCCTAATAAATTAACACTAGGTAAAAATAGGACAATTGAAAAAAAACGCATCACCCTGAGAGTTTATAAACCTCAGTTTTTGTTTATATTACATAAAATTTATAACAATATGTTCTTCATATCATAACAGTTACATAACAATGACTATTGGTTTTATTATGACCTCATAGACTAAACAGACCAATTGTTTTTGTAACAAACATGCAATAATAAAACAAATGGATACCAAATTTAGTGTGTCTATGCCAATTTATGTTATTGGAAAGCGCCTTAAAGTTATGGTCTAAGTCTCATGACCTCCATTTATAGAAGAGAATTGATAATCTTTATGGAAGAAACTGACAAGTACTGAATTTTATAATGTAAAGGGTTTTGTCACTTTCAATGTTAAAGAAGAAAGTATTGATGAAAATTTCAGCAATTATTTTCAGTTTACTGATAGTATACTTGGGAATATGCTTTAGATAATGACAAAATTTGAAATTAAGGTAAACATATATTTGCATATTGTTTTGTTTATAACAAACTAAAATAGTCGAAATTACTATCCTTATTAGATAAAATTGAGTTTTTTTTTTATAAATGAATGCTATTCATTATACATACATATATATCTCAAGAACATAACAAAATATAAAGATATGATTGTGGTTTAAAATGGATAATACATAATACTTTCAATATAGATACTTGAACAGTAAGTTGATTGGATCCAGTTATACACCTTACTCTTCTTTTTTTTTTTCAGAAGGGAGTATATTGAAAAATGTGTAATGAATAATTATTTTGGAATTGGTTTAGATGCAAAAATTTCCTTAGATTTTCAAAATAAAAGAGAAGAACATCCAGAAAAATGCAGGTATGTATAATAATGAGGGTATACATATTTTATTTTTTTGGAAGAGGAAATGCAGTTGTTTACAGTATAAAGCAATACAGTACTTCCAAAATAGTCTGTTTCTCCCAATCTGATCTCATTTTACACACGGGACCTCAAATCCGTCATGTGAATATGTCAGACAGTTAGACTTGGTTCTGACCAACAACATGTCGTCTCCCTATAATATGTGTCCTGTCACATTAACAGCAAGATTATATGGTTAAAACAGAAAGTTTAAGTGGGAATCTGTTCAAATTTTCTTTAATTGCCTGTGAGAAAGACCAGACATAGTCCTAGAAAAATGTAATTTGTAGTGTGATTTTTTTCAACCTCAACTTTGAAGCAGCCACTATCTCAGAAATCCCCTATTGCAAAGGGTAATTTTCAGTACATGCATTGCAGGACTTTGTCAGGAATATTCTGAAATTTGTAAATGTCAGTTTGTGAAATGTCTACAGTACTTATCAGTGATTAAACTATTTCAATCAATGATATCATTCCTGAGAAATATACTAAACAATACAGTTAATTAAAAAATTTTCATTGTGACAATATGAACATTTTCACTTTCATTGTAATCTTTGTTTCAGAAGTAGAACCAAAAATTTTATGTGGTATGGCGTTCTGGGTGGAAAGGAAATTTTACAGAGGACATTCAAAAACTTAGATCAACGAGTACAGTTAGAATGTGATGGACAGAAAATTCCTCTGCCTAGTCTACAAGGCATTGTAATACTCAATATTCCAAGGTATGGATCAATTTACTGTAGTTAATATAGACTATAAAAGCGTTTTCAAATTACAAAAAAGGCTCAATAAATATTGCATTTTTTGCTTGAAAACTGTATAGAATATTTCTGTCAACACATTTGCTTACTTAAGATATGTTGAATTTAATTTATATTAAATTTGAATTAAAATAATAATTTTTTTAATGATGATAGATGTAGGAAGTGGTACTTTAATTGACCATGCGATCACCAAAAAGACCAGGATGTATTTACCAAATTTGTACCAAGTTGTCAGGGAAACTTCAGATCTTCTCAGCAAATCTTTGAAATAGCATATACTTATTATATTTAGGTAGAATGTCTTTATATGACTACGACTTACTTCTTATATAATCTTGATGTCTAGAATTGTTGACCTCACTAAATGCACCACAGTTTTCAATATGGTATTGAAATAATACTGTGAAATCAACAAGCAATGTTTTGTATTGTTGAAATAACTGTTTTTACTTACAGATCTTACATATGTTTTTTTGTATTTCAGTTACATGGGAGGTGCTAATTTTTGGGGAGGAACAAAAGAAAAAGATGTGAGTATATTTTTTAGATTCATATATTATGTGTATTATGGATTAAAAACAAGTTTATAACAATTCAAATTGAAATAGGACAATGAACTGAAGTAGCTGTATTATTCTTGGAGATGTTTCAGCTAAATATAATATTCTACAGGGAATTTAAGTCTTGAATTATAACTTACTTTTGAAATTGTAAAAGTAGTCCAATAGTGTTGCAGATTGGTTTTATATAAAAAACAATATATTTTGGGGTATTTTTTGTAAAAAAAAAAAATTGTGCTTTTAATCAGAAGTTGACCACAAAAAAATGTAAAGTTCTTAATGTAATAGTTTCGTTATTTCAGACATTTCAAGCCCCAAGTTTTGATGACAAGATTTTAGAAGTTGTAGCAGTATTTGGTGGTATGCAGATGGCAGTCTCCAGAGTATTAGATATACAACATCATAGAATTGCTCAGGTATTTATATATTTGCTTTACACAGAATCTAAAAATTTGGAATTCTTGCTCTAAAGGGCATATGCATGTAATATTTGCCACTGTACTTTAAGCACCCATTGGTCAATCAATACTGTTGTTTGCTTTCAATGCAGAAGCCAATGTTAAAGGCATATTCAGGACAAAATACCAAAAATTAAAGCAACAGCCAATTTTTATACGACCGCAAAAAAATTTTGTGGTCGTATATTGGTATGACGTTGGCGTCGTCGTCATCATCCGAAAACACATTGGTTTTCGCACTCTAACTTTATTTTAAGTGAATGGATCTCTATGAAATTTTACCATAAGGTTCAATACCACAAAAGGAAGGTGGGGATTGATTTTGGGGGTTATGGTACCAACAGTTAAGGAAAAAGGGGCCAAAAATAAGCATTTTTGTAACTTCCAGACATAACTTGTGTGTTAGTGTATGGATCTCTCTGACATTGTACCACAAGGTTCCATATCACAAAGGGAATGCTGGGATTGATTTTGGGGGTAATTGCCTCCAAATTTAAGGAATTAGGGGCCAAAAAGGGGCAAAAAACAAGCATTTTTCTAGTTTCATGACAATAACTTTAGTGTAAGTGTATGGATCATTATGAAATTGTACTACAAGGTTCCATATCACAAAGGGAATGCTGGAATTGAGTTTGGAGGTAATTGCCCAAAACGTTTAGGAATAAGGGGCCAAAAAGGGGCCAAAAATAAGCATTTTTCTAGTTTCCAGACAATAACTTGTGTTCAAGTGTATGGATCTCTCTGAAATTGTACTGCAAGGTACCATATCACAAAGGGAAGGCTGGGATTGATTTTGGGGGTAATTGCCTCAAAATTTTAGGAATTACGGGCCATAAAGGGGCAAAAAAACGCATTTTTTTAGTTTCAGGACAATAACTTATGTGTATGGATCTTTATGAAATTGTACTGCAAGGTACCATATCACGAAGGGAAAGCTGGGTTTGAGTTTGGGGGTTATTGCCCTAAACGTTTAGGAATTTGGGGCCAAAAAGGGGCCAAAAAAAAAGCATTTTTCTAGTTTCCAGACAATAACTTGTGTTCAAGTGTATGGATCTCTCTGAAATTGTACTGCTTGAATGTTGTGTCCATACTTGCCCCAACTGTTCAGGGTTCGACCTCTGTGGTCGTATCAAGCTGCGCCCCAGCGGAGCATTTTATTAAGGCATATTGCGGTCAAAATCCAAAAAAATCAATGCAATGATCAATGTTTAAGGCATATTCAGGGCAAAACACCAAAAATTAAAGCAACAGCTAATAACACAAAATGCCAAAGCATCAACAAAAGGGCCAATGTTTAAGGCATATTCAGGGCAAAACACCAAACATTAAAGCAGCAGCCAATATTTAACTAAGGCATGTTCATGACAATACCAACGATTAACTCAACAACCAATTTTTAAGCCATAATTAGGACAAAATAAAAAGCAGCCAATGTTAAAAGCATATATTCAGGACAAATATACCAAAAAATTTCCTTATATGATTTATGTTTATGTATTTTACAGTGTAGAACAGTAAAGATAACAATAATTGGTGATGAAGCTGTTCCTGTACAAGTCGATGGTGAGGCTTGGAACCAACCACCAGGCTATATCAGAATTGTCCATAAGAACAGAGCACAGATGCTGACCAGGGACAGGGTAGGTCACAGTGCTGTTACAATTCCACAGTTAGTTTTGTGATTGTCATGGAGGTTGACATTTTAGCATTGTTTTGCTTGTTTTCTGTTGAATTTAACAAAGTATTTCTCCTTTATCAAACAAAAGGACTGTCATTTAGGCCCTGTCGACTAGTCTGTCTGTCTGTCCATTTGAAGCACTTCTATATTGTATCATAAGTCCAGACTGCATCAAGTAAAGCATATTCTTATGCAATGTGTTTATGCCTATAAAAGGAAGGCCTTAGTTTTTGCTGGTCATATGCTATGTAACATATTTGCTATCCTTGTAAACCACAAAAGTCAGTGGTGATTCTTGTCTAGAGCTGGTTTAAGGTAACTGGACTATGATAAATGGTGATGGTAAACTGTATTTGGCTTGTCCCACAAAGTCCACTAAAAAATATACCACATGTATTGCTTTGTATTTATCAATATCACTCAAAAATGTGCAAGTAGAGCTGTAGCTGACATGCTAAATTTATTGAATACCACAGCTTAGCACATGGATTTGTTTTCAGGACATTAGGCACCAAGCACACCACAATATCATCTTGCAAATTATTTTCATTCAGGCATTTGAGAAGACCTTAACCCAATGGTCAGAGAAACAGAAAACAGAGAGACCACGGAGTCCTCAAGCCATCCCTCTCTCTGAGGAAGAGTCAATAGTTTTACAGAGCTTTGTAGAGGCAGCATCCTCCCTTATAAAGTGGTTTGTACCTTATTGTGTAGTTTTTAGACACATGATCAAAGTCAAGTTAACAATTTTCAGACATTGTCTGAAGTATGAAAGTAATATCTAAAAATGAAACATTTTTATGCCCCCGCTGTAGCCGAGGGGGCATTAAGTTTTACCCTTGTCTGTTTGTCGTACGTATGTACGAACGAAAGTACATACGTCCCAAAGTTGGTTTCGGTTCTCTTACTTTAGTTTGCCTCAACCAAATGTTTTGAAACTTATACAAAATGCTTATTACCACAAAACACGGATCAAGTTTGAATTTTGGTGGCGTCACTTTAACCGTTCTAGAGTTATGCCCCTTTACAAATGGAAAAATTGCTGAATTTTTCGTTTCCGTTCTCTAACTTTAGTTAGCATCAACCAAATGTTATGAAACTTGTACACAATGCTTATTAACACAAAATACAGATCAAGTTTGAATTTTGGTGGTGTCACTGTAACCATTCTAGAGTTATGTCCCTTTACAAATGGAAAAATTGCTGAATTTTTCGTTTCCGTTCTCTAACTTAAGTTTGCCTCAACCAAATGTTATGAAACTTATACATAGTACTTATTACCACAAAACTCAGATAAAGTACAAATTTGGGTAGCATCACTTTTACGGTTCTTCAGTTATGTCCCTTTATAAATTTATATGATATGCAAGCGGGGGCATCATCTGTGTCCTGGGACACATTCCCCATTTATTTTCATTGCAAAGGGCTCTGTTAGATTGTTTTCAGTGTGAAAGATAAGTCTGTGAAATGAAAACTATATGCTCTTAATTTTAGGCTGAAATTGCCACAAGGTGTCATTTGAATAACATAGTAAGCTGTGTATTATTGTGTGAAATTCTAATGCAATAATTTTGTATCAATGGTTCTGATTGGATGACAGTAAGCGTACAATTCTCTATCTCCTTGTCTGTAACTAAGGAAGCCGACATTTTGAATTCCGGAATGTATTGACATGTAATTTCTCCAATAATAAGCAAAAAAACTTACATTTTGCACCTTCAAATTTTCTTTTTATCAAGTTTTATTCCATTCTGAAGCGGACAAGAAGCCAGAAGACGCCCGGTGTTTACGTTTGATGCTGGAAGCTTACATATGACGTCACATAGTTTAAGCGCCAAAGAAGATAACATTCTTTTCGGGAATTTTTTTTTTAATGAAAATTTTACACTGTAATAATGACTAAAATTCAACGATTTGTTTATTTTGCATTAGAATAGAGATAACTGTATTGTATTTGAAGCTTTGCGGACGTCCATCGGTAGTTTTACTGTCGCAAATATCCCTTTACCTGTCTCCGCTACGCATCGCCAGGTAAACTCAATTTGCGACAGTAAAACTACCGATGGACGTCCGCAAAGCTTCAAATACAATACAGTTATCTCTTAAATGGCATCCAGTAAATTGTAACCTGGTGTTATTAGTCCCCTACCGACGAAGTCGAAGGGGACTTTAGGTTTGCACTCCGTCTGTCTGTCTGTCTGTCTGTCTGTCTGTCTGTCTGTCTGTCTGTCTGTCTGTCCATCAGTCTGGCAAATCAGTTTTCCACACTTTTTTCTTCGTGCTTGAAGATATTGATTTGAAATTTGGTATATACTTTTATCATGACAAGATACAGATCAAGTTAAAATTATGTTCCGGTCTGATGAATTTGTGCAGAGTTATGGTCATGCTTGAAGATATTGACTTTTTATTTGTTATATAGTTTACACCATGCAAAGTTATAGATCAAGTTAGCATTTTGTTCCAGTACAATGAATTCTTAACCGGTAGGGGACTATGTATTGTAATGCAATACTCTCAGAATGCTTGTTTTATTATAAACTAGAATCTATCTTTATTTCAGTGTGAAAGTAGTTTCCAGGAAGTACAGTGCTGTTGAAGAAGATTTGTATCCCCTAGCAACCCAGTCTTCAGAATTCTTAGACAATTTGTTTCCATCAGGACGACTAGCTGATGTATGTATTTAAATATTTACCTCAATTTTTATGTCAACATTGAACCAAACCATACACAAAAAGTTGTTGTTAAAAAAATGGATATTGTTTGTTATGTGAAATGCTCACCTGTCAACTTGCAATACTTTTAAATCTCTATGTCTTTTGTATGGTTACCATTTTGTCTTATTTATGTTCATTTGAATGTGTAAATGTTGTTTCATTCAATTTAATTTGACGTCATACAGCTATAATTTAGGTGGTGAAAAAAGAAAGTATGAAGAGCTATACTTCATGTATTAAGATAGTTTTAAGATATATGTACATGTAGTAGTATACATAAGTACGTTGATATTGATAAGCCTGAACTTTGGTGAATGTAAAATTAATAGTAACTGACATTTTAGGTTATTTTTTGGCCTATTAAAGGACATGAAATAGTACTACTATTTTAGTTTCAGCTGTAAATTTTAGTTACAAGTTTTCATAATCCCTGTTTAGGGATAAGTAGCTCAGTTTTTGAAATTAAGGTCAATTGCAAAAATGTAGATCATCTTAGTTCTCGTACCAAAAATCTATGGCCAAAAATTTTCACATTCATGGCAAATATAAAGAAAGTTTTTGTAATTGGTAATTAAAAGTTTATCAAACTTATTGAATAAAAGTGAAATTGAAATAAATATTAATAATATTAAAAAAGAATTTGGTATAATATTTTCTTGTTGATAAATTAGTTTTTGTTTTTATTTAATCAGCTTGATACAGATGAAACTGAAATAAGCCAGGTTGATATATGTTGTCGGGAATGTTGTTTAGCTGAGGGGCTCTGCAATAGGGGTTGACATGTTTCCACTTAACAAATTCACTTGCAAATATATAATTCCACCTTTCATGCTGAATAACAAATGAAATATTTGTACTGTCCCTTACAACAAATTGATGTTATCCCAGCTTAAAGCATGCCAAGCATGAATCATGCAGTTTAAGTAGATTTTTTCATGATAAAAGTATTGATTCAGATGTTATTACAGCCTTGTGTCAAATTTTTTGTTAGTATAGATGTGCTTTAGTTTGCTCAGCATGAATTGATGTTGATATTGTATCTTTAATTCACTGAATTGTATCACAATCACACATTCATTTTCTTGCAAGTGGCAAAGTCTGTTTTGAATTGTTATTATCAAGTAAAACAAAAAGCAACTATCAGTTTCTGTGCATAAATGTGATCAGGATATGTGTTTTAATTTCAAATTTATAAAATTGTACTATAAAATAATTATTCAATTTCTGCTTTTACTTTGATGAAATTATGAATTTAAAAAAAATGAGCAAGATGACATTAAAATCTGTTCTATTAACCTATTAAGAGAGAATTCATTGCACTGTTTTAATTGATGATTTTAGATTTTCAAGATGTTTGAATGTTTTGATTTATTTGCAGCCAACAGTACGAAGTCAAGTAACAGATTTTATACGTAGTGTCCAACATCTTTATAATGATACCAATGTCTTTCTTACTGATAAAGCAGCTCTACTAGTAAGTAAATTGATTTTTATGCCCCCCGCCGTAGCGGAGGGGGCATTAAGTTTTACCCTTGTCTGTCTGTATATCCGTACGTCCGTCTGTACGTCCCAAAGTTGATTTCCGTTCTCTAACTTTACCTTTGCCTCAACCAAATGTTATGAAACTTATAAACAATGCTTATTTCCACAAAACACAGATCGAGTTTGAATTTTGGTGGCGTCACTATAACCGTTCTAGAGTTATGTCCCTTTATAAATGGAAAAATTGCTGAATTTTTCTTTTCCATTTTCTTAATTTTAGTTTGCCTCAACCAAATGTTATGAAACGTATACACAATGCTTATTACCACATAATACAGATCAAGTTTGAAATTGGGTGGCGTCACTTTTACAATTCTTGAGTTATGCCCCTTTATAAACATAAAAACTGCTGAATTTTTCGTTTCCGTCCTCTAACTTTAGTTTGCCTCAACCAAATGTTATGAAACTTATACACAATGCTTAAGTATGAAATTGGGTGGCACCACTTGTACCTTTCTAGAGTTATGCCCCTTTATAAACATAAAAATTGCTGAATTTTTCATTTCTGTTCTCTAACTTTAGTTTGCATCAACCAAATGTTATAAAACTTATACACAATGCTAATTACCACAAAGTACAGATCAAGTTTGAATTTTGGTGGTGTCACTTTTACCTTCTAGAGTTTTACCTGTTTACAAATGGAAAAATTGCTGAATTTTTTGTTTTTGTTCTCTAACTTAAGTTAGCCTCAACCAAATGTTATGAGACTTATACACAATACTTATTACCACAAAACTCAGATCAAGTACAAATTTGGGTAGCGTCACTTTTACTGTTCTTCAGTTATGTCCCTTTATAACTTTATATGATATGCAAGCGGGGGCATCATCTGTGTCCCTTGGACACATTCCCCATTTATTTTTTTTTAGAAAAACCATGTTATCCTTTATTAGTATTAAAATATACAGTATTTATTTTATCATATACATAGATATTTTGTGAATTTAAAGTAAAATAAATAAATAAATACCTGAGGTGAGGAATTTTAATTTGGTAAAATGATATTGATAAAAGACATAATCAAATGTCTGATTCAAAATCCTTATGATGTTAGTAAGAAAAGTAAGAGTATTACAGCATTTTTATGAAAAAAGAAACAGAAATAAAAAGACCAGCAGAACAACTGCCACTGAAAGAAAAGTTGTAAAGAGATTTCTGTTTTGTTCATTTCTAAAATATTTTTATTCATTACAGAGACTAGATTCAGATGTGACGGATCAGCTCAGTATGTGTCTCGCTCAGTTAGATATAGAATTACAGAAAATTTGTCAGATATTTAACCTTCCATTCCATACACCATCACCATCCGTTTCTCAGGAAGAGGTTAGTATGTCTCGCTCAGTTAGATATAGAATTATAGAAGATTTGTCAGATATTTAACCTTCCATTCCATACACCATCACCATCCATTTCTAAGGAAGAGGTTAGTATGCCCGCTCAGTTAGATATAGAATTATAGAAGATTTGTCAGATATTTAACCTTTCATTCCATACACCATCACCATCCGTTCCTCGGGAAGATTTTAGTATGTCTTGCTCAGCTACATGTAGATATAGAATTATAGAAGATTTGTCAGATAATTAACCTTTCATTCCATACACCATCACCATCCGTTTCTCAGGAAGTGGTGAGTATGTCTGGCTCAGTTAGATATAGAATTACAGAAGATTTGTCAGATATTTAACCTTCCATTCCATACACCATCACCATCCGTTTCTCAGGAAGAGGTAAGTATGTCTCGCTCAGTTAGATATAGAATTACAGAAGATTTTTCAGATATTTAACCTTCCATTCCATACACCATCACCATCCGTTTCTCAGGAAGAGGTAAGTATGTGTGAGTACTTTCATCCATCCCCTTTTCTGTCCATCCTGTATCAGGGTAAAGTTATGGTCTTATTGTTAGCATTTAGGCCAAACTGGTAGGTTTTCACATAAATTAAACTGGCCACCCATGTATTACTGACTTGAACATGCTTTCTGTTTGGACTTAAAAAGTGTTAGCAGTCTTTCTGTTGATTTTTACTGCTGTGCTAAGACTAAGTTAGACAGATGCTAAATGAACTATTTCTAAAGTGACATTCATGTACAAAAATACAGTCAAGTTACTAGTAGCTAAACGTCTTAATAGTTTTCATGCTGAGGGACAACCAAAAGAGCACTGTTTGTTTGAAAAACAAATGAATAGATGTAATACCAAACTTTGTTAAGTAACTGAGTAAATTTGTTAAGTATGGCTTACCTCAGTGTTAGTTGTGAAACAATTGACGAGTAGACCCAATAAGTACACATCTCTTTAATACTGTTGATTTTCTATTTCAGCCTCTTACTCCCAGTATAGAACAGAGTAAAAAAGGCAAACCTGGTAGATTAAAGCATGTATATAATAAACTGAAAGGCAAGAGTAAAGACAAAGATAGCAAAGTTAACATTCCAGTTTGTAAGTTTATACTTTGAATAAATATGAAAATTAAAGAAGATATGGGGTAATCATTAATTAACTTGCCACTCAACAACACTACCTGACTTTATGAAGCAGTTATTTGCAATGAAAGAAATAGTGTTCACAATATAAAATATCAAAACTACCTGACATGCTGTTTTAACCAGACAATTCATTTATGATTGGATTCATTTTTATACGCCTGTTTACGGGACGTATTATGGTATACAGTTGTCTGTCAGTCCGTCCGTCGTCAACATGTCGGACAATAACTCAAAAAAGCTTTAACCAATTTGCATGAAACTTTGGTGAATTGTTTATATATATTGACGTGAGCTCCCTTTCAATTTTTATTCATTAAAAAAGGGGGATTTTCCAGTTTTCGGACAATAACTCAAAAACACTTTCACCAAATTGCAAAAAACTTTGGTGAATTGTTTATATCTATTGATGTGAGCTCCCTTTCGATTTTTATGAATTTTAGATTTTACGTTACCGAGTTACAGGGTTTTATTCATTAAAAAAGGGGGATTTTCCAAATTTTGGACTATAACTCAAAAATGCTTTGAGCAGTTTTCATGCAATTTTGGTGAATTGTTTATAGCCATTGACGTAAGCTCTCTTTTTATTTTTATAAATTTTTGATTTTACGTTTCCGAGTTATGGGATTTATTCATGAAAAGGGTTGATTTTCCAGTTTTTATACGCCCGTTTCCAAATTTCGGACTATAACTCAAAAATGCTTTGAGCAGTTTTCATGCAATTTTGGTGAATTGTTTATATATATTGACGTGAGCTCTCTTTCGTTTTTTATAAAATTTAGATTTTAAATTTCTGAGTTATGGGGTTTTATTCATTAAAAAAAGGGGGATTTTCCAGTTTTCGGACAATAAGTCAAGAATGCTTTCGCCAACTTGCAAGAAATTGTGGTGAATTGTTTATATCTATTGACATGAGCTCCCTTTTGATTTTTATAAATTTTAGATTTTACGTTTCCGAGTTACAGGGTTTTATTCATAAAAAAAGGGGGGATTTTCCAGTTTTCGGACAAAAACTCAAAAATGCTTTCAGCATTTCTTATGAAACTTTAGTGAATTATTTGTATGTATTGATGTAAGCTCCCTTTAGAATTTTATAAATTTAACATTTTACATTTCTGAGTTATGGGGTTTTATTCATTAAAAAAAGGGGTGATTTTTCAGTTTTCAGACAATAACTCAAAAATGCTGTCACCAATTCTCATGAAACTTTGGTGAATTGTTTATATCTATTGACGTAAGCTCCCTTTTTATTTTCATAAATTTCTAATATGTCATTGAGAATTAATTGAACTTTATTTGTTTATAGTCTGACAACAGATTTACTAAGTATTGCACAACAGCAAGAAATCTTTAATTGAATATAAATTCAATTCATATAACCAATTTCAAGTTCTTTGACTACATTTATTCAGAAACCTATAATATGTCAAATATTTAATTACAATCCAAATTCAGACCTGAATCAAGCTTGAATATTGTTTCAATTTGTTCCCCAACTGTTCAGGGTTGGACCTCTGCGGGCGTATCTAGCTGCGCTCAGCGAAGCAGTTTATTGGACAATAACTCCAAAGTGCTTTGAGCAGTTTTCATGAAACTTTGGTGACTGGTTTATATCTATTAAAATAACCTCCCCTTAGTTTTTTATAAATTTCTGATATGACATTGAGGAGTTATTTATAACTTTATTCTTTGAAAAAGCGACGGGCGTATCATGCACTCATGGCGCAGCTCTTTATTCAATATATGATTTGAATTTTTTTTTTAACATTTAAAATTTGACAAATGAATTTTGAAAATCTATACTATTGAGACATTTTTATGGTAGTTTTATAAATATTTTAAGCCATATTGACCATGCTGACTAATGATATATTTTATTGAAATACTCATTATTTTTATTTTTAGCATATAATGTATACACTTGGACAACAGATGATGTGGGTTTGTGGTTAGAGTCCTTATCACTAGTAGAGTACAGAGATTCATTTATAGGGCATGAAATCAGGGGCACAGAACTCTTATCCCTAGATAAAGGGGACATACAGGTAAATAGATAGTGGATGTTCTTAAAATTTGTTTCTTACGGTTTCTTGTGAGGAATTTCTGTAATCTATAATTCAGTGTGTAGAATCAAATAAGACTGATAGGATTGCAATGCTTGAAAATGATATAGCCGCAAAATAATTTACTCACATGTATGATTTTTATGCCCCACCTAGGGGCATTGTGTTTTTCGGTCTGTGCGTCCGTTCATTCATCCGTTCATCCGTCTGTCCCGCTTCAGGTTAAAGTTTTTGGTCAAGGTAGTTTTTGATGAAGTTGAAGTCCAATCAACTTGAAACTTAGTTAACATGTTCCCTATGATATGATCTTTCTAAATTTAATGCCAAATTAGAGTTTTGACCCCAATTTCACGGTCCACTGAACATAGAAAATGATAGTGCAAGTGGGGCATCCGTGTACTATGGACACATTCTTGTTTTAATTATATGTATATAAAAAATATATTCCTAGGAAATAATTTAAACAACAACTGACCTGTATATAAATTTCTATTTTAGGATCTAGGAGTTCACAAAGTAGGCCATTTGAAAAGAATACAACAGGGGATTAAGGAGTTAAATAATCGTATGGCAGCTTTTGAGAAATCATCATGACAAAATAGTACATAATAGTTAATGGTGTCAAGTCTAATATGTGTTAATGTCCTGTATGGATAATGTTCAGATGTAACATCATAAGTGGCACTGTCTATGTCTTGTCGCATCAGTATGCTACATATTTATATGTCACTTACATCTTTTAATTGCTGTATTAATTTACTAAGCACCAAAGTACTTATTTAAAAAAAAAAAAATCTACCTAGTGAATGATAGTATTTGGCCAGAAATTTGGGGAAGTTAATTGTTGAAAATTAAGAAGATTCACATTTTTGTTCAAAGAAGATTCTGAAAGTTAAATTTAATTTAATAATGGATGTAGCTTTTATTCACAATGTTACTGGGTTTTTGTAAGGGGCTCCTTCCAGATGAATATACATTGTTTCTGAAATATGGTTGTTACCAGTTGAAAGTGCTTAAAAGATTTGAAATTCTAAACTAGAAGTAGTACTTCAGAATACTTATTTGTTTTTTGTTGAGTAATTCAGAAAAAAAATACTTAAGGCTGTATCTTCCAATATTTTGTCAGTACAGATAGATATATTTGTTTTGTCTGACTTTTAAAATCGTAAGTGTGTTAAGGCATTTAGAGCTACAAAAAAACTTGCAATTGAAATTTGTATTGATGTTGACAGTTTAAATGGATAAAAAATTGAACTATCAAACTTAATGTCAAGATTATATCAATCACATTTCTGTCTAAAAGTTTTTTAAATCCCATAGTCCTGAGAACAAGATTCAATCTTTATATAGTGAGTAAAAGTGTTAAAGAAGGGATAGTAACAGGTGTACCAACTTCAGTTACTGTATTGAGATTAAGTAATAGTACTTGTTTTCTCATTGTATAATTAAAAAAAAATGATAAAACTGGACACTATTAAAAAAATTCCTCTTAAGAGGCAAAACTCAGCATTGTATTGACGTCAGCATTTATTGTAAATGCTTTAATAAAATGTGTTTGTGCGTGACTTTAATAATTTTGTCCATGTGTTATGTGTAAATTGTATATGAAATGCAAAGACATTTTTCTACTTTTTCAGATAATTGTCATTTTTAAATAGTAGCTATTAAATGTTAAATATTGTTGGGACCAAAGCATTGTTTATTTTTTGTACTATTTTTTATGAGTGAAAATTATTTACATTCAACTGAGAATTGATCTTATAAGGTTCAGTTAAAAAATTACTGAGTGTTTGTCTTCTTTAAATTTGAAAACTTAGAATTTTAAGAATTAATTAGAAGAAATTAAAAGATGCTTTGTTTATATATTTTTAAACAACATGGACAAATTTCAGATTTCCATCATTTGCTGAGTTGTTCATTAATAAAATCATATTGAAATGAATGTACTTGAATTTATAGTGTTGTTGTGTCAAGTGGCAGTCTTTAATAAAACTATTGCCAAACAGATAACTTCTTTTAATTATACTCTTAAAAAATTATAGTTAACATATTGTTGCTTATAGCTTGAATATAGTATTTTTGAGTTTTTATTTAACTTTGACAGTTAGCTTTTGATGGCAAAATTTTGTGTTTTTTTTTGTTTTTGCCCATATTCAGAATGTACATTTTGATTTATGACCCTTTGGAAAAAGTAAATATCTTCATTGCTGATAAAAATGTATTTGATTTAAAGCTTAACCTTCATTATTATAAAAGGATGATTCTTTGAGCATATCTTTTCTCTTAGTTTATGAAAATGTTGAAGAATAGTCCTTACAAGTGATCAAAATTGAATATGAGTTTTGTTTCATCTTCAAACATGATGAACAGATTTTATTCATATTACAGTCAGTTTGGCTGATCTTGTTTGTCAAATAAGTCTGTATTTTTTGACATAAGATCAAATGAAGTATTGGAATCACGAACCAGCATTGTAATTTATAAAGACAAAAATTAACAATTTATTTGAATACAAACAACAATAGACATTTAAAAATATGAAGAAAATGTCATATAAAGGCATCAATAGGATGTGAATGAAAAAAGGATATTTCCCTCTTTGTATTATCCATGTCATTTAACCTTTAATCCTTGAGAATGGTACTTTATTATTGATCTCATTTTATTTTTGTAGCATAGTATATATGTCTGATCATTGTCAGACCAAAGATTATTATTTAATATCTGTAAATATCTTTTGTTTGTATAGAAGAGTTATTTATTTATTTTTATTTTTATAAAAATTGGTACACAAGATGTGTTTTTTTTTTTTTCATTTGCTTTGTTTTTGTTTGTTTGGGTTAATTATTTTATTAATATCTCTTTTTAGCTCACCTGACCTAAAAGGTCAAGTGAGCTTTTCTCATCACTTTGCGTCCGTCGTCCTGCGTCCGTCGTCCGTCGTCCGTAAACTTTTACAAAAATCTTCTCCTCTGAAACTACTGGGCCAAATTTGACCAAACTTGGCCACAATCATCATTGGGGTATCTAGTTTAAAAAATGTGTCCGGTGACCCGGCCAACCAACCAAGATGGCCGCCATGGCTAAAAATAGAACATAGGGGTAAAATGTAGAATTTGGCTTATATCTCTGAAACCAAAGCATTTAGAGCAAATCTGACATGGGGTAAAATTGTTTATTAGGTCAAGATCTATCTGCCCTGAAATTTTCAGATGAATCGGACAACCCGTTGTTGGGTTGCTGCCCCTGAATTGGTAATTTTAAGGAAATTTTGCCGTTTTTGGTTATTATCTTGAATATTATTATAGATAGAGATAAACTGTAAACAGCAATAATGTTCAGCAAAGTAAGATCTACAAATAAGTCAACTTGACCAAAATGGTCAGTTGACCCCTTAAGGAGTAATTGCCCTTTATAGTCAGTTTTTAACCATTTTTCGTAAATTTTTGTAATCCTTTACAAAAATCTTCTCCTCTGAAAGTACTAAGACAAATTTAACCAAACTTGTCCCCAATCGTCCTTAGGGTATCTAGTTTAAAAAATGTGTCCGATGACCCCGCCCGCGAACCAAGATGGCCGACATGGCTAAAAAATAATACATAGGGTAAAATGCAGTTTTTGGCTCATATCTCTGAAACCAAAGCATTTAGAGCAAATCTGATGAGGATAAAATTGTTCATTAGGTCAAGATCTATTTGCCCTGAAATTTTCAGACCAATCAGGCAACACGTTGTTGGGTTGCTGCCCCTGAATTGGTAATTTTAAGAAAATTTTGCCGTTTTTGGTTATTATCTTGAATATTATTATAGATAGAGATAAACTGTAAACAGCAATAATGTACAGCAAAGTTAGATCTACAAATAAGTCAACATGACCAAAATTGTCAATTGACCCCTTAAGGAGTTATTGCCCTTTATAGTCAATTTTTTACAATTTTCATAAATTTTGTAAATTTTTGTAAATTTTTACAATATATTTTCCACTGTAACTACCGGGCCAAGTTCATTATAGATAGAGATAATAGTAAGGAGAAAGAATGTTCAGTAAAGTAAGATCTACAAACACATCACCATCACCAAAACACAATTTTGTCATGAATCCATCTGTGTCCTTTGTTTAATATGCACTTAGACCAAGGTGAGCGACACAGGCTCTTTAGAGCCTCTAGTTTTATTTAAATATTATGATTTGGTTATTATTGTATGTTTTGTTTTGTCTTAAATTATGAAATCAACCAAAGGGTTCATTTGTACTTGATTGCAAGGCACTTGCAGTTATCTTGTGATATCAGTTTCTCAGGAACTCCACAGATTTGTACACCATTCTATTAAATAAACATGTTGGTTTTGGAGAAGTATCAATGGTCCTTTTCATATCATTATTAATGTACCGGTATTCATTGATTTATTTCATTCTGTATGCTTTAAAAGGATTTTACAATGGCATAATTTTCACCTTCAAATTTTCAACTCACTTACTGAATATTGTTTTTAAAGTATGGAGAAACTTTAAAGTGAGTCGATAGAATTTCAGAGGACATGATGTTACACAGTCAGTTGTGAGCAGTTTCCTTTATTATAACATCGCAAGAAAGAAATCTAACTGTTATAATGATAACCGCTTAAAATGTTTTTAAAAAAAGTAATTATTTTTCGAATGAAACAAGACAAATATTTGTGTTTTCTGAGATGCAACCAACACTTTCACTAAATATGGGAAAAATTCTCCAAAACCATAACTTGTATCTTTATTTTTCAAGGATCTCATCTTGCCATTCAACAGGTTTCAAAATCTTGAAAATAAAGCTGTATGACTGCCCTTAAATATGACTTTGTTTCAGATTTTGATCTGGATGATCATACCATATCATGGACTTCACCATTTCTACCTAGATTATTTAGCGACAGCAGGCAACAAACTTATTTCTTGAAAGACTTGAACTCTTATGGTTTTGAGAAGTAGAAAAAAAGATGTATGGTTTCTGCACATAGTTTTGTCTTTTTTAAAATTAGACAAGAAAGTCCCCAAAGTGAAAAAAGCTCAAATGGCAATGGATGTCTCTGTATCCATGCCAAATTCTTTAAAACTGTTACCCTAATTTTTGAAAGCTGTAAACAATGATTTGTCAGAACTGAGGAATAATCCAGGAATCAGCTTTAATGGAAGATATTAGGGATTTGCTTATGTGAAAGTGTCATATAATAATGAATATAAGACAGTAGTTTTGTACAACTATAAATTGTCCATTTTGATCAACTGACTTTAACCTGCAGATGGCCAGTAATTATGTTAAGGATATAGGGCAATGGTCCAAAGGTTAGTAAAATAATGGTCTTTTTTTTAGTCAAATATATACATATATAATGTTTTATATATAATGTTTTGCAATAGAATATTTTTTCTTGGTTCACACTAAACTTAATATTTGAATTTTTGATGGTAATTAACATATCAAATAGGTAAGATCTCCTGGAAAAAGTGAAAAAAGAAGACTTGAAAATATGTTTCTGCAATAGCTTCAAGTTTTGCTATTGTTAGCTTCAATTCCCAGATTATTTTTTTGTCATTTAATTAATCAGTTTGACAAAAATACTCAAACAAGTTGCAATAAGTTCATTTCAAAAATCCAAAACAAAAATGAACAAAACTCAAGAAAGGATTATGTGTGCTTAATTCAAATTATCAGCATTCCATTTTACAGATCATGTCAAATCATTTTAACAATGGGTTTTAAATGCCCTCAAGCTGCAGGCCAGCTTTCATACATTAAATATAAAAAGTCATGCTAGTAATGTGAATATTTGTTATTGATTGGTATCTAATTGTGCTGAAGATATACACCAATTTCAAGTTTGTCTGCCATTGAAGGAAATTTAATGTTTTACACACAATTTTTTTTAAGGGTCATTACTGAAAACATTTGACGCCACAAACCAAAGTTATTGTTTAATAAACATATTCAGTTCAACTAGTGCGAAGTTAAGATCAGTTGAAGTGAAATCCTTGAACTTGAAATTGGTGTATTGAAAATACATTCTTGCTGGTTCAAAATTTGAAATATAATATACCTCATTCATGTATAGTAACTACATTTTGTCTATGTTTATAAGTCTGTAAAACATGTGCTGTTGTCTGATATTGTGTAATGCTTTTTGATGTGTATTTTTGTAATGTATCAAGTCTTGTATGAATTAATCTTACAGTGGTCATTATTCTAAACAAAAGTAAATCTATGCAATTGCATGCAGGAACCTGTATCCATTTTTACCAGTTTATCTTAGGCTGACATACAGTTGAGCATAAAAGTTTCATGCAAATTATGCATATTTATTTAGTTATGTTTTAGATTGTCAATTAATGAATTTTCATTAAAGATTAAAAATAAATAGCATTTTTCAAAAACATTTAGCAAATTGTCACATGTTAGGTTTATCCATCCATGTGCATGATTCACATCACTAGTAGTATTTCCTTATGCCTCTTCAAAGATATTTGCGTGGAATCACCAATTATGTTTGACCACTGAAAGATTAGAAAAGAAAACTGTCCCTACTATTTGTACATATGTTCTTTTTACCTATGTCTTTCCATACAGTTATTTTCATTGAGAACAAATTTATTGCCCTTGTTGAATTTTATATAGGAATACAGTTGATATGTCAGTATATCTTGAAGAAATTTATTTTGTCTTTTATGGATAGATAATTGTTTGAAATGTCTTTATTGCACTTGTATGTGTGAATGTAACTTTTAAGGAAATTTTATTTAAGTTGTTAAGCTAATGGATGGGGAAAATATTTCTTTGCAAAATTATAGTATGGACAAGTTTTCAATGCAAATACACATTATAAATTTTGGGCTTCCGAAGCAGTTTTCTGGATTAACTTTCATTAGGAAAGCTCAAACCGAAATATTTGAAAGCCAGGGATGTATAGATACATATACTCTACCTTGAAATATGTGTGCTTATTAAAACAGTCTTCAAATGGGAACAGTCCTCTACAAACCTTTTTTTTTTTATTTAAATCAATGGCAATTTGTGTTTTTGTGTCCTACCTGATAAAGACAAAATATTTCTCAAGATACTAAGTATGATCTATAGTATGTGTTGCAGAATACTCATGTAAAATTCTTATAAATGATATATACAGTCAAACCTACCAGCAGATATAATTCTCTATGTACATGTATGCTCGACAAACACTGCTTTTCTTGAATGTCATTGATGACTGTCAAAGTTTAACTTTCACAAAGGTCAGTTTCATCATACCGCAAGATCGAACCAAACCTAGGTTAAAGTTTGTCCATTCTAAAATCATTAGCAACCCTGCGTGTCAACTAGGATGGACGTAAGAGCCTCTGCGTTACCAGAACATTCCAAGCCTTTTATAAGATTTTGCTCTGCCAAATAAAATCAAATTGGTGAAATTCCTTTAATGATCATCTTCCAAATTTTGTATGATGGTTTCACCTATTATCTAAGATGGCCTTCAGAGTATTTTGTTTCATCATTTCTTCAACATACTCTACTAATTTTACCCATAAAAGATATAGAAATCCTTTCAGAATCATATTATTTGATCATGGGGGACTGTATGGGTGGTAATAACACCCTTCTAATATACATACTGTAGATCATACAGATGATGTTGTGCAAGTTTATATTTGTTACAGATATTGTATGAAAGAAAAGACACAGATTTTCTACCTTTGTATGATAATTGTTAAACCTTAGTGTTAATATTTTAATATATTTTATGCTTTTGAAACATTTTCTACAATATTTTGTTGTTTTTTTTCACAGTTCAAGTTTATGCATTCATCTAGTGTCAAACTGTGATTTTTTTTAATTAAAAATCTGTAGACCCATAAATATTGTTCCTTTCAAAATGTCATAAAAACAATAAAAATTTACAAGATTTGTGTTTTTTCTGTGACATGTTAATTGGTTGTCTCATTTCATAGGTTCAATTCGCCTATAACAATGTAACTGGAGGGCCTTCAACAATAAGCAAGCCCATACAGTATAGTAAGCTTCAAAAAGGCCCAGGCATAACAAAATGATAGACAATTCATAAGTGGAAAACACCAATAGCAGACAGCAAGAAAGGACAGTCTCTGAGAAAATGGCTCCTGGTTGTCACTTAAAGAATGTGGCAGGGTTGAATTTATTTGATAGCGCTCAACCATTCCCTAACCTGGTACCAGTACAACAGTAGAATTAACTTTGAAAATCAGATGAAAGCACCTTGACTTGTCGGATATGTAGACAAAAAGTACCAATCTGAGAGTACTCAAATATGTAAAGCTAGTTCAGTGCCCTTTTTCAACAAATAAATAGACCATTTGTTTAAACATTAAACTAGAGGCTCCCAAGAGCCTGTGCCGCTCACCTGATTCTACTTTGGTTTTGGAAATCATGTAAAAATAGATTAAAATCATAACAGATACCCTAATAATGATTGAGGCCAAATTTGGTTTAATATTGGCCCTGTAATTTAATCAAAAGCAGAAGACTTTTGTAAAGTTTACAGAAATTACCAATAAATTCATTGAAATTGTAGAAAATGACTTTATAAGGACAATGACAAATCAGCTACAAAGTAACAACACTTGGTAAGCACCTCAAAAGAAACATTCATACCATGTTTGGTTTCAATCCATTAAGCGGTTTCTAGAAGAAGACATTTGTATATTATTCCCTTAGGGTCCTTTGTTAAACTAAGTCCCCCGTTGGCAGCCATCTTGGATGATTGATTGGCTACAAAGTAACATCACTTGGCCAGCACCTCATTAGGAACATTCATGCCATGTTTGGTTTCATTCCATTCAGTGGTTCTCTAAAGGAAAACATTTGTATGTATTGTCCATATGGTCCTTTGTTAAACTAAGTCCCAGCTGGCGGCCATCTTGGATGATTGATCACCTACAAAGTTCCAACACTTGGTCAGCACCTCATAAGGAACATTCATGCCATTTTTTATTTCATTCCATTTAGTGGTTCTCTAAAAGAAAACATTTGTATGTATTGTCCATAGGGTCCTATGTTAAACTAAGTCCCTTTCTGGCGGCCATCTTGGATGATGGATCAGCTTCAAAGTAACAACACTTGGTTAGCACGTCATAAGGAACATTCATGCCATGTTTGGTTTCATTCCATTCAGTGGTTCTCTAAAAGAAGACATTTGTATGTATTTCCCGTAGGGTCTTATGTTAAACGAAGTCCCCCTCTGGTGGCCATCTTTGATGATGGATCAGCTTCAAAGTAACAACACTTGGTCAGCACCTCATTAGGAACATTCATGCTATGTTTGGTTTCATTCCATTCAGTGGTTCTCTAAAAGAAGACATTTGTATGTATTGTCCATAGGGTCCTATGTTAAACGAAGTCCCCCGCTGGTGGCCATCTTGGATGATGGATCGGCTTCAAAGTAACAACACTTGGTCAGCACCTCATAAGGAACATTCATGCTATGTTTGGTTTCATTCCATTCAGTGGTTCTCTAAAAGAAGACATTTGTATGTATTGTCCATAGGGTCCTATGTTAAACGAAGTCCCCTGCTGGTGGCCATCTTGGATGATGGATCGGCTTCAAAGTAACAACACTTGGTCAGCACCTCATAAGGAACATTCATGCCATGTTTGTTTTCATTCCATTCAGTGGTTCTCTAAAAGAAGACATTTGTGTGTATTGTCCATAGGTACTGACGGACGCCATGTGATGAGAAAAGCTCACTTGGCCCTGTGGGCCAGGTGAGCTAAAAATCAGTTCATACACCTCCAATTGATTTAAAGATGTCATAAGCAATGTTTACTTTCACATATATCATGAAGCAAACACACCAGTAAGAAAGAGCCAAGAGGGATATTTTTACTTCATTACAAAATGGATATCAAAAAGAAAACTAAATTCCAGTAGAGGTCATAAAAATGAATATAACATCGATGTTCCTGAAAATGCTGAGTATGTGAAGAATCAGTATTGCATCCGATACCACATTGACCAACACGCCATAACTATAGAAAATAGAACAAATTATGTCGTAACATTAATAATCTTTTTTGACTTGGCAATTATGTAACAATTAAGACAACTTATTACCTCACCAATAAACCAATTTTATATCTAATTAAGAACAAAGTTAAGAAGGGATTATTGGAATACCCCTAGTGTTGTTGGCATCTATAGCCAGTTCCCCAAATTACAAAAGTCCTATGATTTGGTGAACATATGCATCTTGAAGAGACTGACCATGTACAATAAGATAAAGGCTTGTTTTTATTTCATCCTTGTTTCTGTGCTTCAAATGAACTGTCCAGAACCTTTTGTGGGCAATATACCTCACATAAAGGGCTTAAGCTTATTACCCGATTGCATTGTTTTTTTTGTAGTAACTTTAGTCCAGATTCTTTTTGGCTTCAATTTTTTTTTATAATTGAATAATAATGAAAAAGTCAGATTAACCCTGCCAGATGCATGTAATCCTGGCAATCATTCAATACATCAAATAAAGTTGATCAATGCTCATAATATACGATAAACTGAAAAGGCCATGTATACTTAACAGACTAATGAACAAAGAAAATGAGAAAAAGATCAGATGAACCCTGCCAGACACATACACCTTTATACAATTATTCCATACACCAAATATAGTTGACCTACTGCTTAAAATATGGGAGTTACAGACTTGACCACAAAATCTTTACCTCATCACTAATCCATGAAATGAGGTAAAATTATTTACCCCTGCAGTTTAACATTGTAGTGGGACTTCTGACAACATCAATACATTATATATGGACCTGTACAGATTATATGGATCGTATAATCTAACAAGTCCATATATAACATATTGACTGAGTGAAAGTCCTTTATTTATATATAACATATGTCCAGTAAATAGTGTATTATGGAAATGGACCTCAATGTTCTCTCCGAGTATTTTAGTCGAGCCTGTGACTTCTGTCGCAGAAAGAGAGACATAGGGATAGTGATTTGGTGGCGGCAGTGTTAAACTTCTTAAAAGCTTGATATTTCAGAAGGTAGTTCATACTTTGTATGTAGATGCCTTATGTTATGAGGTTTCCTTCTGTCATATGTCTATTGTCCTTAACCTCATTTTCATGGTTCAGTGCCTACTTGAAAAAAAGTAATTCTTAATTTCTCTTATTTTGAGTAATAGGATAACTATATTTGGTATGTGCATACCTTGCAAGGTCCTCATGCCTGTCAAGACTGTTTTCACTCGACCTTCACTTCATGTCATGGATCAGTGAACAAGGTTAAGTTTTCGTGGTAAAGTCCATATCTCAGATACTATAAGTAATAGGTCTACTACATTTGGTGTATGGAATGATTGTAAGGTGAACATGTCCAACTGACGGGTGTCATCTGACCTTGACCTCATTTTTATGGTTCAGTGGTTAAGGTTAAGTTTTTGTGTTTTGGTCTGATTCTCTAATACTGTATGCAATATGTCAACTATATTTGGTGTACAAAAATATTTTTGTACAAGTCAGTCCGGCAGGTTTTATATGACCTTGACCTCAATTTCACAGTTCATCAATGTGAAGTTCGTGTTTTGGTTGGTTTTCCTTCAACTATGAGCAATAGGTAAACTATATTTGGTGTACGGAATGATTGCAAGGTGTATGTCTGTCTGGCAGTTATAATCTGACCTCGACATCATTTTCATAGTTTGTTGGTCAATGTTGTTTGTTTCTTAGATACTATATGCAATAGGTCAACTATATTTAAAGCATGTAATGATTGTATGGTGTATGTGTTTTGTCTGGCAGGGTTCATCGAACCTTGACCTCATTTTCATGGTTTGGTGTGTTTCTTGTATACTTTAAGCAACAGGTCAACTATATTTGGTGTATGGAATGTATGGAATGATTTAAAGGTGTACATGTATTTATGGCTTGGTTTATTCGACCGACCTTAAACTCATTTTCTTTGGGTCATGTTTAGTTTATGCGATACTTATAGGAAAACTTTATATTTCAGTAATTATAAAGCAGGCGAGACATTTCAGCTTGTGCACTCTTGTACATTGTATTTTGTAAGATTTTTAATACCGACTGTCAATTTATATCTAAATAGAAACAGCGTTTTTCAAGATTTCTTATATTGACCTTCAGTATATATATAAATAGAAACATGGAGTCCATATACTGTATATCCTTTGCATCATGTGATCACAACCAATGAAAAAAATGCTACACCATATGTAATATTGAAATATATGCACCTGATATGTTTAGACAGATTCAGATATCTGAGGTAATTATTTATCCAGTCGTGTCGATTAACAATATTTGAACCATGAATAATTTGTAATGTAATGTAGTGTATCAAGGTCATACCATAAGTTTCATCGTTTCTGGGATTTAATAGTTATGATAAATATACACATTATATATCTTGGACAAGATGTGGAAATAGTCTTGCAATAAACTTTTCTACAAGTTGAAGACAGCAATTCTTTGAAACACACACAATTGACCTTTCAAGTTTTCATTTTAGTGGTTGACCTCTAGAATTCTGATTTAACTGTATCTGTGGAATGCTCTCATTGATGTTTACCCTAATTGTCTTGAACATGTTCAAAAACGAAGTTACAATAAGTAATTCCTTGACTGCAGTGTTTTATGTATAAGACTGGCATGTTACCTCAACGGAAGTGAAACAGTAATTTTTTATAGGAATTGTAAAATGCATAGCAAAGTTTTATTCCCTTCCAAGGCACAACAGAACACAAAAGTAAAATTGTATCTTTTTTTATTACATCTATTGCTTCTTTTCACTGTCACATAGCCATGAACCCAATTTTTCTTTAATAACTTATTCACTATACCCCATCCCTGACCAACACAATCTTGTTCCTTATACAACATGTACCGATGATATGAACATAACGTACAAGCTGAAGAGATTATTTCTGTACAAGTTTGGTGCAATGAGGTAGCCATGGCACCTTTAAAACTGTGAAACAATTTCTCTCGAGAGTCAAAATACTGCTATTCAAAAAAAAATAAATAACAATTCTATAAAAGGCAAAAAACAAATAGCACAGTTTATACACAGCACTTTTTACAATATAGGATAGTCAAAATACAGTCTATACACAAAAATGTCTTGTAAAATACAGCTTTGGGCAATTATGTCCCTAGCAATTCAAATTACTTCTAGAATGTTTATTTCATTTTGGTAAATATCCAAGGTAAAACTTTTATTGCAACAAATTCTCAATATATGAGAAAATTGTAGCCAGCAAAATATGAACAACGCATGAAAATGGTCGCCAGTACACAATATTTCTTTATTTTTATAAGTACGGGCAACAATTTCGATTCAAAATTTGATTAATTAAATTAGATCTGCTACATCCATGGGCATTTCTTCAATCTGGGTATTGTAAAATTGTTCAATGTCTTTCAGAGTACGAATATCCTCCTGGGTAACAAAATTAATTGCTACTCCTTTACGACCAAATCTTCCACCTCTTCCAATTCTGAAAAATAATTCATAATAAAATTAACATATTTACTAATATTGTAATAGCTATGTTCACTCTAGTATATCTATTTTTTGGATTACTGATTATAAGGTCTATAAGAGAACTTATAACAAATCTAGGGGCATCTTAAAAGAATTGAACATTAAGTTGCCTCAGATCAGCCTTGTAACATGAGAAATTCCACAGGTATGTATATCTAGCATGGGCCTATACAGGTAGATTTGTCAGTATGCATATCTAACAATGGCCTATACAGGTGTAGATTTGTCAGTAGGCATATCTAGTATTGGCCTATACAGGTGTAGATTTGTCAGTATGCATATCTAATGATGGCCTATACAGATGTAGATTTGTCAGTATGCATATCTAGTATTGGCCTATACAGGTGTAGATTTGTCAGTATGCATATCCAATAATGGCCTATACAGATGTAGATTTGTCAGTATGCATATCTAATAATGGCCTATACAGATGTAGATTTGTCAGTATGCATATCTAATAATGGCCTATACAGATGCAGATTTGTCAAACTGAGCTCTCTGTTTGTTCCGTCTGGTGTTAATTATAAATGATTCAAACCTTAATAGCTTACCAATGCTTACTCCCAATAGTACTACATAAATTATTCCAACAATATGAAAAAGTGACAGCTCACAATTGCCCTATAAGTCATATTAAGCTGTAAGCTGATTAAGTTGCTATTCCTGCTCTGTCAAAACATACCTATGAATGTAATTTTCCCTGTTAGCGGGAAGATCATAGTTAATGACGAGTGAAACCTGCTGTACATCAATACCACGAGCTAAGAGATCAGTGGTAATCAAGACTCTACTGGATCCAGTACGGAATTCCCTCATAATAACATCTCTTTCTTTCTGGTCCATGTCACCATGCTGAAAATAAATTAATTATCAGTGTGGTTACCTTGATTACCAGCAAGTATGATGTTTCACAATGATTCAACATCTGCAAGAGTGATTTAAACTTAACCAACTACGGACATGATAATCAGTATTCACTAACGTCCTATTTTCACTATCTTCAATTTTTTTAAGCATTGTATATAACTTTCATAACATTTGGTTGAGGCAAAATTTGGAAACCAACTTTGGGATGTACGGACGGACAAGGGTAAAACTTAAGGTCCCCTCCGATACGGCGGGGGCATAAAAATATTTGATTAACAATGCTAGATAGGAACAAGACAAGTTTTTTTTCTTTTTTCGTTGTCGAAAAAAAACACTTAACAACCCAGCCGTTTTGAGTAGACCTGGTCGTGGTTAGGGGAAACCAACAATCATTTTTCCCCTGCCTAAATAACAGTAATATTTTTTACCATGGCAATTCATGTTATGTGTTAATAGAAAATATCTAATATTTTTTACCATAGCGGAGACAGTGAAATCTCTAGACAACATTTTGTCTGTTAGCCAATCCACCTTCCTTCTAGTATTACAAAAAATCACAGCCTGTGTAATTGTCAGTGTCTCATATAAATCACAGAGGGTATCTAATTTCCATTCCTACAAAAATTGCATCATAATTAGCAAGGTCAATAGCATACTGTGGGATAAGACATCACTTCACCACAAACCCATTACATACTGGACAATTAATGAGACCAGCATGTGTATCAATTCCCATGTGACTTCAACTTCTTGTCTACTTTCCAAAAACTGGAATGCATTGCTTAAGGAAGGCTATTTTCCTTTTTTCAAAGCTAATAAATTGCTTTACTGATTTTTTTTTTGTAAATTCATCTACCATACATTTACCATAAATTTTAAAAAAAGTTTTAAAAGTATATGCAATTATCCTCAATAATATATATAACAGGAAACAGATGACCAAAATTCAAACACAAACACGGTACAGAATCAATCATACAAAATTATATCCGATATATCCCCTCTTTTTAATGATATTTCGGTAAAAGATGTAATTCAAGTTTTGCAAATACATTACAGTGACAATAATTACTTGCTGCATTTTTGCAGATATGTTTTTAACAATATCTTTTAGATTTTGATGATCCTGAATATACATGTCACTAGACATCAAGTAACCAATAATCAAATAGAACTTCTGCTACTCTTATACATTATACTTTTATGAATATTTTAAACTTGCCTCTCTTTCTACTTGAATATAGAACTGTCTGATACCTTCCAGGGTTAATTCTTCTTTCTTGACTAAAATCCTTATAGGATCTCTCATGAATTTTTGTGTTACATCTAACACATCAGTAGGCATTGTGGCAGACAACAGGATAACCTAAAATTAGAAAGCCAAACTTTTCAAATGTACTGCACATTTAGAAAAATAAAACAATAGACTCCAAATGTAAACGATCTATACACAAGTCATTAAGTTAAAACAATGATTTAAATTTTATCTTTGATGTTGATGATTTATCCAGATTAGCTTGAATTTCTTAATGTAAATTCATAATACTGTTTTGCACTGGACATTCAATACAAATGCACTATATCAAGCCAGGGCCTAATCTAGGATTTTGAAGAGGGAGAAGTGACTTCTCCTTCCATGAGAGAGAAGGAGAAGTGGTCAACTTCTTGGAGAAGTGAGAGTCCATTACTGTTTCTGTTGCATCGTGTTTTCATGCTTATCACTAAGGAAATTGTTTTATATTCAATAAAAGATATACTTGCAGTTTTTTCATATGTTATTGTACACAATGTATATATAGAAAGTTCTTAATAAAAAGGTTTAGACAACATATAGTTGTTATTTATTTATTGATGTTCTTATTCTTAGATAACAGGTGAGCGACATCATAATGAAGGTAATTTTTTTTAGCAATATCATCCATGCCTACTTCTGTTTTGTCTGAAGTAATTTTGATCAGATTTTTGGGGTTAAAGACAGTTTTACAAGACATACAAGCAAAAAACACTGCCAAGGCATTCAGATGTTTACATTTAATGTAGGGTACTTTAAAAAACACCCCATAAAATAAAGGAAATGATCAATACCTGAGTATCTTCTGGCATGAATCTAAATACGTCATAGATCTGATCTTTAAAACCTCTAGACAACATTTCATCTGCTTCATCTAACACAAATAACTTGATGGATCTTGGATCTGCAATTAGAAAACATATTAATTTCTTAATTTTAGATGTATATTTTGTAAAATTTATAACCACCATAAAAACGAATTATTTGTCCTTGGATAAGGATGCAATAAACATTATCTAGCATATTCTTTAGGATACGAAAATCTTCATAAACTCATATTTTATTAGGAATCTGACAATATTTTGAATAGTCTGAATGAAAAGTTATTTGTGCGTCTCTAATGAAATTTTTACTTGAATTGTTTTTTTTTCATCAAAAAGGCTGGTCTACATTTACATAAATCTTTTTTTACGATAGAAGGGGAATTTACACTTCTGGTCTGTCCACCCCATACCCGGTTAAAAAGTAGATATTCCTAGTGTTATTTATAATCCTTAAAATAATAAATTTCAATGAAATTTTATTTTTGTTCCTAAAACGAGACCTTGCAAACAAATGTGCTTGTTTATGATTCAAATTTCTTTAAAACTTTTAGTAATTGAAATGTAAAACACCTTATTGTCATCATGTTGTGTGTGTGCTCAGTAGTTTTATTGTAACATTTCAAATGGAAGTGGTCCTGAATTTTGTTTGTTGAATATATTTTAAATCTTAACATATGTATTTAATAAAAACCCCAATTCAACTTGAACTTACTAAGAGCTCTTCTGTTGATCATATCATAGACACGTCCTGGTGTTCCTACCACAATGTGAACGCCGGTACTTAGTTTATGCATGTCTTCACGGACATTAGTGCCACCAATACAGGCATGACACTGTGCTCCCATGTAATCTCCTAATGCTATTACAACTTTTTGAATCTGCAACAAATAAAGAATTATTAGAGAAAACCCCTTTACTTTTACAACATTGATTGTAATCCGATTATAAATGGTGACTAACTTATTCATTTAATAAACAGTGTTTTATAATTAGAAGGAAAACATACAACCATGGCCAATGTGCACTGAATTTTATCGTTTGACAGATTATCCCTGAATAATGGGTATACCAACAAAGGAGAAGATACATTTTGAGGAAATGAAAAATTGTATTTCAGGCCACACCAATTTGATAATTAGTTCTTTGAATTTTCCCACTCCTGTTTTGGAGAAATTGACTATTCAATAAATAAAAATTACCGCTTCCGCAAATTTTTGGTCCGCATGCCGCTCCAAAATTAGTTTCTCTTTGAAATTTTTTTTTCACAGATGCTTTTCTGTTGCATTTAATGCTCATATCGTTTTAAACGCACCTGTGATAAATGGATTTGTAATTAAAAGGTAAAATAAAATGCTTCGCTGAGCGCAGCTTGATACGACAGCAGAGGTTAAACCCTGAAATGTTGGGGCAAGTTTGGACACAATATTCAAGCTTGATACTGTCTGAATTTGGATTGTGATCAAATTTTTGACACATTATAGGTTTCGGACACAAAACAAATGTGGTCAAAAATCTAAAAAAAAAATTGAAAAGGGACATTTAATTTACCTAGAATGGTCTGATATCCAAAATCTAACAACATGGTTAGATTCAGCATATAAAAATAAACTGCTTCGCTGAGCGCAGCTAGATACGCCCGCAGAGGTCCAACCCTGAACAGTTGGGACAAAAATGAACACAATATTCAAGCTTGATTCAGGTCCAAATTTGGATTGTAATTAAATATTTGACATATTATAGGTTTCTGAATAAATGTAGTCAAAGATCTTGAAATTGGTTATATGAATTGAATTTATATTCAATTAAAGATTTCTTGCTGTTGTGCAATACTTAGTAAATCTGTTGTCAGACTATAAACAAATAAAGTTCAATTAATTCTCAATGTCATATTAGAAATTTATGAAAATAAAAAGGGAGCTTACATCAATAGATATAAACAATTCACCAAAGTTTCATGAGAATTGGTGACAGCATTTTTGAGTTATTGTCCGAAAACTGGAAAATCACACCTTTTTTTAATGAATAAAACCCCATAACTCAGAAATTTAAAATTAAAATTTATAAAATTCTAAAGGGAGCTTACATCAATACATACAAACAATTCCCCAAAGTTTCATTAGAATTGCTGAAAGCATTTTTGAGTTTTTGTCCGAAAACTGGAAAATCCCCCCTTTTTTCATGAATAAAACCCTGCAACTCGGAAACGTAAAATCTAAAATTTATAAAAATTGAAAGGGAGCTCATGTCAATAGATATAAACAATTCACCACAATTTCTTGCAAGTTGGTGAAAGTATTCTTGAATTATTGTCCAAAAACTGGAAAATCCCCCTTTTTTTAATGAATAAAACCCCATAACTCGGAAACGTAAAATCTAAATTTTATAAAAAAACGAAAGGGAGCTCACGTCAATAGATATAAACAATTCACCAAAGTTTTATGCAAATTGGTTAAAGCATTTTTGAGTTAATGTCGGACATGTTGACGACGGACAGACGGACGGACGGACAACGGTATACCATAATACGTCCCGTAAACGGGCGTATAAAAACATCATAAATTTAATTTTAGTTGAAATCAGACAAAGTTTAATTTTTGACCCTTCAAACCTTAATATGGATTAATTTGAAAACAGGGCCCAAAATAAAAAATCTAAATGCATAATAAGATTCAGCATATCATACAGCCGCAATAATTCAGTTTTTGATGAAATCAAACACAGTTTTTTGGACCCTTTTGACCTCAATGTAGACCAATATAAAAATGGGGCCCAATATCCAAAAAAGTAACACAAGGTTAGAACCCCGAAAAATTAAAGACTTTGCGCAATTGAAGATTTCTTGCTATTGCACAATACTGTGCTATTGCTCAATACTGTGAAATTGAAGATTTCTTGCTATTGCGCAATACTGTGCAATTGAAGATTTCTTGCTATTGCACAATACTGTGCAATTGAAGATTTCTTGCTATTGTGCAATACTGGGCAATAATTTTAAAAATTCAAAAATTTTGAAGAAAAAAATATGAACCCCTCAAAAAAAATTGGGAAAAAAAAATCCCCCCAAACTTTTTGACCCCCCCCTTGGAGTAATTACCCCCAAACTCAATCCCAGCCTTCCCTTTGTGGTATGGAACCTTGTAGTACAATTTTAGAGAGATCCATACACTTAAACACAAGTTATTGTCGGGGAAACTAGTAAAATGCTTGTTTTTTTGCCCCTAATTCCTGAACGTTAGGGGCAATTACCCCCAAACTCAACCCCAGCCTTCCCTTTGTGATATGGTACCTAATGGTACATTTTCAGAGAGATCCATACACTTACACACAAGTTATTGTCTAGAAACTACAATAAACTGCTTCGCTGAGCGCAGCTGGATACGCCCGCAGAGGTCTAACCCTGAACAGTTGGGTCAAAAATGGACACAATATTCAAGCTTGATACAGGTCTGAATTTGGACTGTAATTAAATATTTGACATACATCTATTATAGGTTTCTGAATAAATGTAGTCAAAGAACTTGAAGTTGGTTATATGAATTGAATTTATATTCAATTAAAGATTTTTTGCTGTTGTGCAATACACTGTGCTGTTGCGCAAAACTTAGTAAATCTGTTGTCAGACTATAAACAAATAAAATTTATAAAATTCTAAAGGGAGCTTACACCAATAGATATAAACAGTTTACCAAAGTTTCATACGAATTGCTGAAAACATTTTTGAGTTTTTGTCTGAAAACTGGAAAATCCCCCCTTTTTTAATGAATAAACCCCATAATTCGGAAATGTAAAATCTAAAATTTATAAAATTCTAAAGGAAGCTTACATCAATAGATATCAACAATTCATCAAAGTTTCATGAGAACTGCTGAAAGCATTTTTGAGTTATTGTCCGAAAACTGGAAAATCCCCCCTTTTTTTATGAATAAAACCCCATAACTCGGAAACGTAAAATCTAAAATTTATAAAAAACGAAAGGGAACTCACGTCAATAGATATAAACAATTCACCAAAGTTTTAAGCAAATTGGTTAAAACGTTTTTGAGTTAATGTCGACATGTTGACGACGGACGGACAGACAGACGTACAACGGTATACCATAATACGTCCCGTAAACGGGCGTTAAAAAATGCATGTTTTTGGCCCCTTTTTAGCCCCTAATTCCTCAACTGTTGGTACCATAACCCCAAAAATCATCACAACCTTCCTTTTGTGGTATTGAACCTTCTGGTTATATTTCTAAGAGATACATTTACTTAAACTAAAATTATTGTCCGGAAACCAAATGTGTCTTCGGACGCCGACATCATAGCATTATACGATGCAAAAAAATTTGTTGCGGTCGTATAAAAACGGGATGCCAACGTGCAGTTGTGTCAGTTCATAGCCGTGGACAAGTTATCCAAAATGCTTCTCGTTTTATTTTCAAAGACCTGTTCTATGATGCAAAAATTAAAAATCTTTCATTAGATGACCACAAACACATCAATATTTGTTAGAACCATCGTCAACCCTGATCCTTGATTTAACAGGCATAGACCTATCTATATTTTGGATGAAATGAATTGTAAATTCCCATGAACTTTAAAAATGCCCCTGCTTATATATTTAAGGTATGACTGTAATATTTTTTCTGTCTATGAAGAAATAACATCAAAAATGTGGTGCACACTGAATAACCTGCGTAGCGGGTTATTTTAAAGTGTGCACCACATTTTTTATGTTATTTCGAAAAGACAGAAAAAATATTACAGTCATTTCTTATAATTTAATTCTAAATTCCATTTTAAACTGGAGTAAACCATGAAAAAACGTTGATGAAGTCACGGTCACATGACAAAATTATGTCTATGGGCTGATAAACAAAACAACGTCAGCCAATCAGAAGACGCGTTACATCCAAAATTAAATTATAACGTTATAAAGGGACAAAACTCAAAAACTGTAAAAGTGACGCTTCCAAAAGTTGTACTTAATCTGTGTTTTGTGGTAATAAGCATAGTGTATAGGTTTCCTAACATTTGGTTGAGGCAAACTAAAGTTAGAGAACGGAAACCAATTTTGGGACGTACGTACGGACGGATGTTCAGATGGACAAGGGTAAAACTTAATGCCCTCCGCTATGGCGGGGGCATAAAAATCACAGAAGTATTTGATGTTGATGAAACCCCATATCACCTTGTTAGTCTTTTGGCATGCAAGCAGAACTCTTCTTATGTTGGGGGGAATTTAAAAAGTTCCGACGAGACCAAGGTGAAGCCCTATTGTGATTGGCATGCTCATAATAATTAGGGGTGTGTAATTGGTTCAACCACTTCTAGTCAAGCTAAAGAGTTTTAAATGCATTACAGCTTTTAGAAGCAAAAGGAAAGAGTATTTTGCTCAGTAAGAAAAATGCATGTGAATGGGGTGACAGGTATTTTAAGGGAATATTTTAATACATTTGGATCTACATGTATAGCAATATAACTATCTTACTCAGGATGTTGTTTTAGCACAAAGCAAGAAATATTCACCTCACTCATTATTTTAATCCTAAATATGCATAAATAGTTCCAACTGGATGTCAAGCAGCCAATAAATAAAGGCAACAATAGTATACCGCTGTTCAATAGTCATAATTTTGATTAAGCAAAAAAAATCCAGGTAACGAACTAAAACCGAGGAAAACACAACTATAAAAGGACAACAACGGAACAACAGAAACACTGAACTACAACAATAAACAATCATTACCATACAATGAAAACAACTATCAAATATCTTTCAGGGGCATTTTTTTGGATACATACACATTATTTTATCTAACATGTGTCATTTACCTAATTAACATACATCCTCTTATTAAAATGGATCTGTTAGGCTTCCTAAATATATATATGGATTTAAATGAAAATTCACACAGACAAATATAAAAAGAAGATGTAGTATGATTGCCATTGAGACAACTCTCCACAATAGACCAAATGACACAGAAATTAACAACTGTACGTCATCCTACCGCCTTCAACAATGAGCAAAGCCCATACCGCATAGTCAGCTATAAAAGGCCCTGAAATGACTAATGTAAAACAATTCAAACCAGAAAACTAATGGCCTTATTTATGTACAAAATAATGAAACGAAAAACAAATATGTAACACAGCAACAAACGACAACCACTGAATTACAGGTTCCGGACTTACCAAAATTAAACCACAGTGAGACAAGAAAGTCTAATATGGTACAGGCACCATTGAATATATCAAATTATATGCATTAGAGCATCTGTTGCTCCTCGTTTTTCTATGAAATAACCCAGTTCACAAAACTAGAAAACACCCCTTTTTTATGAATAAAATTCCATAACTCAGAAATTTAAAAGGGAGTGAAAGACAACAGATATAAACAATTTACCAAAGTTTCATCAGAACTCCTGAAAGCATTTTTGAGTTATTGTGCGAAAAATGGAAAACCCCCCCTTTTTTAATGAAGAAAACCCCACAACTCAGAAACTTAAAATCCAAAATTTATAAGAAACGTAAGGGAGCTTGTGTCAATAGATATGAACAATTCACCACAGTTTCATGCAAATTGGTTAATGCTTTTCTGAGTTAATGTCCAACCGACGACGGACGGAAGGAGGTATACCATAAAACGTCCCGTAAACAGGCTAATTAAAAAAAAAACATTTCGCTGCTCGCTCCATATATTTTGGAGCTTTTGTCCAAAGAACTATTAATCAAACTGGTGTTGCCTCACTATTAAATTTTTATTTTTAAACATCTGAAAAAGGCATTGACAAATTTAAACATGAATTGTTTGACCCGCACTATTCACATTTCCACTGATGTCATCAAAGTGGGATAGTTGCTAGATATTAACAAATTTCTCAAACATTACGGGTTAATAGAGCACAAGTGTCACAGAATCATTTTTTTGTCAGCAAGTAGATTATCACAAACTATAATTCATGTGTAGATATCTTTTTGGGCAAGGATAATGTTGCATTCTATATTATTTCTTAGCAGGTGGGAAACTCTCCAGATTTTGAATATTACAAATCCACAAATGTATACCTTTGAAAAGAAATGTCAAAATAAGAAAGTCATATTTTCTAGAACTACATAGAATCAACCTTGTATTTTGCAAACTGGAATGTTTAAAAACAGATTTTGGGACCAATTTTGGTCTGAATTTACACCTTTGTCATAAAAATGCTACACAACCTAGAGTTTCTTGTGTATAAATATGTTTCCACTGTAGATATCTAGATAACCTAAACTTACACAAATTTATTCTATAAATGTGGTTTATTAGATTCTTTATAATCAATCCATAAAAACAACTTACTTGCATAGCCAACTCTCTTGTTGGGGCTAAGACTAATGCCTGGCATTCTTTTACTGCAATATCTATTTGCTGTAAAATGGCTATGGAGAATGTTGCCGTCTTACCAGTACCAGACTGGGCCTGGGCAATAACATCACGTCCTACAAAAATCATACACAAATAATACAGGTTATCTGCACAGCAATAGAAAATCTACAAAATACAAATACAATAAATACTGGACATGAACAAACTATATTAAGAAAAAGCAAAAAGTGTTGTGCTTATATTAATTAACATGAGGTCTGGACAGTCCAGACTTTGTTTATATTAAAACTCAAGTAACATTTTGTTTCTGTAAATATGGCTTAAAATAAAAATCTAAATTTTTCAATGTTCTACTGTAGCTTGGGAAAAATTTCCATTTTGTAAATCAGGAGTAATACAGGATTAAGATTGGAATTGCCATTTTGTAAACAGATGGGTCCCCAGATGCATCAAGATTCTAAAAGCTGAGTCCAGAGTTTATTATTTTTTCAATACAAACAAAAAATTGCAATTAGTAACCTAAATCTCTATTTTCCACTTTGCATTTTAACAAGAAAACCCATATCACGAGGTAAGGCTGTAATTATGTACATACTGATAAAAACGGCACCATTAGCCACTAGTCAAGAGCCCCAGACTAGTAAAATTTATTCAGATTATTAAGTATTTGCAAAACTTTGTTCAGACACAAAAGAATAAATGAGGAATGTGTCCATGGGACACAGATGATGCCCCCGCTTGCATATAACGTTATAAAGGGATACAACTTTAAGAACTGTAAAAGTGACACTACCCAAATGTGTACTTGATCTGTGTTTTGTGGTAATAAGCATTGTGTATAAGTTTCATAACATTTGGTTGAGGCAAACTAAAGTTAGAGAACGGAAACCAATTATGGGATGTATGTATGTACGTACAGATGGACAAGGGTAAAACTTAATGCCCCCTCCGCTACGACTGGGGCATAAAAATGTTAGAATATTGTAGTTAAAAATAGATTTTGGTGCTGACTAATTTTAAGAACTATGAACTCACCATAGACAAAATGATGTGTCCCTAGACTTATCTAAAACATTTGTTAGGGCAGTTCCATTTAAAAATACATGGTACCCTATCCATGGAAGACACTTTCAAAATGAGGTTACCACCTGGAGAGTTAAGTTGGATTTCACTTACATTTTCACTGTACACCTATCCCTAGTTGAAATATCAAAATGCCTTCTATGTATGTTTTTTGGAACAGGCCTAGAGAGAACCCTGATAATGCACAGGAAAAAAAGAGAACAGAAAAACTACTGTAGTTTCAATTTTTACCTTTTATACATGGGATGATAGCACGCTGCTGAATGGCTGATGGTTTCTCAAAACCATAAGCATAGATTCCTCTAAGGAGTTCTTCTCTCAATTTCATGTCATCAAAGTTGTCGACAACCTCATCCCAGTTACTCTGTAATATTAATGTTAAAGTTGATATTTAATATATTCAGAAACCAGGAAACCACGCATGTATATAATTTTGATGAAGTTTAATAAAAGATTGCTTCAGACATATCAAAATTCCCAGATAGTCAAATATTAGGTAACACATCTATAAGAATAGCTTGTTGGAAAGATGATGATGGATTTGTGTTTAACGTCAAGTGGCATACATTACAGGCATATCAGGACTATACTAATGCAATTTTTAATTTGCTAGTTCACAAGATAGCAGTCTTTAGAAAGACACTGACCTTACCCAGACACATTGTTCTTAGACTCTGGAGTTGACTAGTTTTTTTGTAACCCTAAATGTTGCATGCTTAGAAAAGCTGCAAATACCAATTTTCAAGTCTCAGTTTAACCTAACAAACTGGTTTGAAACAGTAATAATATACACGTAATTATTGACAGTTTTGTACTAGTGTCTGTCAGATATCTAGCAAAAGCCTGTATAACTAAACTAACTGAACATAAGGTAGAAAAGATTATTCAGTTTCTAACAATAATTGATTTATCTAATTGAAACCTTTATTTCTGTCAATGATCAAATTTAAATTTTGTTTTTTTAAACATATCTAATGCTTTCAATTTGACAGTAAGTTGGCAAGTTGGTACTTTTTAAAAGTTTAGGTAGGTTTCAAAGAGATTCACAACCAGGATGATTTTCAACTGAATCACCTTGTGTGAACTATACATGTATCTATTCTTACAAAAATAATTAAATGGTGCAAGATACATCCACTAAACACCAAAATAATAAAAGATAAAGGACAGAAAATAGAAGCCCAATATTTCATCCTAAAATGTCAAGGGTTGTTGAAAAAATAATTAATGGGGATGTGTCTATGGGACACAGATGATGCCCCCACTTATATATAACTCAAGAACGGTATAAGTGATGCTACCCAAACTAGTACATGATCAGAGTTTTGTGGTAATAAGCATTGTGTATAAGTTTAATAACATTTGGTTGAGGCAAACTTAAGTATGAGAACAGAAACGAAAAATTCAGCAATTTTTCCATTTGTAAAAGGGCATAAACTCTAGAACGGTAAGAGTGACACCACCAAAATTCAAACTTGACAGAGTTCTCAAAAAGTGGCGGTCTGATGGTTTTGACCACCAAAATTCAAACTTGACAGAGTTCTCAAAAAGTGGCGGTCTGATGGTTTTGACCACCAAAATTTTGCAAAGGACCGACATAATTTGATATTTTGCAATAGAAATAATAGGGAGGACCAGCAGATTTTCTTCAAGGACCACCAGGGGAAAAAAGATTTCAAGAACTCTGACTTGATCTGTGTTTTGTTGTAATAAGCATTGTGTATAAGTTTAATAACATTTGGTTGAGGCAAACTAAAGTTAGAGAAAGGAAACCAATTCTGGGATGTTCGAACATACAGACGGACATGGGTAAAACTTAATGCCCCCTCTGCTACGACAAGGGCATAAAAAATTAAATCACAAAAGGATGGAAGTGGCTACAGGCTTACAGATTGTGTATCCATAAACCTGGAAGTTGAGTTGATTTCAGTATTTTGAAATGCGGTTGCAGAAGATAACAACATTCTCCAACATGTTTTGCTTTGTTATACTTTCAGGGTTAATAATGCAGTGATTTAAACCCACCAATATTTATCCATACCTGAAGTACATGACTAAGTCTCGTTAATCCCTAAATTTAACACAATGGTCAATTGTCTCAATGAGGCAGTACAGCAGTCAGCTGTAGTCTTAATTCAGCTTGTTCATAGTACGCTTGCTTATAGTATGAAGTCATTTACAAGTCTCTGTGACCTGTTTACATCTGTCCGTCTACAAGGATTGTTGAAAGAACCCCTCCCCCATTACCCATAAATCTTATCAAGAGAGATTTAACATTTCCATATATGAGGGGTGTAGGAGGGGTCCTGATCCTGAAATCCGGGGCTTAAAAACATGGAATCCTGAGGTCCTGAATTTAAAAAAATTTAAATCCCGACATCCCAAAATTCGAAAAAAGAATTCCCAGATCACGAAAGGGTCAATCCCGAGCTTAAAAACACCCGATCACGGAGTCCCGTTAAAGGTCCTACCCCCCCCATATATAATATAAGCTGTTATTTCTTTTTTGTACCTGGATGATTCCACCAGCTTCTGCACTGTATTCATCATTCTTGGATCCTTCACTACTAAAATTGCCTCGTGGCCTACTACTGTAAGAAACAGAAAATATGTTTATATTAGTAGACGTCTAATTGGGTTATAACACAAATTACTAAGTTAATGTTTTAAATTAAAATGTTTTTTTCAGACAGTTCAAATAGGTATTATCAGAATTTATCTTATAAACTGAACTTCATGTCCGATAACTAATAGATTGTTTCTTACAGCTATTTTATTACCAGACAACTTGACAGATGCGTAGTTGTCATAGTGGATACCATGGACACATCTTATAAAATTTCGACATACAATTTGTAATGAGCACCATTTGTTGAACCTCATCGATTTCTGAACCACGCAGCCTGATTTTGTTATAAGATCTCTCAAATAACCCCATATATATGCTGGCCAACAATCACACGTGCACACTGAAATGTCCGCCATGACACCGGCTTCCTTGAAAGACAACACGAAAATATGTTTTTACAAGAATCGATACAATGCTGCCCATTCAAACTTTCAATATTCGTACAGCTAAGGCAATTGGCACTTTGGAAGTTATTTTTGTTTAAAATTTGCCCTTAAATAACGATTTTTCTCTCACCCTTCTCCATCCTCTGGGTTAAATGACATGTTCTCGCTAAAGTACCGCGAATAAAGGAAAGAACATAGGGTGAATCACTTTTGATGTAAAATTTTAGAAATATATCATAAGAATAACAAATATCCGTGTCGATTTCTAATTTGAACAATTGTGATTTTTAATTTACCAGTTTTTTTTATTATGTTTAAAATGTACTAGAATATGTTTTTTCTACCACGAACTATTTTGTAAGAACGCGCAATGATACATTATTTTAATAGGGATTGCCTTTTAAGTTTATTTCATGACGTATAAAAAGTAGGCGGGGCTAGTATTTTCCCACCATTTATTTTTTTTAATTTGGTTACGCATCTTTCACGTTTCTTCTACAAAAAAAATAGTGCATTCAAATTGACAGCACCCATGTATTCGATTCTATAATAAATATTTGAAGCCTACAAGTTTAATTTGTCTGGATAATATATGTAATTAAAAAATTCTTGATTTATCACATATAGCGTTCTGTCAGTTTTCTCTTCAAAACTTAGCTTATCCTCAGATATATCTATATGAAATCTATTGAGTGTTTACATTAAATTCTGTAATTGAACACGTAATTGGTAGACTACAAAATCAAAGTTCACTTACTCGTTTGGTTCCGAGGTATAAACTGGGCTCCTCTTTCCACTATATTCGCCAGGAGAGTTGTAATTTGGCGAACCTCTTCCATTACCTTCTCCAGCAACATAATCCCTTGGTGGAGAATTTCTATTCTTTCTATTTCTTCTTGGGGATCCACTGTCAATGTATGACGGGTCCCTGTTATAACCCCCTCCCCGGGGTTGGCTCCCCTCCGACGCTGTAAAATCGAAGTGATCTTTTTTCTGGAACTCAACTTTTGATACACTCATTTGAAGTTGTAGAAAATGAATATATATAAGATTTTGTTTTATTCATTTGATTTTAGTTTTATGCTAAGAATTTGAACGGGGAATTATTTATATACTAAGGTGTTGCTATGGGTATTTCGCAATACCATATGGCCTTGATATATATATATACATTTATATGTCATTGTGGTATTTCGAAATACTGCCTTTTGTATTTGAATGAACTATTTTCGCTTATGATGTTATTTGAAAACATTTTATAAGTCTGGTGTATTATTAGCTTGATAATGTCCAAAAGTTCAAACATTATTAACTAGGGATGGAATTGGTTTTTGTGTTATCAAAAATATGCATTGATCAATGATTCATAAATGATATGCTGGTCTCGACCGACGGTGACGGACACAAAAAACAGACAAACTTAATCTGCTCGGATTGATTGAAAATCTGAAAAAGACAGACAAGTCATTTATGTGAACAATAACTTGACAAAAATGAATGTTATGTGAACAATAACTTGACAAAAATGAATGTTATGATTTTAGTTTTATCAGAGATGTGTGTCTCTGGTTTTAATATAACTGTATTAGTATACATTTTGTCAGTCCAAATTCTAAAATAAAGAATATTTCGACAATTTCTTTGTTCAACTCAAGTTGAAATGTATGGATCCCAATTAGATTCAAATGTATCTATCCTCAATGACTGAGAAGCAGTTTATGTAATCTTTATAAATCCCGAAAACCATGTTGTAAATATCCGTCGGGGAATTTTCAGAAACTTTACCTGCACTTTCCCTCAGTATATTAATAAGGAGATGTGGTATGATAAAAATGAGGAGATGTGGTATGATGAAATAATGAGATGCGGTATGATGAAATAATGAAATGCGGTATGATAATAAACTGTTGACACAGAGATATGTCTCGCCTGTCGGCAGAAAAATTCAGACAAAGACAATCTGATGGACAGCAACATTGCTTAGTAATTCAAAGTTGCTGGACCATGACCGGGGGGGGGGCACGAAATGGTCGACAAAATGAGATGTAGTGATAGAAATGCAACTTTATAGAAAATATCATTGTCTATATATATATCATAAGTATATAGTTCCTATCAAACTAACTTGAACAGAAAACTTACACCAGAGTTCAAATGAAATGGATGTTAGCAATAATAGGCCACCGTACGACCTTCAACAATGAGAAAAATTAAACCCATACCGTATATATACAAATAAGTAAATGTGGTATGATTGCCAATGTGACAACTCTCCACAAGAGACCAAATGACACAGAAATTAACAACTATAGGTCACCGTACGGCCTTCAACAATGAGTAAAATCCATACCGCAAAGTCAGCTATAAAAGGCCCCGAAATGACAAATGTAAAACAATTCAAACGAGAAAACTAACGGCCTGATTTATGTACAAAATAATGAACGAAAAACAAATATGATATACAGCAACAAACGACAACCACTGAATTACAGGCTCACATAGTCGGCTAGTAATTAAAGGCCCCGACGTAAATAAAATGTCACAAAATACAAACTAGAAAACTAACGGTATTATTTATAACAAAACAATGTACGAAAAACAAATATGACAGACATGAACCAACGACAACTACTGAACTACAGACTCCCGACTTAGAACAGGCACATATAGACTATGACGGGGTTAAACATGTGTGTGAGAGCTCAACCCCTCCCCTTACCTGACACAAAGGCATAATAGCTTATTAAAGAATAAACTGTAAAAATTAGTTTCAATTGGCCTTATCAAAAGATTGATACGACCCACAAAAACAACTGTATAGTTTACATAATAGACACAAAGCACTGAAATAACAGTACTCGCAGTTACTGAAAACTAATTCAAAGCCAAATATAACTAATAAATAAATTATGTTCTCCCAGACAAAAATATCCATCAGTACCGTGACATCCAACGTTTTTAGTGTAAAGTCGTCATAAATAGTTTTTGACCTTGTGCAATGCCAAATTATAAGTAAACAGTTTAGACAGGATGCATAGGTCTCTGCCTTCAATTTATTCATGTGCAATGGAAACTGACAACGGATCACCCTCCCCACCACACACTGATACACTAGAAATATGAGTTAAAAAATAAAAACATCACTTTATAAGTTTCAAGCGTCCGTAGCGCTTTTCCGTAGTAACCTTCATCAGGAACGATCAAAACCGAAAAGTTGACATCCAAAGATGTATAAATACTTGAAAAGTTGAGAAACCATATACCTAGAGGGAGTTGGAACCTTAGTTTCTTAATAATTTCTAAATTCATTGACGAACAATTTTAAATTTCATTTGGTTGGTACTATTTTTGGTGTTGAAGACTGTAAAGTCTGCTGAAAATTTGTGTCGAGTGGTCGGAAACCAAAAATTTGACCAAGTCAGTCAATTGATTGATTCTTTAACCTTGATCTTTGTCCATGCAAGTGAATTTATATTCGCTTCACACTTCAAGACCACAAGACAAATTATTTTTCAATATTCTAATGCTTCTTCAAAAAAGAAAATGACACACAATTTTAAGTATAGTGGAAAATCACACTTTGTTGGAAACCACATACAAAATTTCAAAGTATCAACAACAACAAAAAACTTACTCCAAGGTAAATTCAAAAAGAGAAAGTCCATAAAAACTGACAAAATCAAACGTTAGGCTTTATCAACCAACGGAAAGAATGGAAAACAACTTGAACTGTCATATACCAAACTTGGAACAGCTAAGTATTTTCCAAAGAAAATGGTGGGTTAACAACCTAAACCTCCCACTCGTATGACAGTTCTTTTTTGGCCCGTTATATTGATAAAATTGGATGAGCAACCCAAACAAACATAATAGGTTGATGTGACGATAATTTGGATCCAGCAGCCAAAACTGTGTAAACCTGGGTCAATATATTATGTCCCAGTGTAAACATACATCACAGACATATAAAACAACTGACTACAAAATTCAAACAATCATACTAATAAATATAACAAAGAAGCCAACAAAAATGTTGTTGTTTAAGTAAATTTGACATAGACGCCAACAAACACGTTTTTGTTGTTGATAGTACATACACAGTATATGTAGTATACAATGTCTCGATACAGTCTGAATCACGCGTCTGGACCCACCTGCACCAGGAACACTCAAAGCCAAAAAAAACCCGATAGCTGGATGCATAAATACCGAGTCACATCAACAGTCGTACTAACAAAGGAAATATAATAGCACAAAGACAAACAAAAAGAAAACTGTACATGCAGTAAACAAAAAGATAAGCACCTAAAATCTATAACTCAAGACCATTTATTATATTCGAAGTAGACACTGAATATTTATCTTTTAGGTTTTGGTACTTTATGATGAACTTTTTGAGAAAAAAGGATGAGGTGTTCTTTGACAAAGCCCTAAGGCTCGTTAATTATTTGCTCAAACACCGATGAAGTCTGAGTAGCAGTTGCAAGCTCTTGAATATCGTATGAGTTGAGAAAATGTATATTCCATACTAGTGTGAAGTTGGTATATTGCTGCTTAAGTGAGAAAAAAATTAAAATTTGAAAATTTTGTCATAGATTTGTTTTTTTCTTTTATGATCGCTGTAGTCAAATTCGGGGTATATGTTTAGAAATGAGGAGGAGGAAGCTGTATCTGTGGTTTCTTATAATAATCTCTAGTTCAGGAGAATATATTGACGGGACCAAATCAGAAAAGTTTTGATTGCTAACAGAACATCGTCAATATATATGTATGTGAAATTAAATGATCTAGCTTCTTTGATCTTTTTGTTTTTACAAGTGTTTGAAGGAACTTTGACCCAATGAAAATTAGAAATTGTCGGCCAGGACAGGTGCACAATTGGTTCCAATAGGAATGCCGAAAACCTGTTGGAAAATTCTACCTCCAAATTAAACAAATATGTCGTCAATGCAAAACTCCAGCTATATATATATACTGATCACTTATTCTTCGGTGTAGCACGATTTATTTTCGGGCTAATTTTTTAATAAAATATGCAGAATTCAATCCCAAAACAATAAATTTGTAGCGTATTGTACCATTTTAATGGAGATCAATGTCAATTTTTTTTATATATAGATTACTCTTTAAGACAGTATTTTCAATTTTTGAATCTGTATGGTGGTGTAAGGGTTGGAAAATCGAGGGTTTTAATAGAATTTATTTCAGAGAATGACCGAGATTTAAAAAGTCTTTTGAGTTCTTTTAAAGAATCCACATACAATTAATGCCACTACGAGAGTAAACAGTATCACATAATGTCTGTAATCCCTCTTTCAGTTAATTTAACGGACAATTCCTTTGAAGAACATGCAGATGAGCCGCCGGCAATGTGCCGTTGTTTGTATGGATTTTTGAAGTTTATGTATATACAATACACAATTTAGTTTAAAGTTTATAAAACAAACGTTGTTTATTTGTTGGACTTTTATAATTGTCCTTGACGATTTTGGTTGAATTTTGTGCCACTCCTTGCAAATATTTTTCTGTATTATTAGAAACAGCATTTCATTCCATCCTTTAAAAAAAATCAGACCTATCTAGCTTATCTAGGTTTCTATAGAATCTGTCAGTAATGCCAATCATAAGTTACAACATACTACTCCAAACTTACTGTAGCTCAAAATTCCAACCGTCATGTCCATGCAGGTACCTTTACAATTATATCCAACCATGCAGCGGTTAGTCACCTGCTTTATAGTACTAGTATTAATCTAAATTTTTTTATTAAACATCATATACATAATGTGTCTGGTGTGGTGTATTTTTGGAAAAAGATTATCATACATCTAATGCTACAACGCATATGGACAAAATTAAACAAAAGTTGCTGTTCAAAGGGATATAACCAGTGTTTGGTAAAATTCTGAATGTATTTTGTATCACTTTTTTGTTGATAAAAATTAAAGGCATTTTTCTTTAGGTCAATATTATCTACTGTATCTGCTGTCATATTCACAAGTTGATGTACTGTCATGTTTATAATCATGCCTTCAATTCAATGGGCCCTTTATTGTTTTAGTAAAAATATTGTACATGTATTGTATAAAGTTATACATTAATGTTGCATGATAACTTCTGAGGTAATTGGGACACACAGTTGTCACGTGTCTAAGGAGTTTCTGATGGTATGATGATTTTCTAAATTGAGCTTATTTTGTATACAATACATCACCTCCACTCTTTTCATCATTCATCTTTGGATTAATTGTTGAGGTACTGAATGTCCAGTGACAAATTTTATAAAAATATCAAGGATAAGAAGATGTTAACATCCAAAAAAAAAATACACTGACCAAGATGCTGTGCAAAAGCTGACATTGAGACATGTCATCCTACACATACTTTATTCTGTCTGAAAACTAAAAGGTTTTTGTTCTTACTCTAAATACATGCACGCTTAGTGAAGAAATCAATATCAATATTAGTTTTTGGTTTGAAACATGATTGATCCTATGCTGTGAGGACCAACACACTACAATGAGACAACTAAGGTACATTTCATGATATGATTGATTAATGGTGGCTTAATGTCCAGCAACAAATATTACATGCATATTCAGGACAATCACATGTTAAAGTGATACAAAGAAACTAGACAGACATGCTGATTTGAAATTTTAATTTCAGTCCATTGAGGCAGTTACAGAGGTTGACATCGCCTTCAAAGATTATGAAACTATGATTTCCAATAGCCTTCAATGGGACTAAGTATCATCATATAGTACTGTATTGACACAAAGCAGCACTCTTTTGTGGATATTCTCTCAGTGAATGAAAAAAAAATTAATAAAATTGAAGAAAAAATTCTAGAACTGCCTATCATGGCCATACTTTTCATCTAATGTTCTTTCGAGGAACCATTGTAAAGGGTCATCAAGTCATGAATTTTGAAGAAAAGCTTTCTGAGATCTGATCTTACATTTTGAACTGGTAAGAAATTGAAAATAACAAAAACAAACTCAAATATCATCTGGTGGTCAAGTCTTTTAATCAATCATGGCATAGGTTCAGAGATACTTATAATGAACCAGAAAAAAAATTATGGCCAAAGTTGACATTAACGTTGGGGAAGTTGATCTAAAAAACTATGGAAAACTAGACCGTACATTCTTTAAACATTTTTTACTTTCACTTTGATTAGGTATGGAAACAAATCAATGACAACTCATACTGATAAGTGATTTTATTTACATATTGATAAAAAATATAATTGCTATGAATAAAAAATCTTTTACTTGGCTGTATTTGTTTTGATTAATATACATTGATGAAATATGCTATGTACAAGTTATAAAGCTTCAAGAATATGTACAATTACCTGTTCCTAGTTTTGTTTGAGGTAAAAAAAAAAGTGTAAGGGTATTTCCACTTTCTCTGTTCCGATGAATGTCAACAGTATAGAAATGGATACTCTCACGCTTGTTTATTTTCCAACAAAAAATCTACATACATAAATAATGTTGTTTTCTCTTTTGCACATAAGAACAATCAATATGCAATGATTCCTTCCATACAAATCAAAGGGGGAAAACTCTTGTTTTGTTTCTTGATAACAAGTAAAACAAAACCACCTTTTTACATGGAAATATATATTTATAAGTATTAGTATCAATCTACTTTAAAGAGTCAAAAGTGTAGTCATAATAAATACAAAATAGATAAATTCTTGACTACTTTTGTCCAAAACTTGTCCTTCTCTAGCACTACCCTGTCAGGATTAAGGATATCTAACGTTTCCAATTTTTTTTTCTTAAGACATTATATACTTGCACGTATTTTACACTACATGGTGTTATTGAATTATTGTTGAAAGTAAAATACTAAAATGAAAATTTTCCTTAAACTCTGAAAAATATTGAGACAAAAATCTAAAATCTGAAAAATATTGAGACAAAAATCTACATCAGTTAGCATATTTTCAATCAAAATAAAGACAAAATATAAAAGGCAGTTCTTAGGTTATTACCATGATTGATAGAGATTATAGATTTCTGACTGTCAAAATAAACTTCCATATTACAAATAATGTCCATGATAACAAAAATTACAATAAATAACAATAAATCTTGTAATTTGTATAATTTATGGTATTCAACAATTGATAAACAAATGGAATGTATATTTTATTCACAACATTTAACCAAGGTACTGTACTGTCATACTGAAGCTATGGCACAAACATACATGTACAATGCTCAAGAAAAATCTCGACATGGTTAGTTTAGGACATCTTACTTCTACATTTAAAAATAAACTCAAGGACCAGACAACACACACTTGTGCTTATAAGTTTAACTGACCTTAGATTTTAACTGTGAAAAATTAAAAATTGTAATTATAAAAGTTATAAATATAAGATTTCATAATTTTAAAATAGTTGGTGAAGGAGGAGTCGCAGATTAATAAAAGTATGGTGATGAAGCAGAAAGTGGATAGCTATAACTGTGTACCTTCTTCTTAAGAAGCTACACAAAAACAGTTTCTGATAGGGTGACTTATTATCCTTACTGGAAACATATTGTAGAACTATTATAATATATGTATACATTAAGATTCATTAACCTAAACGTTATATAAAAAAATTCATAAGGGTTCCGCAGAACCCAGTGTCTCCCCTACTTTTGCTGTTAATCGCAGGCTCAACAAAAATGAGGAAAAAAATTAATAAAAATATTCCTCTCTATACTATCTTTCAGTTGTAAGTAGCTTCTGGCCATGTTTGGTAAAAATCCAGGATAGTTTATGAATCTAATAAATGTTTTAAAAACTTAAACTGTAGACTGTATGTAATGTTAACTGGAAGAAAAACTAAGTCCATTTATAAGTAAAATAAGGAAAAAATGGAACAAAATTTTAACAAAATATCCTTCTAGATACTAGCTTTTAATCATAAACAAGCTTCTGTCCAAGTTTGGTACAAATCCAAGATAGTTTAAAAAAGTTGTTAAAATTTTAAAAACTTTAACCACAGAGTGAATGTAATGTTAACTGGCAGAAAAACTAAGTCCATTTATAAGTAAAATACTGAAAAATTTATTTTTTTTTACAAAATTTACTTCTGGATACTATCTTATGAACATAAACAAGCTTCTTTCCAAGTTTGGTAGAAATCCAGGAGAGTTGAAGAAAGTTATTAAAATTTCAAAAACTTTAACCACAGAGTGAATGTAATGTTTCCTGGCAGAAAAACTAAGTCCATTTATAAGTAAAATACGGAAAAAATTGAATTTGTTTTTACAAAATTTGCTTTTGGATATTATCTTATGATCATAAACAAGCTCCTGTCCAAGTTTGGTAGAAATCCAGGATAGTTTAAGAAAGTTATTAAAATTTCAAAAACTTTAACCACAGAGTGAATATTTGTGGACGCCGCCGCCGACGACAACGACGGAATGTAGGATCGCTATGTCTCACTTTTTCAACAAAAGTCGAAACGCTCGACAAAAAGAAGAAGCAAAATGTTGATGAACCAAGATTAAATAAGATAAATAGTAGAAGCAGTCCTCCACACATATTTGAAATCTGTCAAATTAAAAATTAACATCAATGTTGGTCAAAAAGTCTTTGATATGTAAATATAATAAAAACAACTTGTTGCAAGTGAAAAACGATTTTCTATAAACTTTTATATGTTAAATTGTAAAACGATTTCTTAAAAAAATCAGATCAAGGTACCCCTCATTTCTTCTTTATAGTTTTTTGAAATTTTAAATGTAAATATTAATTACACAACCATAAAAAAGAAAGACAACTGGTATAAAACTTACAAAACAATCATTTAATACATATGAATATTTCTCTAATCATATGATATAAAATTTATGTATAAATTTATTTACATTACATGGAAAGTTTTGTACATAAACGTGTATCAATTACACAAATCGGCAACTTTCACCCAAGTGAGAACAGGATGGAATGGGGATATCTTGTATGATGATTCAGAATACATATTTTACTTAATGAAAACAGTTAATTACCATTATGGCATAACTTAAATAATTACCTGAGAAATCAGTATAAGATATTTAAGTCCTGTCATTAAGAAAGACATATCTTATTATTTCTAAACCGATCTGAGAATACATTTTTATAACTAATGATTTTATACCGCAATACCACCCAGTGAAAAAAAAATGGGGTAAAAAATTAATGAGAATAACTTCAGATAGATATATTCCTAACAAAATTAGTTTACTTCAGTTAAATATTTAAAAAAAAGCAATAATTAGTGATGCTGATGCATTATATCACTTTTAAAAATACCTTTTCAAATCTCCCACTAAGACCAAAACAAAAAGCTACATCGAACACAAAGAAAGATTTGACAAACCCTACCAGTATATGCTCCTCACAAGATTACAGATGGAAGACATGATTAAATACAAATCACTAACAATTCTGTTGAAAAAATGTATCTATCCAAATATGCAAAGTTTATGGAATGTTGAATGTCCCACCCAATAAAGCACTGATAACTTGCTTAATTGCATTGCGCTATCATGATTTTAGTCAACAAGTAATTCAAATCTCACAACTCCGGCTCGCTCTACACTATTTTGTCTAATGTTTTTGGCATAAGCTCTGCATTCTACCATTATCAGTATATTTGGTGCTGGGTTCATAAAGCGGACAAATACCAAGGGTGATCTGTATCCTTGCTGATTACGAAATGGAAAATACTTGAAGTGGAAACCTTCTGGGGGATGGTATTCAAAGTCACCAATGTTGTCCTGATCAGCTGGTGTCTGTGGAAATAAACCAGTGCAGTAAGTGAAAATATTTCTGATACAATTACAATATAACTATTGGATATACACAACAAAAGAAGCCTAACTCTGTATGTTGAAAAAAAATCCAGTTTTGATGCTGGGCTTTATTCTGCTTAATCTTTTGTTTTCAGTGTTGTGTTTTGTGAACTATTGTCTGCCTTTAATTTCTATTTTTTTCCTTGATGTTGTCTATCTTTCTTTTACTTATGGTTTTTGTTGGGCCTTGATAATTTCTTACATTGTTACAAAGTAATACACAATATTTGTATTAAAACCTTCAGAATATGTTAGCCATTAAATATAAAACTACTATTTAGGCAAAGACTTCATTCTATCTTTGGCACAAGATTTTAGGACTTTCTACATGTTTAGTTCCTTCAGTCTTGTATTATTTTAGGCTTTTGTTTGTTTTCCTCACAACCATATAAAAAATAAGTTAATGCTCAACATATATTCAAAATGTTTTAGCGTCCAATTTGAAAAGAAACTGCAGAAAATTCCAGTGGTATGTGATAAAAATCTACATGTATCAAGGATGGATCCATAGTTCTGGAAATTATTACTTACAGAAATAATATGTGACACCATGCCCAGCTCACACTATCAAATTTTTCACTAAAAACCGAGAGACAAAACACTAATTTGACATATATTATTAAGAGATCACATCATAAAGAAAATGTGTAGTTTCAAGTTGATGTGACCACAACTTCATGGTGAACTACTGTAAACCAAAACTTTAACCTTTTATGGGACAGACAAACCAAAGGATAGACAGACGCACATACAGATAAACAAAATGCCCCTTATTATAAGGAATGCCCAATTAACTATGGATCAGCATAAATCATGTGTAAAAAGACAAAAGAATCCTTCTTAAATGGAACCATCTGAATGATAAGCATAAATCATGTGTAAAAAGACAAAAGAATCATTCCTGAATGGAAAAATTTTAATGATTAGCAAATACATATCACAATGTAATTTTGTTAGATCTTGTACCAGATAATTAACTTCCAAAGGAATTAATAAAATGTTGTAAATAATGCATATCACTTACCACACCAAAACATTTCAGGTGAACATTGTATGGGGCATAAGTGTCTTGAATCTCTGCTGGAATTTCAGTACCATTGTGATAATCCTCAGGGTGCCAATCAAAAACCTAAGGAAAAAAAGATTGCTGATTAGATGACTTTTGTTCTTTACTAAATATAGAATATACTGCAGGTATAATAATATGAAGGTGCATACAAAATAGTTCTCTAATTCCTTAATCCATGCCTGTAGATTTGTTTTTATTTATTCTCAATTTTATCACGGCTTACATACCACTGAATAGACATAAATTGTTGAAATATGCATCCGGCACAGTAAAATTGGTACCATTTATTATCATAACTTCCACTAGGTTGATATCTCTTCTGGAGAATATCACAAGTCTAGTTACTTAAATTAGTACTTCAGTGCTGGCATGAAGATATGGATATTGTTTTGTTGAAACTTGCAGCTATAAAACTTAAATTAAGGAATTCATCTCTCTCATGCATACATGTATCTCTGATTCCTTATCAGCTCTTCAATGTTTGTAGTAGATTTTGGATGAACTGAGAGGAGCGGTAGGAGAGGGTGTCATCCCTAATTCCTGAAAATAATAAAACATTCTTTCCCGGATTCTGAAAAAATAATCATCATTTCCCCCTGAGTCCCAATAAGTGTAAATCCCAAATTCAAAAAACACCCAATCCTGAATTCTTGCAAAAATAAAGACTCAGTCCCAACATCCCAAAAAATTTGTCCTTCCGCCCCTCAACTGAATGTCAGGTTTTCTGCATATCAATACCTGGGAGTCACAATGTGACGTTTTATGTTGAGAGATCACAGCAAACAAGATAAACAAGGTTTTATATTGTGTGGAGCAACATCACATCAAACTAGATATTTCCCTTCCATAGCAATGTTTAGATTATCACCATGAAAGAAGATAATAACCTACAGTATCATGTAAGGAAGAACTTCAATTAAATTAGAGATTATTGATGGTTTTTCAAACAAGAGGGTTTTTCTCAGATACAATCTCAGGGAAACAGCACAATCTGAGATGTAGCAGAGAAACATCCTCTAGTTTGAAAGACTATTGATAATCTATTTATGGCTGTTTTCCTAGGCAACGGCAATTTGTAGGCTCGTTACATCATATTTTCTTTCTACGCAACTAAGAAAAACCCATATCACTTGAGTAGAGTGATATGGAAATTATCACAAAAAATATCAAAGTAAAATTTTAAAAGATAGCAATAATGTATCCATATATTGTTGACACAGGAAACTTATTCATTTTAAACTTAGAAGGCAAACCAGGGACTAATCTGTTTTTCTCCAGGTGCCAACTGGGCCCCCAAATTTTTTTTTCAGGGGCCCAGTTGAAATGTTAGGGGCCCAACCAATTTTTATACTAATACAATAAAACTGCAATGTACTTTTTATGTACTAATGAAGCCTTTTTAGGTTATCCTATGTCTTGGTAAAGATCATGTGTGATAACTTTATATTTGAATTATTGCCACCAGAATAATATCATAAGATTTGAAATACGGATTTTAACACATTTCCTACCAAAATTTTCTCCCTTCAATTTGAACTTCCTGTTGCCATTTTGACAATATGACTGTTTCTATGAATCATTAAATGCTTTTTTAAATCCAAGCCATCCCCTAATAGCGTTGATAAAATATTATTCAATTACTTTTTAATGAAGATTGGATAGCAAACTAGATATTTTGATATTTATTTACGAGATTTTGTGTTTATTTTTTACATGGTAGATTTTGTAAATAGCTTTGTGTGGACAAGTTATCGTAAAATACAGACTTGTAATGCCTCCTTGGACAACTGGAATGCATCTCTGAAGCAATGCAGATTTAACAGTTTAGACGAAAACACTTAACAATAATGAAATAATCGTAGAAGCTTTAAAAGAGAGATAAGAACATGTGTTTAGAGAAGGGGTATATGTTAAATCATGACTTCACATCGAAACTTAGTTGTCCGACAGGTAGTTGGTTATTAAATGAACTTACTGGTTTCTGGAAATTCTCTCTTTCCCATTTTTCCACTTTGATTAGACAATCAGGTTTCCATTTGGGAAAAGTTTTTGTTTTTATCGTGGGAAAAGGGTAGAAATGGGATTCACTGCAAAACGTTTTACAGTTGCCAGCTGGGCCATTAGGATGATAAAATAAATTTGCCCAGCCAAAAAATCTGGTCGACTTGGGCATGCGTTAAGTTTAGTCCCTGCATACCATGCCATTAAAATATCACTACCAGTACTCTAATAAGAAAATATTATTACAATTACCCTGTTTAACTTTAATAAAATACAAGGCATTCCATCATCCATTCCAAATGCTTGTTGTTTAATACAATCTGGACCAAGATTGTTAAGTTCATATCTACATGCTTTGTCCCATTCTGTTTGTGGTCGTCTTTTGTTGTATGTTTTACAATCTACCATAACTCCTGTATCAGTTACTTGGTTTTGATTTTCATAAACTAAAATAAGTCATAGGATTTGTTTATATATATATATATAATGCATTTACTCTAAATGACAATCTGCTTAAAATACAGTTTCTGTGTCCAAGTTTTGCTTACAAGGATCTGAAAAATCTGAAAAGCTGCATTAAACTTTCTGTTTTAAAGACCTTTCAGGGTCCTCTATTTTTGTCAGATTAATACACACCTTCAATTTTCATAAAATCATTCCCTTCTATAAAAGCCAAGAAAAATTTTGTTTCTTTTACTGCTATTTTCATGTCACAAGGTCTTTGAATATGTTCAATATTTTTCATTTCCCCTAAAAGTCCACAGAATCATGTTCATTTGATAATTAGTTTTTTTCTTACACTTCTGATTATATATGAATATTTTTTTTCAAATATCAATACTAAATACTGCATATGGTCAGAGATGTTGGCAACACTTATCAAGTTTTTATTTAATCTATAGTCATTTTATCTGTGTTGTTTTACATTTTCTCTGATTCTGTATGCATCTAAAAATGGTTCTGATCATTTTGATATTTTTTTGGAGCATAGCACCTAGCATTTTGAATTTCCATTAAATTTTCCAGAAACAGATTCTACAACTTTAAACTGTTAAATTCAATATTCGTCCACTCTTGATAGTTAAATCTTAATATTTTAAAATGTTCGTTTAACCTCACATTTTAAAGTTCGAAAAGTTAACTTCCTCGAGTGGATACATAAATCTTGTTATTAACAAGGTGATGTGGTCAAATTTATATTTATCTTGCTTTATAAAATTGTTTACATTTAATGGTATATTTCATTGAAAAGTAATTCATGTACAATTCTGTATCAGTTAACTTATTTAGTACATGTACTTACATTGTAAATATGCCTCCAAGTTGTCTGTCAGGGGTGAATATGACGTTGGATCTGCCTTGATGAACCTTATTAATGTCATGTCAACACTTGGGACAGGACGGAAACCTAGTGCTGTGAATATAAAGAAAATGCCATACATTCTTTTCATTAATTGTAACACTGCTACAATTAAGAAATCAGGTGTTGGGTTAACCTCTGTTCTTTTTCTTACATTGTTTTGGTATTTTACTCTAAGAAAGATATATTTAAAAGCTATCTCTGTTCAATCTTTTATAGTCACAAATGTATCTCTGTTCAATCTTTTATAGTCACAAATGTATCTCTGTACAATCTTTTATAGTCACAAATGTATCTCTGTTCAATCTTTTATAGTCACAAATGTATCTCTGTTCAATCTTTTATAGTCACAAATGTATCTCTGTTCAATCTTTTATAGCCACAAATGTTTCTCTGTTCAATATTTTATAGCCACAAATATATCTCTGTTTAATTTTTTATAGCCACAAATGTATCTCTGTTCAATCTTTTATCATTTCATAGCCACAAATGTTTCTCTGTTCAATATTTTATAGCCACAAATGTATCTCTGTTCAATCTGTTAGCCACAAATGTATCTCCGTTCAATCTTATATAGCCACAAATGTATCTCTGTTCAATCTTACATAGCCACAAATGTATCTCTGTTCAATCTTACATAGCCACAAATGTATCTTGTTCAATCTTTTATAGCCACAAACGTATCTCTGTTCAATCTTTTATAGCCACAAATGTATCTACATATGTATGTTCAATCTTTTAAAGCCACAAATGTATCTCTGTTCAATCTTTTAATATAGCCACAAATGTATCTCTGTTCAATCTTTTACAATGTATCTATATAAATTTAATAAATGGACCCATGAACATTCACCTCACTTACTGCCCATATAACTTACAATGTACTCTAAGCTTCTTTTTTTATAAAAGTTTGGTAATTTACAAGAAATCACTACATTTATCCAGTTGAACTGGTGTACAACTTAACATAAACTTACATGGATTTTGCTGTAGTAGACTGTCTTGTCCTTGAAGTCTTGGCATATTCCAGTTTAATGTTTGGTAGACAACAGCACCACAGGCAAGCATGAAAGCAATAATACCAGCGTAAAATGTCAGGTAAAATATGGCACCAAAAACTGAAACATAATTACAATAGTGGCATATGGTATAGACACTTGTATATAATGAACACTACTGTCTTTTAGTTATAATCAAGGTAAACAAGATCAATTTTTGTAAGTTGAGTACTTGAACTTTCGCCATGCACTGTAATTTACATTATGTATTTCATTCTTTAATCATGTTAATAATGCTTTTGATGCATGAAATTTATAACATGTTGTTTTTGTTTTTACAGCACTGGATTGATATCTCTGCTGGTGGAGTTGGAGGATCTTCAACTCTTTCGGTTCTTATGAGCATCTTTGGCTTTCAAATATTCTGCTTTGAGCTTTTCTGATGAAGGGAAATCCAGAACTTTGGTACATGAAATTAATAACATATTCATTGTTTCAATTTTTTACTATATATATTTCCCACAAACAAAATGAAAGTTTAAAGCACAATTAGTTTTGTTATATCGCACACAGTTAATCAAATCATTGGTCAGTTATATAAATCTTCAAAACCAGTTCTTATAACTAATTTGGGTGATTGGTCACACAATTCAACCTGTTGGTTAGTGTTGATACCATCTTCAATAAATCAAGTATAAACAGTGAAATGACAAATTTGTGGCAATAGACTTCTAGTGATAATTGAATAAGATGAAATAATTGTGATGAAAATCTACTTTTTATCAGGAAAAAAAAGCATTTTATTCAAATGTAAACAAACAGGTGAATCCGGAAATGAATCATTGTCAGTGTGTAATATTTGTTTCTTCCATAAAACTTACTCCATTGTTTAAAAGTTTTGCCAAGAATTTTCCCCTCCTCCGAATCAAAAAAGAAAGTCGATACATCGCCTAAGCGTCGCTGGAACGTCCCTGTGTCTGGATCTGCTTGGGTAGTAAAAGCTGTGCTCCCGCTAACGGTCGACGCCATTTTCAGGTAATTTGTTTTGCACTTTCCCAGTAGAGTGTAAGGCACAATAGTAATAATGCATACACGCAAGGAAACCAGACTACAGGTGCAAAAAAGTCAACGACTGAACAGAAATGATAAAAATCCGGAAACGTCACCGGCTATCATATATAACCAATAATTTGTATAAAGTAAGTCTTATTATACTAATTCTTGCACAAACATACTTGCTAAATTACAAGTCAAATATGAAATCAATTATCATAGAGAGACCGAAAATTAACTTGTGATGTGATAATATTTGGTTTAACCAGAAGCCCATTATTTTAAAATGATTAATGGACTAATGGTTTAACCAATTAAATAATGATAAACCTGATATGGTGCAAGGAAAAAAATTAAGAACTTATAGGCTTGAAATTGTAAGACCCTATTTGAGTTAATCAAATTTAGAAGTAGTGCCCCTGACCTTGAATAGACTTGAAAGGGTAAACACAACCAGAAATATATAATACATGCATTGTATGTCTCTGTCACAATTTTATTCTTTCAGACCAAAAAAAATGTAACTTGTGACAATGAAGTCGTTGAAGATGAAATCAATTTTCTACTTTAATGCCCATCACTAAGAACTAAGAGGTCCGGTTTTGTTTCTGATATATTATCTAAATTTACTATAATTTTAAATCTTTCGATGACCAAAATGTAATTGGTTGATGTCAAATAAAGGTCCTATATTTTACAATGTGGTTATAAAACATTGTTAACTATTTTAATTGAGACTAGACGAGCCAAATTAGTTAATAAGATTTTAGTGACCCTCCAGATCTTCCAACACTATTTTCACCAAGATGTCGTTAAATGAAAAAGATACCCTGCATTTATCATGCTTTTCAATAACATATGATCAAATCGCCGAAAGACCCTCTTCTAAATTATAGAAAACTACTATTCTGCATTGACAATAATATCTTGGTGTAAATTAGATACACCCATCAGTCGGTCTAACGTCCTCAAGGTGTATCTAATTTCTATCTGTACTGTTCACACTAGCTATATTTGTTGTCTCCCTTTTCATATAATTCATATAAGTATTATAAATTACTAGTGTAGTTAAGTTTATTTTTATTCTCCAATCAACAAAAAATATCATAATTGTTCTGCTCATTTGGGGCGTCATAATTGACAAATTGGACTTATCTTTCATTCTTTCACTTGTGTTTTTTTTTGGGGTTGTTGTATCGCCTTAACCAGAGACGTATATACCATATAATTATGTCTCTGTTTTAACATATACACTTTAGAATGTGTAGACCCTTACCCGACTATTGCCAACATGGGATATAAACATTAAATTTGATTTATCAAATAACTTGGAAACGTGTTCGCCTCGATTGCGGGAGGTTGTAGGTTTGTATCCAGGCCGGCTCAAACCAAAGACTTCACTTGAAATTTGATAGTTGATGCTATACTGCAAGACACGTGGCATTTAGGCGTAAAATCAATGACTAGTCTACTCGATGTCAAAATAATACATTCGGGTACGATGTTATGTCTTCCTGGTAGACTGTTACTTTTTGAACTAGCACGTTAAAATACGGATCAACGTGCCATTATAGTACAAAGCTGGATACGAATTCATATCACACTATGATGTTTTCTTCTTGATATACATGTAACATTGGCCACTGGGCGTTATTAACACCTAGATTTATGTCCTTAGTTTTTTTTGTGTATATTGTTTTTACATTCAGTTTCAGGATTTTTTTCTCCATTTTCCAGACTTGGGAACTTAGTAATTTTCCAGCAAAATTCACATATATTGAAGATTTGAAGACTATAGAATTTCAAAATGGGTGAAATAGAGATAAGATCTCAGTATTGACACCCCATCACCCATTTTGAAATTTTATATTTCCTTATATATAATGGTTTATAAGGTACAATTTTCCATTGTTTAAGAAATATTCTGTACAACTCCGTCATTTGAGTCTCTAATCCATTTTTTAAAATAATACATTACCTAATTAATTATCTTTGGTTCAATAATCACAATGATATGATAAAACCAATTTTTACTTCATTATTTGTTAAATTAGCACTTAATTTCTGAACTTTTTTTTACAAACCTTGCTTAGTACATACATTGCAGTGGCATGATATTGGTGTATATATAAAGAACTATCACCATCAATCTTGTGAACGACAGATTGAGGTTGAAGTTTATATAAATGTGAAATTAACATACAAGTACGTAAAGATCCTCGGTCACAAAGTCATAATGAAATCACAAGTCTAAAATGAATTCACACATTTCAATGTAAATGAATATAGTTATAATTCCGTATCCTGACAGTATTAACATGTGAAATATTTATAACTCGTTTAATGTCTTTATTTAGAATTAAACATTTAAATATAAATTTTGTACAAGATCAATCCACAAGTACTTCAAATCTGACAGTTCCAGCTCTCTCTACACTATTTTGTCGAATGTTTCTGGCATAAGCTTTACATTCTACCATGATAAGTATGTGTAACGACGGACTAGCAAAGCGGACAAACACTAATGGTGATCTGTATCCCTGCTGATTTCGGAACGGAAAATATTTGAAATGGAAACCACCTGCTGGGTAGTATTCTATTCTACCCATGTTGTCTTCGTCAGCCGGGGTCTGAAATGAATAGTACAAACTGCGAAAGAGTATAGCAGACAGGATTCAAGCTTTACATTTCTAGCTTGACAATATTTTTGTAATTTATTGCAAGGATAAACATCGTCAAATTATCGAAATTCCTACGTGTTTCAATTGTATAATTCTATTTATCTCCGTTGTATGAATCTTCTTTCATCAGAAGATTTCAGAAAAGGAAAAAAAATGTTCTTAACTGTGATTGACTTTTTGAACAATAATGGAAAATACCTTAAAAGGGTACTTAATGGTGATAATTCCGAGTTTATCAGATTCATCATACATGCTTAATGTATTTATCCTAAAAAAACAAAACCTTCAGCACTACAAAATAAAAATAAGGAGATGTGGTATGATTGCCAATGAGACAAATATCCACCAAAGTTCAAATGAAGTGGATGAAAGCAATTATAGGCAACTGTACGGTCTTCAATTATGAGAAAAAACCAATACCGTATATAGTCGGCTATAAAAAGCACAGACATGAAAAACCAAAATGAAACAATTCAATAAAGAAAATTAGCGGCTTAATTTATAACAAAATAATTTAGGAAAACCAAATATGACAGACGTGAACCAACGACAACCACTGAACTACAGGCTCCTGACTTGGGACAGGCACATAAAATGTGGCGGGGTTAAACATGTTAGTGAGCGCTCAATCCTCCCTTAACCTGGAACTGTGGTGTTACAGCACAACATAAGAACAAACCATTAAAAATCAGTTGAAAAGAGCTTATAAAATAGTTAATTTTGTTTATTTCAAGACATAACTGAACTGTTTAGGCACAGAATGGAAAAACTGGAGTTCAAATATACGACAAAAGAGATGTTTTTCATAACACAGCTTTTTGGTATTTGTTATCCTGCCTTTTTGCCTTTTATTGTAACATTGTAAATGAATAAAACATTTAAAATGATAATATTGGTTATTATATAACTCTAGAAAAGTTCTTGCATCTTATAACCGAAAGCCCTACAGGAATGATATACGAAACCTGTTTGGGGTGTTTTTTCTGATTATTTTACTCGAGTGGCAGTATTAAAAAAAACTGCTATCGGTATACCTTAGCTAGCTTGCATAGAAGCGATATCATTTTGATCCTGCCTTCAAAATTCATTCAAGGCCATCCTGTTGCTTGCTAGACTAGTTTTTATTGAGTATTTTACTTATACGACATATGGTCTAGATAGGGAAAGGGGGAAACACACGCTAACCTGATTTAACCGTACTTAATTTTGTGCCCATAAAAGTTAGGCTATGTGGACACATGTGTTGTTCTTTGTTGTTTGTATCGTTTGTGTGTTTGTTTCATTGAAGAAATCAAGTGTTGGTGGCTTGAGTGGAATGTTGAACTTTCCAATAGTACTTCCATTTATCCTTTTACTCTTTTTATGAATTATCAAATATTTTTCACCAAGTTTTGTACAACCTGCCAATTAAGTTGAAGATATTTGTAAACAATGATCTATTTTCGATACTATAGTTATGTATATATGTACAATTCAAATGAAGTGTCACTATACTTTATTTGTAACAATGAAATAATATTGGTATAGCGAAAAACAAAAACACAATACCAAACTTAATTTTATGCAACAAAACATATTTCTCATCAATCATTGCTGGTGCAAGAACACTGGTAGCCAGACATTTTTCAAATTTAAAAAGTAATAACAACTATGCCAGTTTATTCATACATAAATAGAGAAATCTTTTAATTTTTTATGAGACCATGAACAATTTTCAAACTACAAACGATGCAATTATAAGCGTCACACACGAAAGTTTTTATGTATTCACCTTGGTAATCTACAAATAGTTCATTCCCCTAGCTATCTGTGATTATTTTTAGTTTGAACAGTTCCGCGAATTTTCAAGAACATTAAGTGGCAAGAGAAAAAAATTATCTTAGCTAATGGATAGATACTTACCACTCCAAAACATTTCAGATGAACGTAGTATGGTACATACGTGTCTTTTATTTCTGAGGGAACTTCACTTTTGTTTTGATAATTTTCTGGGTGCCAATCGAAGACCTGTCAAATAAGATAACCGTGTCTTACTCTTGGTTGTTAAAATCTACATTTAATTAAACACCCATAACAAATGCATTCATCAATATGCATTAAATGAGATGGCAGTGGTCGTCTTAAGTTATATCCTAATGTTATTTGCTTTTTAACGAATTTAAGTGTTGGTGATGGGCCTTTAGTAGTCTCTTGTGTGTTATTTGCAACCAATCTCTTTTCTGGTCAATTTAAAGCTAGACGTATTGGAAAGCCGTGTGCATCTTGACATCTAGATCGGTTTTAGTTTATTTTTTGTGTTGTTGTGTTGCTGTCATGATTTGTGCCCCACATCTCATTCTATTCATATTGATGAATGTAATTGTTATGGATGTTTAATTAAATGTAGATTTTAACAACAAAGAGAAATGCCATAGCTTTTGTAGTATTTGAATCCCGATCAGTGCATAACACTAGAAGGTTTCGGAACCCTGAATCGCTGACTTGGCAAAACTACCATTGAAATCCACAAGAGACTACGAAACGCCCACCAACAACACTAAAAAAATTTTAAACACCAAATAACATTAGGATATAGCTGAAGACGACCACCGCCATAGATCCAGACTTAGGACAGACTTATCAATATATAAGTTAAAACATTGTTGTATAATTTGAATCCCGATCCGTGCATAACACTAGGGGATTTTGGAACCCTGAATCGCTGACTTGGCAAAACTACAATTGATTAAATAAAGACATTGATTATTAACAGTCATACAACTAATAGTTATTACAATATCAGATTTGATTACTATGACTGAAGGTACTATTTAGTACTAACCAAGTAAGAATACAAATATGTTCTTCTTTTGACCCTTGGATCCATACTGTATTTTTCATCAGGACTAACGTTATACATAGTGAATATCATATGGCTTTTTCAATGTCACATCCGTATCAACCCGAGACACCAATATAATTCCAAGAGCTCTGCTTGAGGGATTATATTGGTTGAGGGTTGATACGGTGTGTGATATTGAAAAAGCCATATCATATACACTTTATTATATACATATACCTCATGTAGATGTTTTTGATGTGACATGACGTCACACAGATAAGAAGGTTTGAAATGACGTCATACAGATTATAGGTTTGACATGACTGCAATCGATGACGTGACGTCATACAGATTAAAGGTGTGATAAAGCCTTTGCAACCGTGCTGGATATCGATATCATCACGGGTGGCTGATACAGCACGCTTGCCAATGATTGTATTACACATAGAATTTATCTGTATTTACTACTAAGTATATAATAAAATTATTTATCATATACTTAGCATTAATATGATAGTTTTGCAGCCATAAATTCACACCCAGGCTGATAAACCCATATCAGCCCTATGTGATCTCACGTGGTCGCGCTGATATGGAGTTATCAGCCTTGGTGCATTCGTACATCGGTAGTAAATGATAAAAAAGATTAATACATGACCTTTTCCATATCGGCTCGAGTATCATCCCTCGACCCATATTAGCCCTCGACTAACGTCTCGCGCTGATATTGGGGTCTCTGGATGATAACCGGGCCGTTTTTGGAAAAGGCCATGCATTAATTTATATGTAAATGCTATCTAAATCCGTTCCTACATGGACGGTTCGATTTCATATCACCGTCTATATTCTTTGAAATAAAACAAAAATCAAATTTGTCATTGGGTATTAATATAGATATTGACCTCTGCCGACGATAAAAACAAAGGTACACGTAAAACAATAATAAACAGTAAATGCTATTCAAAATTACAAATGTATGTAAAATCTATCAAGACTACAGAACAGAAAAATAGTGTGTTAAAATATTGGAATTAAACAAGACATGCATACATATGAGATAGATAAGCAATGTCTTTTTTTCAAATAACACATTCTCTGTTTTATATAATATATGATACATGATATTTGACAGAAAAGAGTATATGCCTACCCTGTTTAATTTTAATAAAACGCAAGGCTTGCCATCTTTCATTCCAAAATTTTGCTGCTTGATACATATCTTTCCCAGATCTTGAAGTGCAAATCTACATGCTTTGTCCCATTCTAATCGTGGTCGTCTCTTGTCGTATGTTTTACAGTCAACCATAACTCCTGTATCTGTTACCTGATTCTGGTTTTCATAAACTTGAAATAATGAAGAGTGATTTAAGACTACACTATTATAGCAAATGGTCTTTTTTTTTTTATTAACCATAGTTTGCTTATTTTTTTTTCATTCATTGTTTCAATATTGACTTCAGTAAAACATAGACGACGCATACATTACTCACTGAATATCAATATTTACTGGCCTTGACTATGTCAAACTACTTGTACAGCATGCATATCAGGATATCATACCGAAACGATTATAAACTATCAAGATTAAAATGTATAAAGTTGAATGCAGTGTTGGATCAAAGATTGGAATGAATGAGCGTCAGCGTCCTCTCCAAACATCATACAAATTTAACAATTTTCTCGATAATTTTCATTTTAGCTTCCTTACTCGGTTTTGAAACTTATCGATGGATCTGTCATGTGTTAAGTAAACATATGACAAAATAATGGAAGTCTTTAGGTTAATTTAAGTCAAAATGTTGGAGAAAATAGAAAAAAATATAACGGACGCATAAAATACTTGTTTTACTTATGTGTGCCTTGTTTCTCTTCCTCCTTTTAAATTAGCATTTAAAGTTTTAAAAGAATAATATGTTAACATATTAAAATGCTGACCAGTTTTGTAAGTGGATTTTAGCTATCTACATTTGATAAAACCCTGAGATGATATGCATATATGGTATAACCTATTACTTTCCAGATACGTTTCGAAACTGTCATGCCGAAATGAATGCAATATAAACTAGAGGCTGTGTCGCTCACCTTGGTCTAGTTTCTCTCTATATTCTTTAGTTTTTGCTCAAAACACAAAAGAGGGTAAAAAAATATCCTAAATTAAGGGCAATCACTCCTATAAAGAGTGACAGTCTACCAACTATATCGGCAAAAATTGGCTTGTTAGTAGATCTTGTCTTGCTAATCAATTTTGCTTATTTAAGTTTCTATCTATCTATTATAATTTTTATCATATAAGGCATAACACACAAAAAATGGAAAACAAAATCGTCATTAAAGGGCAATAACTCCAATAAGGAGTCATCGGACGATTTCCACCATATTGTATTAATTGTCAGGGGCGGATTCAGGCGGGGGGCGTGGCGGGCGTGCGACCCCCTAAAATTTGCAAAGCATGGGTTGTCCTCAGCTTAATAAAGAATATTTCGATAATTTTCCCTCAAAAAAAATTTCGCCTCGCTCCGACCGGCGAAAATTTAAGTTTGCGCACCCCCTAACCTAAAATCCTGGATCCGCCTCTGGTTGTAGATCTTGTTTTGCAGATCATTTTTTCCTTTTTAAGTTCCTATCTATCTATTATAATTTTTAAGATATAAGGCAAAACGCAAAAATTTTTAAAGGGCAATAACTCTAATAAGGAGTCGATTGACGATTTCAGTCATCAGACTTATTTGTAAAACATGTCTAGCTGATCATTTTTGCATTTTTAAGTTCCTCTCTATCTATTAAAGTTTTCAAGATAAAAGGCAAACATGAACAAAAATGGTAAAATTTGTCTTTTAAGGGCAATAACTCCTATAAGAAATCGTCTGACAGTTTTGACGTAAACAGAATATAATAGGTAGAGCTCAACATTCTGAACATTTCCGCCCTGTCAGATTTTCTTTATTTATAATGGTTTTCAAAATAATAGACAAAACCTGCATTTTACCCCTATGTTCTATTTTTAGCCATGGCGGCCATCTTGGTTGGTGGGCGGGGTCTTCGGATATTTTTTTCAACAAGATACACTAAGGATGATTAAGGCCAAGTTTGGTTTAATTTGGCCCAGTAATTTCAGAGGAGAAGATTTTTGTAAAAGTTAACGGACGACGACGGACGACGGATGCCCTTTTGGTCAGGTGAGCTAAAAAGGGAGATGTGGTATGATTGCAAATGAACAACTACCAACCAGAGACCAAAGGACGAGGATGTAAACAACTATAGATCACCGCACGGCCTTCAACAAGGAGTAAAACCCATACCGTACAGTTAGATATAAATGGTCATGTATATACTTACATAGTAGATATGCCTCAAGGTTGTCTTGGAGTATTGAATAATCTCTTTTATCTCCCTTGATAAATCGTATTAGAGTTGTGCTTGAGTCGGGTAACGGACGGAATCCCAGTGCTGGTTTTGTAAAAAGAAATTTGTTTTGAAATGTAAAAAAAACAAAGCAATCGTCAAGACGAGATTGAGTAATATCTGTTGATAAATAAAGTAAATGTAAAAGTTCACTTTAACACTTTATTTAGTATTTGTAATTTAACATTTATTTTTTGGAGATAACAACTTCATTTTCAGTAAATTTTCTTCAATTTTTTTCTTGTTCCAGCTTTTTAATGGGATGACTAGCTTTATTTTGGGAAATCATGCTTTCTTTTCATTAATGACTAATTATGCATAAGTTAGAAACAGATCAATGCATGCCCATTTTCAATAAACCTTTTATGAGACAAAGAACGCTAATGACAATTACGAAAATTTTCAAATTCTAACAATGAACGACACCACCTTTAGGTCTTTAATTAAAACTCACTTAAAACAAAGAAAGTGCAGTATGTTAAGCTCACGATAAAAAACTCATCTTGACTCTTATAATAACTTACAAGGACTCAGCTGTAGAATACTATCTTGTGATGTTAGTCTAGGCATGTTCCAGTTTAATGTTTGGTATACGACAGCACCACAAGCTAACATAATAGCGATAATACAACAGTAGAATGTTATGTAGAATAGAGCACCAAATACTGAAAAATAACACGAGTATAAAAATGAAATATACCGTCTGTTGGTATTCAATAGCTCAGCAAAAGTAAACACAAACAACTATAAAATATAATGGACAGAATGATACACCAAACACAGAAAGTATCGTGGAATTCGATACTCGGGAAGACTTGGTTCTGTCGCAATACCAATTGATGCAACATATGCGCGTTTCGAATATTCATATTTAATCAGTTGTGCACGAAACCAAATAGTGGAAATCTGAAAATAACAAACTTATCAACAATATAAGAAGCCTTAGAAATTCTCCTTCTCTTCTTCTCCTACAAAACATCATCCAGGATTTTGAAACATAAAGGCCCTTTGGAGTGATAAAAAGTATATGAATTTATCACATAAGAAGCTACATAAGAGGGACCCGGTCAACAGGTGCGGATCCAGGATTTTGAAACATAAAGGCCCGTTGGAGTGATAAATAGTATATGCATTTATCATATAAGAAGCTACATAAGAGGGACCCGCCCCCTGCTCCCCCTAAATCGGCATCTGATCAAGTCAAACACATAAACACCAGTTACATCATATTTGTTTTTTTTAAAGGGGCGTAACTCTAAAATCTGGAGCAGGCAAAAATGTGATGATGACGGCGGGTATTATTATATCATATCGTGATAATACAATGGTATAAGTAACTATAGATGAACGAATGACGCATGATTACGTTTACACCAATGAAAGAGTTAAATTCAAAAAGTGAAAGAAACCACAAAAATGAATCTAACAGAGGAAGTTTGATTCATTAAAGATGTACCTGTGTATAAAGTGGAAAACCCCAGAATATAACAAATTGATATCAATATAACTGTAAAATCTGTTTGTCAGTACAAAAGAAATGGCTATCACTAGTCGGTGGCCATTTCTTTTTCTTTTTTTTCTCGGTGGCGTGCATCCCACCAACAGTGGCATCAATTTAGATGTAGGAATATCAAATTACGGAAGAAATACGGAAGTCAAACTATTAGGGTTAGCTTTTATTCTTTGATACCATTCAAAAACGGATGGGGAGCAGCATTCTAAGCGTTGCTCCTTTGATAAATTTGTTATTTCTTGTATTTTAGGGAATTGTTGTCTAATTTATAACAATCTATATAAGATTTCTTTTCTAGTAGGATATGATGTTTGTTATCATCCAGCACGAAAATGTTTGGCGATAAACGTCGCATAGAATGCACTAAATTTTAGCTACAATGTACTAAAATTGTGTACATGTAATAAAATAGCCTTCAATAAAGATAATAAAATTATTATTAATAAAAATAACAAAAATAATGATGACAATAAACATTTATCAGGCATTTTTATTGTAAAACATATCACCATATGCAGTAAGTGAATACATAATATAACTATTAAATGTGAACAACAAAATTAAAATAGAATACAGGAAATTGAGATTATAGGTTGCGTAACGAATCGAATGAGAATTGGATATCGCTTATTCTCTAATTCTTCGTCAATTTATCCTTTTCTGCACCCATTGTATAAAAAAAATTTAATCAACGTGTGGTTCGTTTGATCTCAGTTCTTCATTGGTTAAAATCCGATTATGACGTCGAATTTTCTTGCTTTCCTCTGAATTTCCTATTGTGACGGCATGAAAAAAGGCGACCATGCCTGATGACGTCACATAGAAAGAACACATCTTTATGCAGATCATTCAAAAAGAAGGAATAAGTTTGCCTGCATATTGTTTGAAAATCATTAGAGAAACAGATTCCACCACCAAATCTCGTGTAATACGATATTTATCCACTCTCGACAGATGAATTTTAAATATTTAACCGTCTCGAGTGGATAAATATCGTATCACACTCGATGCAGTGGTAGAATCTATATCAACTCGAGTTATTTGATATCGATATAATAATAAACGAGCCTTTGTCGATTCTATGTGTAGAGACGGCAAAAGGGCTGTAATAAAAGGAGACGTGGGGTATTAGCCAATGGGACAGCATCCCAACGACAAAAATAACCGAAGAGCATCGAGAGGGCAACATACACTTTTCAACATTTAACAAATGTTTACACAATATGTCAAGCTCCCATATTTTTATAAACATTGTCACAAGTTGTGAATAACTAATACAGAAACAGTCAAAGATCTTAAATAGGCCTCAATTCTCAAAATATTGTGACCATTACAGTAAGGAGAGTTACCAATCATTTTCTACTTAAAGGCTTGTTTTCCTTTCTATATACAAGAGAACTTTCACAGGGACTGTGGACTGACAATATCGTCCGCACATAAAATTATAAAATGTTCATGCAAATTGATGACGTCATGTGTTCAAACAGATATTGACCAATCAATTCGGTATAGCTATATTAGTTAAACAGCACAGCTAGGCGATCCGCTAACCCGACGTTCGGGTAATATTGGACCACATAAGATGTGTAGTACAACTAACATAATTTTATTATACCGACTTGATTGTTCAATTACTATTACATAACTCCCTTTCATCATGTTTAATGGTGTTTCGAACGATAAAAGTCTTTAGAATTTCACGAAGAGTGGGTTTTACACTAATAGCATATTTTTGTATTTTATTTAAAATCTAGATTCAAGTATTTTTGAATATATAATCCATTAAATTCATGGAAGACTCAATAATGATCTGAATGGTTTTAGTCATAATATATAGATTTGAAATTTTCACATTTCTGATATTTATCCGTATTGTCGATATTGATTTTCCAACTTTGATTTTTATATGCATGCGTGTTTTCATTTTTTAGCTCACCTGACCAGAGGACCAAGTGAGCCCTTCTCAACACTTTACAGTTACAAAACTCGTATAGGCTCTGAAAATATTGGGTCAATTGAAACCAAACTTGACCACAATCATCATTGGGGTATCCAATTAAAAAAAAATGTCAAGAGAAACGTCAGATGATCCAGCCTACCAACCGAAGTGGCCACAATGGAAAAAACAAAACATAGGGGTAACATACAAGCTTTTTCTATCTTAAAAACCTGACAGGCTAAACTTTTCAGAACGTTGAGATCTACCTATACTGTTAATTAACGCCAAAACTGTCCGACGACGCCTTGTAGGATTATTGCCCGTAAATGACGGTTTTTACGATTTTTATTTACATTTGCCTATTACTTGAAAACTATAATAGATAGAGAGAAATGTTAAAAGCAAAAGAGACTAGCAAGACAAGATATACAATTATGTCAAATATACTAAATCGTGGGTCGACTCCTGATAGGAGTTATTGGCCCTGTATGACGATATTTACCCTTTTTGTTTTGTATTTTTGGCCAAAAATATAGCAGATAAAGAAAAATGTAAACAGCAAAAGAGATCAACAGGACAAGATTTACAAACGTGCTTACGTGGTAACTACTTATTTGAGTTATTGGTCTTTAATTGATATTTTTTACCCATCCTTTTTGCCATTTTCGGCCAAAAACTATAGCAGATAAAGAAAAAGTATATTAACATTGAAATAACTAGCAAGACTAGATCTGCAAATAATTATCAACATGAGCGAAATTGCCAATCAGCTCCTTATAGTCCTTTGATTATGATCTTTTTACCCATTTTTTTTAAATTATGGGAAAAGTATAATAGATAAATAAAAACGGATACAAGCAACTATGATGAGCAAGGCAAGATCTATAAATAAATCAACATTGCTGTAATTGTCAGTTGACTCCTGGTAGGTGTTATTGCCCTTAAATGACGATTTTTGGAGAAACTTTAAATAGGCAACATTTTTTAGCATGGCATGATCTACAAATAATCAACAAAGCCCGAATTTTAAGCCCAACTTCTTATAGAAGTTATTGCCCTTGAATGACGATTTTTACCTATTTTTTGTGTTTCGGGCAAAAACTATAGTAGACATAGAGAAACCGAGAACAGATAAAAACATCCGCAATACAAGGTGATTTAAAAAGAAATCTCTAGTCATGAATTATATTCTGGCTTCAATGTTCAAAGTGCACATAAATCCAGGTGAACGACACGGGCTCTTTTGAACATCTAGTTTTATATACTTTTCAGATTCATTCGGAAGCTTGATTTTTCAAATAAATAAATACAATGAGATAATATATATATGCCATCTTTTGCAAACGTAGTTAGAAGAAGAAAAACTGAAAAAAGTACGAAACTACATCGTTTTCACAGAAATATCAAAATATCTAAACCCAATGTTTATTTGGACAAACTAGAACGAGATGCCTTCACATGAAACCAACCAGCAAGTATAATTCATTTTAAGGTTTATTAAATTTGAATAATTTTATTTTTGCATATAGATCTTAGATTGCCACTAACTCTTAGATTATATGTCTTGATTAAAATCATTAGGTGTGTTATTGGATGGCATACTGTAATATAACATGTTAATAAGAAAATAAGTATACCAGTTACAAGTTATATAATCTAACTGGATGCTCGAAAATTTGTCAGATTAATCCAATGAAGAAAAAGTAAAAGGTAGTAAGCATGTATATGTATACACGCTAAAAGCTATTCAACATTATTGGTAATCATAGGCACGCAGGCTTGTGACCAGAATATAAAGAAGGATTGATATATTCAAACATAAATGGCTGTTTATTGTAACCTTTGACCGCTGACCGTATATTTTATTTGATAGTCTCTAAAAACGGTTTATTATGTCAGTTTTCATTATTCGATCGATAGCAAGAAATCAAGTGTTCAGTAGTTGTATTTTGATCTCATCCTGTTTTGATTCGGTGGTGTTTCACTTAAATGGTATCCTGATTGTATCACTGCTATCTTTATCATTCTACTTAAGGTGTACTTTTGAGTTACTCTGTAGAAAGGGTTTATTTTACTGTGAAAGATCGTACAGCAGCCTTTTGATTATATAGAATATTCCTACTTTAATAATGCACATTTCTGTCTTATGTACATAATGTTTTTATCTATAATGAAATGAATTTTGAATAAAATAATTTTAAACACTATAAAACGAAACATTTTCGTAGAAAACCTAAAAAGATTTAAAAAACAAAGCGCATTTACAGGACATTTCACCCCTTTTAATAATCTAACTCAAGAAAAATAGTCATGTAATAACTCATTACATGTACAACGTAGATAAAAGTCCTATACTAGAATTCTGCTATTGCTGAAGTTCCGATGTAGAATGTTTAGGGGGAAAACATAATCAACAGTTTATGTTTTCAATTTCGGTTCTTATACATCCTTGGCTTTCATATATTTGGCGATGAAGGTAAATCCAGAAATGCGCTTTGGACGACTAAGTCTATAAAGTGTTATTCTATTTCTTTTTATGAAAATCAATAACCTTAATGAATCAGCCATTTTACGCACTAAAATAAATTTGATATCTTACAAAATGAAAAAAAACTTACACCATTGTTGGAACGTTTTTCCTAAGATTTTTCCGTTTTCTGAATCAAAGAAAAAGGTTGATACATCCTCAAAACGACGCTTGAAAGTCCCAGTATCAGGATCCGCTTGTATAGTAAATGCTGTACTCCCGCTCACCGTCGACGCCATTTTTCATGCAAGACCGGATGACTAATTCCAATTAAAAAGTAAAAAGGAAGTTACTTTTCATGTGCACCTTGCAAATAGTTCAATGAAGTAGGTTGTATCCTGGAGCAGCATAAAACCTTTTACGGTAGGTAAATGTTGCGAACTATATTTATTCATATGTGAAAAAATTATGAAGTTTTCACTAGGTTGAAGTTAGAATAGTATCATTCCTTTTTATATCTTATATTTTTAAAACACTATACTCATATATATATATTTATATATTGATGAAAGCATATATTCCTTTCATATAGTTTTCCAAAGATGTTTTATTGCGGGAAATTTTGCGGGATCCCTTCTCAGCTGGACAAATATGTTGCTATTGCTTCAAACATGTCAAATCAATAGTCGTCAGCTGTTAATGCATTTGTAAGGACATAAAAAGTCCAGAATGTCAATTTTTACAGCAATTGAAAGATATTAATGTGTGAACCTTGCGGTTTAAACTACTAGTATTTAATTTATGTTATAGATATCACAATATTTCTCCAACGGACTCTTATAAGTGTCATGTGACATACATATCACACGTGTGCAACTCAAATGATTATGCGCTCTTTTTTAGCTCAACAAATCTTCTTGAATGATCTTAGTGAGCAATATATAACGACCTGATCATTCTGGTAGTGTGCTGTAAATAAAACAATAACATTTGAGAAATATGCAAAACAAAATCAAGGTATTTCCATTCACTAGGATGTTAACTAATATGGAAATATGATATTCAAACTAGAATTATTTAGATATAGTAAATAATCCATTGAAGCACAAATAGATTAAAGGTAATAAGCATGCAAATATGCACGCCACAATGCACGCCAAAAGCATTTTAACAACATTGGTAATCATAGGCACGCAAGCTTGTGACAAGAATGTAAAGCAGTACTTTTATTTTTCAAACATAAAATGTTTATCTTCACCTTTGGCTTGACCATTTATTTAAGTTGATAGTCTCTCATTACAGTTTACCATGTCATTTTCATGCCTGTGTGCTGAATGTAAAGAAGAATGTAAACGGTTTTACACCTTATACGGCACAAACTTTCGGAATTTTGAAATTAAAATGCTTTTCAACTTCGTATTTAATTTGGCCTTGGAACTGTTTTAATTCGAGCTTCACTCATTGGGTCCTACTCCAGATTATGATATTTTGACTGAATGTGAATTCGCATGGCGGTTGGTGCATGCATAATGGGCTACGCTTGCCCTGTCAACGCACTCGGTCTCGACCCTTATGGAATTTGTGCGGTTTCATCAGTTTGTGTTAGCTACCTTGTTATGTCTCTTCCTGGTCGATTTGTGAGATTTGAACATCAATGAACTGTCGTTACTGCTGGGCCTTGTGTATGACGATACGTGTATCTGGTGTGCAAAATTATACACCTGGTATATGCCTGGTATCTTTGAGAAGTGTTTTAAGTTGCTTTTTTGAATGACCTGACACACACGTACATTACAAGGAACACGAGAAATTAAGTACCAACCCCCGACAAAACAATCCGCATTAAGTCCACAGACTACTGTACCTTATACAAAATTTTCACCCGTGTGCTGACTTTCGAATATTGAACAACCAGATTAGAATACCTAAACTGTGACTTAAAAATATCTGATATAATAGATATAGCTTAAGCTACACAGCAAATTGATTTCTATAATCAAAGCGGGTCTATTCACTATGTTGCTTATAAATATGCAATTTCAAATGATAAAAAACTGTCCCTTTTCTTTAATTACTAGTATCTTCTTCATGTAAGTTTTTGTGATGAAAATGTAATTTGATTTTCAATAAAATTGCTGCACAAAAATTTCACAGATAACTTTTTAGATTTTTGTAGGAAACAATGAGAAATGTACCTTGGTATATACAGATGACAATTTGATTTTGTTTACGATTTACATTTGTTGTCCCTTACAACCAACTATTTGCATTTGTTAAATGAAATGAAAGAAACATACCAAAGCAAAGACTGTCTTTCTGAATGCCACCTTCTCAGGTCAGAAAAATATCGATTATTTATCTGAAATATATGATAAATATCAACATCTTATTTCTTCAGATACTAGTTCAAAGATTGAAATGTTAAGGCACCACTGTAATTAGTTAATCAAATTGCCTAATAAAAAGAGAGAATATACCAAGGAGTCATTCAAAAATCATAACTCCAATAAAAACAGACAATACCATGGCAAAAAGAAACCGACGAAAGGATTAACAACTAACAAAACATCACATAGAAAACTAAGGACTAAGCAACAAGAACCCCACCAAAACCGGATGTGAACTCAGGTATTCTGTAAAGTTAAGCAGTAATGTCACAATCGAGAAGAAGAGGACTGGATTTTAGTTACTACAAATGTGACATATGACTAGTCACGGTCAACCAAACCACGATGGCGTCCGTAAAACTTTCGATAGGATGTATTCAACCTCACCACTTGGAATTCTTGATGAAATAGTTTCCTTGTAAGCAATAACCGTCTATCAATGAAATCAAAGGCAAGACCTGGGATATTTTATTAACTGAGATATATACTTTAAATGCAGGTGCTGCTACGTTGTTGCTACGCAGAAATGACAAGTTCACAATAGTCATTTTTTTTTAAGTCGAGGCAGACTTAACTGTATCTGTTGTATCCTTTGTTCCAATTTCATTAAGATAGATGCCGTCAAAATACTAGTAGAGCACCAAAAACTGAATTATTCACAGAAAGTATACACTATATATCTAAAGAGAAAAGCAAATTTAAGTTTACAGCCAGTTTTTTTTCATTTTTCTTGAGAAGCTCTTGTATACAGTCTGCCTCAAAACAATAAAGAAACAAGTCGGAAATTAGAGGGACACAATTGCACACTATAGGAATGCCGATTGTCTGTTTAAAACATGTCCTTCAAATGTAGCAAATATTTTGTCAATAAAAAAATCCAGCAGTTTGAAGATTAACTTTCTGTTGGAATCAGAGTGTTTTTTTTTAACAAAGTATGATTATCCAATACTAAAACAAAATATTTGTATCTGTGTGGACTTTCTGTTTTATTCTTTTAAATTGTCTTTAAAATTAGAATGAGGAATGCTAGTATAAAAAGTAGAGAAGTCAAATGTTTTATGCTATTGCAAGAAGAGAGGGGCTTTGATTTATGTATTCTAACAGATCTTTTCAATTTGTTAGTTCTCACATCTTATGCACACCACCCTTAGAGTAGGTAGTTCCACAGTCACTCTGAAGCCCGGTTTTGATTGCTGATAAGATAGATGTTAATTACGTGGAAAGAGGTTTCTGGAGCATTTTGTAGACCCAGCAATATAGCGTTGTTTGTAAGGACACCTGTTCAATTTGTGTATCCAGTACAGTGAATGAAGATCAAGTTTTCATATTTGGTTTAAATTCCAATTGTCATACAACCGATCTATGATTGTCAAGGATTTCCTCTTTTGAAGGTGTCGTGTGGGTATTATTGGGTTTCCAAATGCATTGCTAACACCTCATTCTTTTACCAAACAGTTAATGTATTTGATTTACAAACCTACACGATATGTTCTAGGGCTTCAGTGACAATAACATATTTGTCATAGAGGAAGGACAAGTGCTTAGCAACAATTGGGTCTTTGAAGATAGATCTAAACGTGTGTTCTTAGATCCATTTAGCCTTTTAATCTTAATTTGGATCAACTAACAACCAGGCTTAGCACACTCGGAAAGATTATCTACGTCTTCTTTTTCACGTTTTGCACATTGTCTGGCATAATCCTTGACTGAAACGGCATTTCGATCCTTCGGCTAACACATTTCCTAGAAAAAATGTTGTTGACAATGTAAACGTAGCCAGCCGGATTATATATGAATGGGAAACTTGAACTCAGGTGGTTTAGACTTGAAGTCTTCAATGTTGAAAGTATTCAACACATGTTTGTAGTTGAGAGAGAGCTCCCTTTCGATAGATGTGGTATAGGTATAGAGATGATTGGTATAGAGTGAACAATGCAGCTGATCAGAAGATAGAAAATAATAAAGCTTCAAAGGTTACTCTTTTCACCTAATGATAGATAAACTGGATAATGTCAGGATTTTCCAATTAGGGGCCAATGCATCAATCTGGATAATTTCAATCAGAACACAAGCATGTATATGGTTAACAGCCATAAGATTCCCGTCAGAAAGGTGTATTCTGATCAATGAATGGGATTTTGCCTTTGCTAAATCCTTTTTCTTTTTTAAAATAGTTCTGTGCTATGGTAAGTTAATTAAAGAACTACTATATAGTACTCAGCTACTTAGTGACAACAGTATATTACCGATGTATAAATCTCATAAATCCATTAAGAGGATTAAAAAAAAAGTGAAACTTGGCGCGTCGACAGGATAAGCGCCAACTGCTATGCATCAACCGTCATGTAAATCAACATTCAGTCAAATATCCCAATCGGGAATAGAATACAAACAGTAAATTTTCAGATCAGACGACAATTCTAGTATCTAAAGATCTAATTCAGAGAAAACATGACGCTAGGACGCCTCGTATCGGCCAACGAATTCGTAAATGTAACCGTAAATGTAGGAAGCAGGAGTTTACCGATGTGCAAATATCATAAATCGATAAAAAAGATACATATCAAGGTAAAACAAAAACTGAAGGAATCGCAATCACTTCAAAAGGAGCGAGCCCGGGTACGTCGACAGGGCAAGTGTTTCTTCCTTTGCATGCATCAATCAACACACACTCAGTCAAAATGTCACAATCGGGAATAGCACACCATAGGTAAAATTACACATCAGACGACTATTCTGGTATCTTATAATCTAAGACCGCGAAAATATATCGCTGGTGAATTTAGACAAAGACACATCGTATCGGTCGAACATTTCGTGATGGTGACCATAAAACTTATGTATTTTCGATTTCAGTCGTTCCTACATATGATATGCTGGAGCAGCTTTTGTATAAGAAGCACGCCCTGTAAATGAAGTCCATAATGAGTAAATATGCACGGGCGTAACGTTTCAGTTTAGATATGTAAACACCATACGATGGGACAGATGATATATTACTGTTGAGAAATGAGAATTGGGAAGTTGAAATCATCACATTTGTCAAAAATGCAAGTTTAAAGTCGTCCATCTGTGTCCATATCGAGGAAAACATAAAGACTTGAAGCAGACCTTGTAGCTCCGTTAATATCCTTACTCTCAACTGGACTGTGAGATGCAAGTACCCACACCAACGTATCTGAAGGTGAAATTAAAGATTTTTGCAAGATGCTTTTTCTTTTTCGTTCAGAAGGTTCGGTATGAATTCTGCTTCATATGAGTACAAAAACAAGTCGGCCAGTTGTGATGCACTATTAGTACCCATTGTACTGTCTATTGGAATACCAATCTTCAAATCTCAACCAAAATGTTGTCGATCAAAAAGCCCAGCATTTTGATGATATCACCTTGTAATTATTGTTGAATTTAGTG